CACTTTTACATCCACAACTACCCACTACAAACTATGACAATGCTGGAAGGAATGACGTCGATTGACTTGGGATCCAGCAACTTGCAGGAGACCACGGGCGACATGAACGACGTCCTGCCCGATGAGCTAATGGAAACGCCGGAGGAAAGGTATGGGGTTTCGGGGTATAAAGGGGCGCCGGAAGAGAACCGCCAGAGCCAGAGCTATAGCTAGAGCCGGAGACGGTTCCGAGTAAATTGAAACGTGTCAGTCACGGAGGCCGACAGGCCTTCAACGGAGTGAGTCTGATTGCCTGCCACCCCTTCTTGCAGTAAACAATGGCTCCTAACTAGGGGGCGCCCTAATGACGTCAGTCATGGGTGGTGGGTGGTGAGTAGAGGGCGGTGCATTACATACGAATCTTTTCTTTTTGGGCAGGCCATTAACTTTTTTTCACATTTGACAAGTTCGTTTCCTTTCTGAACTGATATGAAGTCTATTTTTGGATTTCCTTGCATTCAGTTTTTTGCCCATGACATCGTATTGAACGCCCCCAACACCCACCACCCGACCCCACAGACCTTCAACCCACTGCTGCCATCAGTGCATTGGTGAATTTAAAAATAAAACATTGCCTTTTCTGGCCTTGTTTCCGTTAGTACGTGCCAGTGAACAATAATAACAGGCAATGTAGCACTGGGGATGACAGAAATTGTGATCTAATAGTAATGTTATTACTTTTCTGCTGCGCTGACTTGTTAAAGTGTGAGATTTATTCTATGGATTAGCATTGCGCTTGCAAATTCATTGTTTTTTTCACGCGATAATCACATTTGGGGAGCAACAAACACCACCCACCTATCACTCTCCCACCACCTCACATCCGCAATCCGCAATCCACAATCCGCATCCGCAATAGTATCTGTATCTTCAACTGGGCAAACACTGAGGCTAAGATTATGATTAACTTGGCTAAGACTGCGTCACAATGCGTCACATTTTTATCTGCATTAGCTGCTCTGCAATCGTAAATGGCTTATCGGTTGGTGCTACCGGAGTTTATTGCGGCACGAGGCGGCAAAACATCACATCACTTAGTGTGTGTACATCTTCCATCCAAACTCCCCCTTAAAGTCACCTGAAATTGAGTCACTTTGGGGCCTGAGGTGTTCAATTAACTGGCTAATGAATCTTGTATTTCGGCGTGAGCTGTCGAAAGTTGTTAATCATTTAAGCACAACTTTTCACACATTTGCAATCCTAAATAGAATGGAAATTGGCTTATAAACAAATGGATTTGCCGAGTAATAGTATGTGACTCACGGGCACTTATTCCCTGGGCAATTGAATCGAGATTTCTATTTTCCATTTTTAGTCAGATTGACCCATTTCTCTCTGTAGAGTCTATAGTCTCTCTAAATCCCATTCTATTTTTGTACATTTATCTGGTAAACATTTGCCTTGAATTTAGCACACCTGGTAAATAAAACTAAAACATAAGCTTAACACGCCTTTCAGATTTATAATTCGCCCGGCAGATAGATAATCATGACTTTCTGAGCTTTTTGCTAAATGAATTTCAAGCAGTCGGCCAAGGTGATTTGTCAGACAGTCGGGCTGTCATTTAATGCTTATATGGAATATACATAAAAAATTGCGTGTCCGCACATAATAATCGATCGAACCAATCCAATTTCAACACTCAGTATGTCCACATAATTGTTGTGGTACAAGATTTATATTTAGAAATAAATAGTAATCATTCCTAGAAATAAAAGAACTAACCTATTCATTCATTTATGTTTTATTTTTTAGGTATGAACGTCTATTGCGTCGGGCCCAAGTGGAAGACTTGACGGAGGTCTCGGGCATTGGCTGCCTTTACCAGAGCGGTGTTGACCGCCTGGGCCGGCCTGTGATTGTGTTCTGTGGAAAATGGTTTCCCGCCCAGAACATTGACCTTGAGAAGGTACGCTACACCTCCTGAATAAATATTAAAATATACACTTTAATATATATTTATTTTTTAGGCCTTGCTTTATCTGATTAAGCTACTGGATCCCATCGTTAAAGGAGACTATGTCATCTCATACTTCCACACGCTGACATCCACGAGCAACTATCCATCGCTGCACTGGCTCCGTGAGGTCTACGGTGTCTTGCCCTACAAGTATGTTCTATAAACCCGATCTTATAATGATTTTTTAACTAAGGTAATTTGCTTTATCTCGTACCATCAGATACAAGAAAAACCTGAAGGCCTTCTACATTGTACACCCCACGTTCTGGACTAAAATGATGACCTGGTGGTTCACCACATTTATGGCGCCAGCCATCAAAGCCAAAGTGCATTCGCTGCCGGGTGTGGAGCATCTCTACTCGGCTATCACAAAGGATCAGCTGGAAATTCCCGCCTACATCACCGAATACGACATGGCGGTAAGTTCTAGAGATACATTTTTCATAAAAATTATTTTGTTTTTTAATTATTTGTATTTTTTTTTAGACCAATGGCCTGCATTATTTCAATCCTGTGCCGACTGCCTCGTAGATGGCGGCCATCGTAGCTGTCTAGAGACAGTGAACAGCCACCATAGCATATACTTATATATAATTAAAGATAGTTACACACACTTGTGAAGTTTTTATAGATTTTATAGAACATATTTTGTTTTCTTGATAAGTAATATTTGTTTACTTGGGCATAACTTTCGATGTTGTCGTTTATCGATTGACTTGCCGCAAGTTTTGTTGAACATTGTGTAGCATACTTTTACGGGAGTGGCAGGGTCGCCCGATCCCCTCAAACCAATTAGCTAAATGATAAATCGGCATAGAAAGCAGAAAAAAAAGTAAGATATTCTTATGAAGTGCATGGAAATTAGTTAATTAGTTGGCAGAACAACCAAACCTTGTTAATTCGCTAAAAATAGTCGTTGGATTATTGGTAGGAGACGGTGAGGGTGGGGAAAGGACAGAACTCGTTGACGGGATAAGATATAAAAAAAATAAATTAAAATGAAACCAAAAATGTTAGCAATGCTGAACGAAATGAAATTTGATTAGAGAACCTGCATATACCGATATACAAGATTATTATAAATATTAAATTGATAAATTGTACTTGATTACGGAAATGAAAATATACATAAATACATGTATAAGTATATACATATTGTTAGTTATCTTTGCAATTACAAATTGTATTATTAATGTATTAATACTAGAGCTAAAGCGTATGCCGTTTGATCCCCCGATATATACACACACACATACGTACTATAATTCAATTGTATTTATACATAACTCTATATACTAATTATACAAACCAAATAAATTACAAAAAAAAAAGAATGAGAATGATGATATATCGTAGAGAAGCATATATATATATTTTCGGCTCAGAGAAGGGCATGCAAATACATAACTTTTGTAGATACTTACTAGAGCTCACCGTAAGGCCCCTCCCAGCAATCGAAACACCAATAAAGAACCTAACGAATAATTATTGAATACTGAATGTTAAATGTTCGAACTTTGATATTTGATATAGATATGATTAAGCGCAGGAGATTTTCCAAACTCGAGACACGTCCCCTTTATCTTCCATGCACCGTTTGCGCTCAAAAGTAATCCGGATTCAAAGCCAATAGCACGCCACTGCTATTCGTATATATTTGTAATGAAACTAGGTATTGTAATTAGTCGAATCAATTATGGCACTCGCAGGCAATAATCACACAACAGAGCCACACACTCACCACTAACTCAACCAATTGATGAGCCAAAAGACAAAAGCCACAGCCAACACCAGCAGTTGATTTAGCAACTACGCAATTACATGCAAAGTAAAATGCACTCAGGGATTGATTTAAAAACCAATACAAAAACTAAAAAAAAAAAAAGAACCCAAAACAAATAAAAATTTAGATAAATGACAAATGCGCTTTCCTCGAACCACAATCGGCAGCCTGGCTAGTACCTAAAAAAATTAAAAAGTGAAATCAAGTAGAGTAATAGCGACACCTAAAAAAGAGAGATAGTTTTTGGAATTATTCTTATAAAGTACATCTATATGTATCGCGTAGGATGTTCATCCGGGCTCCGAGGATGTCACCCACTATACAATTATGCCAATTACATATTTTGTATCTCCTCGGCCGAACAAATTAGATAAACTAACCAGAGTGCGATGGGGAATGTGAATTTCCATCCTGTAACCGAATAGTCAAAAAAGCACTAACTGCAAAAAGCGTCAAATTCAAAATTAATGCTTTTATGAGACAACCACCTTACAGGAGTACAACAATCGCAATATATATTGCCCTATGGTGTATCTTTCTATGGCTTACAAACTGTTAATTGACAAAATAAAAGTAATAATACAAATTAAAGAGCAAAGCCCTCAAAAGCAGTGAAAAATACCAAATACAAAAATGGAGAACCCACGTTATGCCAAGTGTTCCTTTCTAAAAGTATATATCTAGACGAATACTTTTCGTAATATCTGAATATTTGTAGATAAATCTAAAAAGTCTATCATTGATTAATGAAGCCAACTACAAGTAACTAGTAATCTCATTCAATCTAAATATTTTCCAAATCTCCCCTTTCTAATATTGCTATTGCTTTAGCGTTAAAACCAACAACAAAAACTAAAATTCTGACAAGAATGGAAAGCTAGTAAAAATTAATAAATATTGATTTGTTGCTAAATTAATGAAATTGTACCTTTGAAAAAGGAATTCTGCGATCGATTCATTCCTAGCGTAGCACGAAATCCTTATAGTTGTTAAAGCAGATGATAGACGAGATTGAGAAGAATGAGATCGTCGTGGCACAAAATGCGAAATTAAGTTAAGTTTTTCCAAAAATTCGAGAATCCAGCTCCTTGTTCTTTTTGTATATATAAGTACATACAAGGTAACAAATTTAATTGGTAATTAATAAAAGAAAAACAACAAAAAAAAAAACGCTTTCGTTAAAAATAATCTCTCAACTGTGTGTGTCCTGTGGTGTTGTTGTGGGTCTAAAAGAGTCCTTTTCTTAAATTCTAGATAAAATCACAATTCAAAGTAGTCCTTGTTTTGGGACTACTGGATAATCAGCTTTGTTTGGCGGGTGTTTGGTATGTATTTGTCCTTATAGTCCTCAAAAATCTTATGCAGAGCCTCCATAACTTTTCCATGAATTTCATCCACGTAAGCGATATCGGGCTGATCACTCTTGATCACATCAATGGGAGATCCAACTGAAATATTATTTGGTGAAGGATTCAATTCAACTTTAATCATTTTGAAGGACTTACCAACTTGGACAATACGCCGACGATATGGTACAATACCAAAGGTATAGTTGAACATACCACGTCCTTTCGGAATTATAGGCGAAATTCCGATTAATTTTTTTACGGAATTCTGAAAGCGGCGGAGCTTTGAATTCGGGGGATTCTCCACCTGGTCGTATATATCCACCTCGCCAAAGGACAATGAGGGTACGATGGATGAGCTAAAGTTTTAAAGGAGTTAAAATACTGTCTAAAATATGTCTTGAGCACCATTACTCACCCCGTTCGAATTGCCATTTTGACAAAACCCTTTCTATTCTTGAGGGTCAACATGTATTGGCCAGGATGCGAGTCCATAGCTTCTTGGGCTCCACCAACTAATATTGCCACCGCATTGGAGGTAAATCCATCTTGATTATCCTCATGCTTGGGATCATTCGATTTATTAAGCAAATAGACCAAAGACTCCTTGGAGACCGATACCATGCCCCAAAGCCGAATAACTTCCCGCAGGAAGGGGGTCTTGAAATGATGATCCAATGTGGCGATTTTTGGACGAACTTGGGGAAACAGTTTCAGCCACTTGGAAATTTCCATTCCCATATTAACACAGATACCCATTCTATAACAATAATAATGTTATTAAAGCTTAGGTTTAATCTAAAGTACTTACCCTATGAGCCCGTGGGGAAAACTAGCTATAATGTAGTTTCTATTGGGCGGCAGCTCGGCGGTCTTTACAAGTTCCACGGGGAAATAGTCGCGATAACTTGGATTTTTGCGAAGAAAAGGCACTGACCAGCTGAAAGAATTTATTTATTAACTCTTTATAATCTATAATACAATCTATTTTATATATTTTTCTTACCCGTTGCCCTCCATGATGCCAAAATGTTTTTTATAATCCGTGTATATGTAAACGAAGTAGACCAAGAGTACAGTCCGCAAAATAAATCCACCATAATACTGAATGTAGAAGAAATAATCATTTTGGAATAATAGTTTATCAAAGTAATAGGGCTCTTAAAATTTGAGTGTTACACTTCAAACGTTGTGATATTTGAAGAGTTTTATTTATTTATTACACTTTGATTGATAATTCACATTGTATTCACTATTATAACATATTATCACTTTATTTTAAAAATGTCATAACGAACCCAAATTAAAGTTTTATTTCATTAAACATATTATTTTTGAAAAAACACGGATTGATCAAGGCTTGATTTAATTTTTGAATATTAAAATTAAAGCACAAAGAATCACTATTTAACACTTGGGAATCCTGTGACATCCTTAAAATCCAACTTTTCAGTTTTATTAAAAACTAAAAAAAATATATATTTATATTACCAGCAGGAATGGAGTACAAAATGTCGATATAATAGGCAGCCAGAAAAATGTGTATGTAAAGACGGCCGTAAAGAAAGTCTGAAGTCGCCGATCCATCGGAACGTTGAGCGGAGCCCATTCTATTTTCATGGTGTCTTTCCTTTTTTTAATCTCCAACCGATCTTTGAAAGAAACCTGCGACTCTTTCGACGTCTGTCCAGCGACTGAGCTCCAGAGAAACGGAGCTACAACATATGTACTTCCCATTTGTAATGGGTCTACTTATCCTTATCAATATGGCAGACAGCCTCTTCGTAATAGTAACGGCTTGAGAACCTCTCTTCAGCGATAAGAAACTGATAAGTACTTAAGACAGGCACTAGACTATGCATAAGTATTTATTAAAAATAATATTCAATGATCATTGTATGCATACAGTAATATTACGTCACAATCTGATGATGCTCGTCGCATGAGACCATTTATAAGACTAATTTATATGCACAAATTATAATCAAATCAGCCGACGTATCAGTCTGATAAGGAAAGTTTATAGAGTAATAGTATATTCCATTGAGTGGCTGTAAATTTTTGATTAGAATCTTAGTACACCCTCAAGTTGAATCATAGCTGTAGTTTCATATTGGGGTCTTGGGGGCAGAGTAAGATTCTAATGTTTATGTGGGCAACCCGATCCGATATCAGCAATCACTTATGTACGACCTTTAGAACACATGCTTGGCAGAACACTTCGCAACAGCCGAATTTTTACCCCCAATACTTGGTTTATTGATAAGGAGTTCAATCCACTTTTTTGTATTGCCAGCTTGGGATTTGTGTCGCTCTTATCAGTCGTGGGTCTTCATTGAACAATTGCTGATTCATTCACATGATATTACATGACACTTTGTATATATTTTTTTTGCTTCTCGAATTGCCTTTGTCACTTTTGAACTGAAATATGAAGCCAAAGGGCAGCTTACTCATTGACCTTGTCTTTTGATTAAGACAAGGGTCAGGCGGGTCAGGCAGCCCAGGTAGCAGCCGCTAAATTAGTTTATAGTTTTCTTATTATACATTACATTAAGTCACTGCTTAGCACCATAAACTGGTCTATCTGCGGATCAACCGTTTTCATCTGCATGCAGAGTAAATATACTTATAACGTTCATAATTATTTTATTTTTGAGCGGATTAATGTCATTGAAAAGCCTCAATAACCAAACACTAAAAATTCAATAAAGTTTTATACAAAATTTAGTATGTATTGCTTTCAGTTATGAGTTCTATTAGAAAAAATTTCCATTTGATGTTTAACATTTTCTTAAATAAAATAATCACATTATTCTTAATACTTAAAAAGTATATACATTCATTGTATAATAAGCTTAGCGTTCTTGGAGTTTTTAATGTACTTGTCCTTGTGCTCTTCAAATAATACTTTAATGGCCTCGATGACCTGGCCATGAACTTTGTCCACGTACTCCGAATCAGGTTGAGCGCTTTTCACCACATCAATAGGTGAGCCAACTGAGAAAACACAATAATGAATTAGGTTTTAATCATACCAAAAATATGTCATAAATTAACTTACCAACTTGAACGATTCGTCGGCGGAATGGCAAGAATCCAAAAGTGTAGTTAAAGAAACCCCGACCCACGGGAATCAACGGGGAAACGCCAGTGAGTTTCTTAACCAAGTTTTGGAATTTTCGAAGCAGAGAATCTGGGGGATTGGCCACTTGATCAAAAATGTCCACCTCGCCAAATGAAATGGAGGGAACAATAGAGGAGCTGCAGTTAAAATATAATTATTAATGATTTAAATTCATTATTAGACAAACACTAACCCTGTACGAATGGCCATTTTAACAAAACCCTTGCGGTTCTTCAGGGTCAAAATATACTGGCCAGGATGCGAGTCCATCGCCTCCTGGGCACCACCCACCAGAATAGCCACCGCATTGGAGGTGAAGCCATCGCTGTTTTCCTTGTGCTTGGGATCATTCGATTTGCTGAGCATCCGAAGTAGAGCCTCCTTGGACACCGACACCAAGCCCCAGCAGCGCAGGACCTCACGCATGAAAGGAACATGAAAATGCTGATCCAGAGTGCCCAGTTTGGGGCGCACCTGGGGGAACAACTCCAGCCACTTGGAGATCTCGACACCCATGTTAATGCCAATGCCAGTACTGCAAACCGAATCAGTGTCTATTTATAATGAATCGATAAGATTGGTTGTCAGTAAATCATACCCAAGAATGCCATGAGGAAAGCTGGCCAATATGTAGTTGCGGTTGGCAGGCAAATCAGCGGTCTTTACCAGCTCCACGGGGAAATAATCGCGATAGTACCGATGCAAGCGATTAGTTCTAGTTATCATCCAGCTTAAAATAGGGTTCAAGATGCCAATTTTGTGAGTCTTATCTTTCGAGAACAACTTACCCATTGTTATCCACAACAGATTGGGTTTTTTTATGGTGAACATAAACATAACCCAAGTACAGTAGCATCAAGCTGCGCAGCCAAAGACCTCCATAGATCTATGAGTGTGATTGTGTATTTTTGAGTTATTTTTTATCATAAACATAATTCGGAAATATCCTACCAGAGAACCAGCAACTAGTAGAAACGATGTTGATAGGAGCACCAACAGCATGGAGGTAAAAAATGCTGTCACTACAATCTGAAGACGACGTTCCAGAGGAACCCGAAGTGGTGCCCATTCGATTTTCATTTTAAGTCACTGTCAGTCCAATACTGTTCAATAATCCACCAGCTGCTCTATCGATGGTTCTCCCACGACTGAATGATATGGTAGCCAGCGGCGGTCAACTTTCTGTGCATTAAACTTATACTTATCCTTATCGGCTTTAGTTCTGATGTCGGGCGCCCGCATTAGTTGGCTAATCATTTACCAGCTACTGGGTCTGGGACTTTGTTTGGGGGCGATGGGAATTCGCGATTAGAGTGATAAAGGTGATATTGGTTGTTTTACAGCTAACGTCTGGTAATCGGCAATCACATTTTTTTTTGGTGCAAAGGTATGCGGCTATTCCCAACAACAGATATCGTCTTTTAAATTATAGCACCTTTTGAGTTAAAGAGTTGAGTGATTCAATTAAGTTTATTTTGTATTTTCGGTGAGTAACTATGATAAGAGTTAAAGATTCGTATGCCATTTTATTGGTACTAATTAAAAGGTGGTCTTCTAGACTAAGCTAAACTACACAAGCTATAGTGCATGATGAAACAATTGATTCAAACGAGGTAATCATGTTTAACCAAGGCAAAGTCCAACCACGTTTAAAAAGTTCAACCTGTTTTCTTTATAAAAAACAACTATGTTAAAAGTCTATTAGCCAAAAGTATATTTAAACCGCTTTAAAAATTTAAATTAAAATAAGAAGTAAATATTTACAACTAAGCACATGCTTTTATTTCTTTTCAAAATTTATTGCCCCAATTTTCAAACTGATTTTGGTATATACTGTTTAGTCAACACTTGAAACTATCGATAGTCATTTCATATTAAGCTTTTAGTGATGGCACTAAAGTTCAATAACTTTGTCGATTGATTTTATTTTATTTAAAAATTGTATCCCTATTTACAAATTCACAAAAAATATAACAAAATCGCAACTTAAAAAAATAATAAATTGTTCTGTAATTAATGCTTATAAAGCATTATTTTGATCACATTAAAAATATAGATAATAATTCCGTTGACTAGTGAATGACAAGCTTGGTATTCTTGGCATTTGGGATGTATTGATCCTTGTACTGGGCAAACATCTTCTCCAGGGCCTCAATGACTTGATTGTGGATTTTATCTACGTAGGCAGGATCCGGTTTATCGCTCTTGATCACATCAATGGGGGAACCAACTAAAATTTTAGTTTTGATTAGTAACGAAGGATAATATTTGGAAGAATCTAAGACTCACCAACTTGAACGATGCGGCGACGATTAGGCAGAAAGCCAAATGTATAATTAAAGATTCCTCGGCCCACAGGAACCAAAGGCGAAATTCCTGTCAGCTTTTTCACAAAGTCCTGGAAGTGACGAATCTTTGAGTGGGGTGGATTAGCCACTTGGTCAAGAATGTCCACCTCGCCAAAAGAGAATGTTGGTACTATTGAGGAACTGAAATAAAGTAATAGTTATTGAAAGATTAATACGAATTGACATTAAATCTCCACTTACCCCGTTCGAATGGCCATTTTGACAAAACCCTTTCGATTTTTCAAAGTCAAAATATATTTTCCTGGATGGGAATCTAGTGCCTCTTGGGCACCACCCACCAAAATGGCAACCGCATTGGAGGTGAAGCCATCTTGATTGTCCTTATGCTTGGGATCATTGGATTTGGTCAACAAATAGACTAAAGCCTCCTTGGATACGGAGACCAAGCCCCAGGATTTCAGCAGTCCACGCACAATAGGGGTCAAGAAATTCTGGTCAAGAGTGGCAACCTTTGGCCTGACTTGAGGAAATAGTTCCAGCCACTTGGAGATGTCTAGACCCATGTTGGTGGAAATGCCAGTCCTATCGGGGGTTTCAACATTTACATAAGTGTGTATACAAAAGTTTCGTCACTTGAGGCGGATCGATAAGATTCGCTATCAGTCAACAAGTCTTACCCCAGAATTCCATGGGGAAAGCTGGCCATAATATAGTTTTTGTTGGGGGGAAGTTCGGCGGTTTTGACCAACTGCACGGGAAAGTAGTCTCGATAATGCCGAAATAGCCAATTATTACGGAAAATCTTCAAGCTAGAAGGGTTTTAATTTTATGAACTATTTTTTATTATCTTTACTAAGATTTTAAGCTTACCCATTGCCGTCCATGATAGAGTGGGTTCTTCTATGATCCACAAAAACGTAGACCAAATAAATAATGGTTAGAGTACGCAAGTATAGACCGCCATAGATCTTTTTAAAACATAGTTTTGATTTAAATAGTATAACCATTTAATGTTTAATTTTATTTACCAGAAAAGCAGCCGTCAGAAAGTACGAGCCCAGGGAAAGCAACATAAACGAAAGTATGAAGAAAGCCATGGCAAATGCTTGCCGCCTTCGTTCAATTGGAACATTTTTGGGAGCCCACTCGATTTTCATGTTTAAAATATTGAAGCACTCTTCACTCTTAACAATTATTAAGTAGCGACTCTAAGAACGGTCCTCCAACGACTGAAAAAAAATTCCAATGTTTAAGTTACTTTTTTCTTATCCTTATCAGTATCCGCCGATGGCGCGAACCGGTGCCTATCGGTAACAGTTGTTAACAAAAAATAATATGAAAAAAAAGAATGTTGGCCAGTTAATGGCTATTTGCTTGGGGTGGTTAAAAATTCTTATAATCGCGATGACTTTAAATAGACGTCTGGTTGCAATTATCGTCACTCTTATCACGGCCAACAGCCGGCAAATGAAAACGTTTGCTTGAAATCACACTCTCCGAGTTTTGTTTCCATTTTTTTCTGGTTCCTTGATTTGGCTTTTATTAGAGTTGAAGTAATAATTACAAGTGATTTTCCAATTCAAATGTCATTAAAATGAGAACGAAACTTGTTTTGCAAATTATGGCAATTAACTCATATTGAACAGAATGACTGTTTTAAAAAGATAAGCTTTGGAACATCATGTTGTTTTTGAGGGAAAATAGGTTATCCAAAATCACATATTTTTTAAATTTAAAATTCACATGTTTATGATTATTAAGTACTTTGTAAAGGTAATTAAATCCAAAGTGAGTTTTAATATAATTTAATATTTAAATGTCATTAGAAAGAGAACGAAACTTGTTTATGACTCGTTTTGTAAGTTATGTCTCGTTAACCGCTGGCATGTTCATAAAATAGTCACAGTGTAATCTTTGGATCACCAAGGACATTATTTATTCATAAAAGCACTACATATATTTTTATAAATAGGTATAAATATATTTATTGAAATGCCAATTACCTTCAAAGCTATGATGTGAGAGTCTCTCGGTTACATTTATTTATTTTTGTTTGGAGAAGTCGCACGCTTTTTTATTGTTTACACACGTAATGGTTCGTTATCGCATTTTGAGAGCAGAACCGATGAGACGAACGTTCAATTTGTAAATAAACCACAGAGCAGCGTGCACAAAGTCAGAGAGCAATACATGAGATTCTCATATGGGAATTAAACGATGCAACAATTGAGTCAGAGGCCGTAATTGTGGGTTCTAAAGCCTTATAAACTGACTCAGTGGCAACAGAGGTCATGTACTAAAAAGTGCATTTGGAATTGTTTTTATTATTGTAAAATGATACACATTTAATCGTTTCAAATTCAAAACTTTATTTTTGAGTTCAATTTAGATAATTTAGTAATGTTTAGAGTTCAATTTAGTAATGTTTTGTAAGGGCCGCTTTAAATGGTTTGTCCATTGAGTATTTAAAATGAGCGCCAAACTGGTTTTTAAAAAGGATCGGAATGTTTTACAACACTAAAGCCCTTTTTATCGATAAGCATTGATTGCCGCCAAAATTAAAATTAAACTTCGTAGACATATTGGAAAGCCAACTGAAGAAACTCCAATAAATATAGTTACATATTTAATTTTCTATTTTATTAAATGCCAATCGAATAAAGGTAATAAAAGTTCGGAAAATAAATTTCCCAATTTCTGCTTTCGTTACAATTACAAAGTGACGATCCAATTTTTGCATTTCAAATGACCCCTAGGCCGATCCACTCCATTGCATGGAACAGAGCCGTGAAGTACCGCCAAAGAAGTGAAAAAACAAAACAAAATAGCACAAAATTTATTCACCCAGTCACCGTTTATCATGATTTCTTTATACACCGTATTCCTCCGTCGCATTTTCGGTCTCAGTTTGATCTGATAATCCCAGAACGGAGGTTGCTATTGATCTTATAAAGTGAAATACCTAATTTCAAAGCTTTTAACAATAAAAAACTAACAAATAATAAGATAGATTCAAAGTTCAGTTTAGTTCAGTGCAATAATTTAAAAAAGTGTTTAAAGAACGGGTTCACACAAAGAAATTTATTCTCAAGAAAGTTGGGAATTATGGTGATTTTTTATGCCCGATATGCATTTCTATTCTGGTTCTTTGTGGGTACCAACCAAGGTCAACTGATGCGTTTGACCCAAATCTCCGAGGACGAGACTCTGCTCAATGTAACCTCTTGCACACAAAATTGTCTTGAAATTGGGGAAAATGTACGTATGTGTCCAGGTGCTTGGCTCCAATAGTGCTGGCTATTTGGCTTCTTTCTATTTAAGCTATTTTTATCTAATTTCTGCAGGATTTTAAAGGCTGCTTCAGGTCCTGTCGTTTTAATGGCACTGCTCCAGCTCCATTACGAAAAGTCCAGGACAACTTTCAGCTTCAGATGCAATGCCATACAGAGTCCCAGCTAGTTTTCCGCATCAACTGGGTCCAACACAGCAAAGGAAACGATACTGCTCCAAACGTCACTTATATAATTAAATTGGATCTTGCCAACAACGATTTTGATGAGACTACTCTTTACCTGGTAAAAAAATAATATAAAATGGCAAAATAAACGGGTCTTCTTGATATAAATATGTATATTTCAGTCCGATGACAATTTCCTGGAGTTGCCTGATTTAAGAGCCAATTGCAGTTACAATGTTACAGCTTTGGCGGTACATGGAGATGGAAGTTATTCCTTTATAACCAAGGATGTCACTTTTTCCACTCTCATGAGAGGCTATCAACCTAGTAAAATGGGAGCTGTAACTCTGGTTGGTTTTCTTCCTCAAGACGGGGATCTTCAGCATATATCTGCTGAGATTGAGTGGCAACCATCAGCAGGTTGGTAGTCATATTATTGTTTAAAATAACAATAAAACAATAGGTTTTAAAAAAAATATTTATATTTCAGAAAGGAATTGCTTTTTTGACATGGTATCCTATTCCACCAATAGCGTCAATATGGACGAACCTAAGGTTGAGACCTTTCGTGATGTGAGTATTTTAGCTACAAACCATAAACTTGGACCTGTTTTATGCTTTAATTTAGCTAACAAAACAACACCGACACACCTTGGACAATCTGGAATTTGGAAAAAACTATTTAGTTGGCGTAAGGACAGTCAATATCATGAATCGATTGGAAAGTGAGGTGGAATGGCTTACGGTAGAGGTGCCCACTTGCTTGGAGTGGTATCCCTTCAACTACACGCTTTGCTGTAAGATATACTCAACTTAAAGGTTGTGAAAATCCCCTAAATAACCCTATTTTTCAGCCCCCCATAAACCGGAGAATTTAAGTGTCCTGCAGGAGCAATATCTACCAAATACTTTAGCCTTAAATATCACTTGGACGCGTCCCACGCACCTGCCGGATAACTATACCCTGCTAATTTATGACTTGTATGTGGGTGGTTCAAAGATGAACTATACGCTGGACAAAAACGAAAGTCACTTTTTCATACCAAAGATCACTGTAAAAGGTCCCAGCTTTGACGTATACTTAATAGCCGAATCCGAGGGAGGCACAAATATAACACATTTAAACCTCATAAAAGCACCTTTTGAATCTTGGCTAAGTGGTAGGTGACCAAAAAAACCAACAAACATTATTAAAGCTTAACTCTAATTACTCGCTATATAGGAGGCAACCTGGCCAAGCTAATAATCTTCATAATTGTGCCCATTTTTTGCATTGTCATGCTCTGCTCCTTGACCCTGTGCCGGCGAAATCGGCAGGATTGTCAAGCCCTGGAAATGGAGTCGAAGGATGGAAAGGCTGTCGGGAATCAGGCCAGCGATTTCCATCAGTCCATCATGGATAGCAGTGGCCTAGGATTGGTCACCCTGTTGGCTAACGAAAGTCTGGACATTATTGACGAGTTGGAGGTGGAACCGCGTTCAGTGCTCTTGCAGGATGTCCTGGGCGAGGGAGCTTTTGGTTTGGTGCGACGAGGAGTATACAAAAAACGACAAGTGGCAGTCAAGCTGCTAAAAGGTAAGCTTATAAAATTTTAATTATTTTTATTTTCAAATCCAAAACCTTTTTTTTCAGACGAACCCAACGAGGAGGATGTGTATGCCTTCAAGTGCGAAATACAGATGCTGAAAGCTGTGGGGAAGCATCCGAATATTGTGGGAATTGTGGGCTATTCTACACGTTGCAGCAAAAGGATGATGTTGCTCATTGAATATTGTAGTCTGGGAAGCTTGCAGAACTTTCTACGGTGGGAGATTAATAATCTTTAAAAACTGTTAAAAAAATGTAACAATTATTTTAGAGAGGAATGGAAATTCCGGCAGGAGGGTTCTGCCATTGGTGTCAAACAAAATATCGAAGAGAATATTGAGAAACGCCGCTTCCATCGTCCTAGCCGTAGTTCCATTCATGATCGGATCGAGGACATTAATATCTCCATGCTGTCCACCGTGGAGGAGGAAAGTGAAGCTGATCAGACTAAAACCAGCAGTCGAGTGGAGACCTACACACTAACTCGAATAACCAATGCAGCAAATAATCAGGGTTATGGATTGGAGGATATAGAAAATATAGGTGCTCATCCTGTACAATGTGCAGATATCCAAGAGGAGAAGCCAAACATACAACGCACTTTTGAAAACAAAGAGTATTTCAACACTTTGGACTCAACAGATGCCAACAAGAATTTAACAAGAGTTCCCTTGAAATACGCGGATTTACTTGATATCGCCCAACAAGTGGCTGTTGGAATGGTAACGATTATAATTTAGAAAAACCCAATTATAAGTCTTATCTTCTTTCCTAGGAATTTCTAGCTCAGAACAAAGTTGTTCATCGCGATCTTGCAGCCAGAAATGTTTTAATTTCACTGGATCGGAGCATTAAGATTGCTGATTTTGGGTGAGTAATACATACTAAGAAAATACACAAATTTTATAAACTTGCCTATGCTTATTATATGTATTATGTCTAGATTAAGTCGGGATGTCTACCATGAGAATGTCTATCGAAAATCTGGAGGAAGCGGCAAACTGCCAATCAAGTGGCTGGCCTTGGAGTCACTCACCCATCAAGTTTACACCAGCCAGAGCGATGTGTAAGACAATAAATACTGTTAATACTTACTTAATATTCTTAAAAAAAAAACGAAAAGCTAACTTCGGGCGGAGCCTAAGTAATATACCCCTGCGGTTGAGATTGGACATTTATCGCACATATCGCATATAGGAGGCTGACCCCTAGAAAACCAATTTAATAGAACACAAAACTTAAAAAAGGTTTCCCAAGCTTCTATCTTCAAAAATACTAAAGTTTGGTTTTCGCCAAATACCAAATACTTTTTACGATAGTTCACTTATATGGCAGCTATAGGATGTAGTCCCCTATCCGGATGCGGATCTGATTCTCAAGCGGAGTACCTTAAACGAATTCTAGATCGATTCTCCACCATTCTGCATAAAAATCCTGAGACAAAATATTTTTTCGATTTTTTGTCCATTTTTCTTGAGGGAACCCCTTGAAAATGGGGTTTTTACCTATAGGGTCCACAGCGATGGCTATATCTTCCCCAATTCTCATCCGATTCTCAAGCGGAGTACCTTAAACGATTTCTAGATCGATTTCCCACCATTCTGCATCAAAATCCTGAGACAAAATATTTTTTAGATTTTTTGCCCTATTTTGTGATGGGATCCCTAGAAAATGGGGGTTTCCCTATATGGCCCACTGTGATGGCTATATCTTCCCCAATCCGGATCCGATTCTCAAGCGGAGTACCTTAAACGATTTCTAGACCGATTTCCCACCATTCTGCATCAAAATCCTGAGACAAAATATTTTTTAGATTTTTTGTCCATTTTTCGTGATGGGATCCCTTGGAAATGGGGTTTTTCCCTATATGGCCCACTGTGATGGCTATATCTTCCCCAATCCGGATCCGATTCTCAAGCGGAGTACCTTAAACGATTTCTAGATCGATTTCCCACTATTCTGCATCAAAATCCTGAGACAAAATTTTAAAAATTTTCCAGTTGGTCGTTTGGAGTATTACTCTATGAGATCACCACGCTTGGAGGAATGCCGTACCCTTCAGTTTCCCCTGGGGATCTCCTGCAGCTCCTGCGACAGGGTCACCGCATGAAACGTCCTGATGGCTGCACTGATGAAATGTAATTTTTTCTAATGATTAAGGAAGATCAGCATATTAATTAATTGCTTTATTTATCAGGTTTGCTTTAATGGAAAGCTGCTGGTGTTCCGTTCCCTCCCACAGACCTACATTTTCTGGCCTCAAGGAGCGACTGGGTGTCATGATCGGTGCTACCAACGAGATCCCTCAAAGGTTGCAGAAACTTCAGGCAGCATTGGACTCCACAGCGGAATCTAATGACAGTCTTCACAGGTGAGTTGATGACTAATAGAGATTAATGATACTTTTCTGAACTCTTCAATCTTAGTAAAGTGGAGACGTTGCCCAGCCATGAAGAAGCCTACTTGGAACCCCTGCAGTAAAGTTGGAGATCAATCAACATAAATTATTTAAGTGCAATATGATAAACTATTGAATATCCTATTCTAGAATTCGAAACCCAACTAAGACAAAGCTATAAAGCAGCTAGCATACTTCTACTTGGGAATAAAAATTAATGTTAAGTTTAAAATAATTTTAGAAGATTTTTCATGTTGTCGGGTATTTAAGACCTGACGTAAAATCTTGGACTTTGCACTTTGCGTCATCTTCTCCAGCTTAAATAATTTTTCCAATTTTTTTCCATTTTTTGTTTTTTTTTTGTGGCATTGAATTGACATTTCAACATGAACGTCCTCATCTTCGGAGGTGTAGACTTCGCAACAATCTGGCTTATTTGGAACTTGGTCCTTTTGATCGCCACGGCCTCTGAAAATTCGAAATTAAACGTCTTTGGAAGGTCCCAAAATGTGCATCCATTGCTGTCGACTAAGCCGGACTCCCTGTCCAAAAATCCCATACAGCTGTCCCCACTGTCCGGTACGCACCATCTCTAGATGCTGTCCTTTGGGTAGCTATACGATTCCGGGCGGTAAGCCCAAGTACGAACATCCCTGGATAAGGGGTAAGGATCCGAGGACTTTGCCAAATCCCTGTGTGGTGGGACCACCGCGTTGGCTGGAAACGAACCGGGAGGCTATTTTCGCCCTGGCCGCCAAGGTGAATCGGTCCCCAGAAGCTGCCCATTATCTGGTGATACAGTTACTGCACGCCAACTACAGGAAAGTAATGATGATATCCCGAAAAAGACGCACCTTTAAGGTGCCCTTGGCTGGCTATCCGGATCAGGATTGCTTTACTGCTGGCAATACGATTATTGATAGCAATGGTGATGTTATTGCTCCAATGGCTCCGGATACTCTGAGCAAGTTGCTCCTGATGATGCAGGACTACATCTTCCGTTTGAGGCTGCTAAACAGGAAGTACAAGTGGTATGGGAACGGGGATGATCACGGTAACATTCAATGCCTGCTGGGAGAGCAAGATGAACTGGTGCGACTGCTGAAAGGCCTCTTCGGAGGCAGTAGTGACATTGTGGCCGTCACGGATCTTCTCACGGCCCTAAACGAGCTGGACTTTCAAGATCTGTACACCAAGAAAAAGACAAAGGCATCTCCCTGGCTGGTGCGAGACATTTCCGATCTATATTTGGAAGTGACGGCACCGTCCGAAGAAGCCTCGCCAAGCCCACCAATAATTGGCGATGCCTTCCATATGTCGGACTATAAGCTGCCATTCACATATTCAACAAGAGGGAATCCCAGTAAGGCCTTTATGCGAGGCAGGATGAGGCATATTGAGAGAAATGACGACACGACCCAAGAAGTTGTTAAGCCCAAAAAGGTGCGCAAAGGCAACTACGTGGCCAGAGAAATACCGCAGCTCTTCTTCGGGCCCTTCGACCGGAGAAACAGTGCCACTTGGATGTCCCGACACCCAGACACCCTCAGGTTAGGACCTACGGGCCAAATAGAAAAGCGCCGGGTGAAGCATTACAGGAACAGTATTGAAAATGCAAAATTCAAACGATTGGCAGATAGGATGTCCATACACAGCGAAAAGTCCGACAGATCGGGCGATTTCAAGGATATGTTCGGTCGCGATGTTTCCCATAAGAGGATTGGCAAAAGCCCCCGAGGCAGCTTTAAAAAAAAGAACCATAATAGGTCACGACGACAAAGCCAAACTTCAGCTTAAAGAAAATCCTTAAAATGGATTTTTTTTAGAAGACTAACCAAAGGTCGTGACTACTGAGCCCAAGTTACTCAAACATTGGAACAGTAGTCATGGTCTTTGGTTGGGCTCTGAAAAAAATGTATTCATTTCCTAAGAAATATTTTAATAAACTAAGAAAATCCATGTCATTTGTTTAAGAAATCACTCTTACAATTCTGATTTATAGTATGAATAATGGGTTTTTTAACATTATAGTTTTAAGGTCATTTGAACTGAATTTTTTTCAAACAAAGTACATCATTCAGATACAAAGTATTACGATAATATAATCGACAAACAAACGAGTGCAAAAAATGTTTCCCATTTTTGTTTACCCCCAATCGGAGTGCGAATACTAACAAGTTTTCTGTTGCAATTTTTGCAAAAACGTAAAATTAGAAAAACGACTTTAAACTCTCCGAAAATAATGAAGTGTTTTTATTAAAAATCCCCCATTCAAAACCACAAAAACTAAACAATACGATTGTATAAAGGTGTACTTCTATGCACATATATACATAATGGATTTACGTAAACATTAGTGTAGTTCTCCAGGTGGGAGAAGGGTCACTCCCACCGGCATCATTTATCTTTGGACTTCCTGCGGTACTCGAGGTTACGACTAGTTGCGGTTATATCCCAGGCCCAGAATATTACGTGCCTGTGATTAAAAAATTCGACTTTAGTGGAATGTACATGGATTATCCCAAGGGTTACTCACCGTCACGAAAGCTGAGTTGAAGGAACGTTGAAATGTGTGCGTCATGCCCTCGGTCTGGCTGAGCATCATCTGTAGTTGCACGGCCTCGTCCATTCTGTTCTTTAGGAACTCCCACGTATTGGCATGTCCTGGCGAGGTGTCTTGCAGCAGGTACAGCTCTGTCATCTTCATAATGGTGGCCAAGCCCACGCGCCGCGTGTACCATCCAAACTGCAATACAGAAAGCCATTAATATTTGAATATAACATTAAGGATGTCAGGACATCTTACATCTACGGATCGATCTCCGGAGTAGTAGCAAATATCGTCGACTAGGGTGAGCACCTGGGCAAGGGCTGTGGGTGCGTGCTGTGGCTGGGCAATTAGTGCCATGGCTTGGGGCCACTGTGCTTTGTAGGGTGCAATCATCTCCATGCGCTGCCGCACAGCCTGCACCAGGAAATCCATGGGGTTCTCCACCTCCTGTTTCCCATCGTCTGTCTTTTTCTGCAAACTCTCCACCAGCTCGGCATTGCACTTGCCATTGAAGTGGGACACCAGGGCGAAACCGCCCTCGGGGAACATGCCGTGCACCACACTGGGATAGCCGCTGTCCTCGGCACCCTGGACAATGGCCTGCCGGGACCAGCCATGCTGCGGTACATGCTGCAACGCAGCGTCTAAAATCTTGGACCTAATGGCATCAACCTTGGCTTGCTTAGCCTCGTCTTGTTGGCTATCGGTTCCTGTTCCTGCTGAGCCTCCTCCACCGGCAGCTTCCTTCTTTGTATCTTCAGCATCCCGCTCCTTTTCACGCTGTTCCTCTCGCGCCCGGAAAGAGTCCAAGTTGCTTGTCTTATTATCGCTGGCATACCTTCTCGACAGCAGGAAGGTGAGAGGTCTGGGCTGCAAGGTGGCTATTCTGGAACTCTGAGCATCTGCAATAGAGGGGTTAAGATCTAGGTAATTGCTGACCATAAAAATTCTAAACTGCCAAAATAAAATAGGTTCTAGCCATTTCGCAATGCAAAAATGGCATCTGTGGCTATTTAATTAGCACCCAGAACTGGCTCAATTATCCGCTTAATTATCGCCCAAGTCGAGACCCCCAAAACCCCCAAAGATCAGTTTCAGTTTCGTTTTTGTTTACTTGTTTACTCATACTATTTACGGTAATCATTTCGCTTTCATTATGGACATATTATAAGTTAGGCATCCGAGGGGAGCCGTCGCTTGCGAGCGGCCAGCTCGATGCATTCGTTGGCCCGCACGTAGAGAGCCAGCAGGGTTTCCAAGCTGGTGATAGAGCTGGCCAGCACCTCGAGTTTCTCCTTGCGTCCAATGTCCGGTAGGTGGGTGTCTCCATCGCCGCCGGCCATTCCGCTATTGGAGATGTTCACGGCCAGCATGTTTAGCTGGCGTTGCATCAGCGCATCGTCCGAAGCACTCTGTCCGTTCTCCACCCGCTCCATGTACGCCTTGTAGTGGGCCATGGAGAAGTCCAGGGCCTTGCCCAGCGGCACTAGAAATCGCTTCTCGATTTCCGGCAGAATGTGCCAGAATCCAGTCAAATTATTCTCGTCCCTCAGCGAAAAATATCGCAAAATATTGAGGGCATTGCAGAGGCGATCGGCATTCAGCAGCAAGTCCGACTTAACATCGTGAGGCAGGACACAGACGCACAGCAGCAGCATCTCCCGGAACATCTCTCCGCTGAAGACATCTGGCAGAAGCGAGCCCTTTCTTAAATACTCATCCGCCAGATCCTTGTACATCGCACTAAGATAGCCCATCAGTCCGTCGTGTTGGAGTGTTTCCAGAAGGTTTTTGATTATCAGGTACTTTCCCTGATCTTCGAATGCCACGATATACCGCCGGAGAACGTTTAGGCCTATTTGGCGGAGAGACACCTGCGGGGAGTAACCCACAATTTTGCACAGAGCCTCGCAGAAGCGTTTGTGGACGTCCAGCTGAAGGGAAGTGGCGGGCACAGGCTCCGATAGTAGATTTAGAATGCTTTCTTCCAAACGGAGACCACAGTGCTGGAGGGATGGCTCCTGCTGGTTAAGGAGAACCTCCACCAAATAGGCAATTGTCTCGAAGAGAAACTGCGGGGCGTAGATCCTGGGTGCGGTAAAGGGCATTAGGTTTCCGACGAACAGGGAATGATAGTACATGGCTACTGCATGCAGCGGCAGCTTGTCCTCGATGAGGAACAGATTGTGGCTGCTCATTTCGTAGACACCCTTGGAGGCATCCAGTTTCCTCTGCCATCTGGCGCGCGTTTCCACCAGGTTCAGCAGATAGTAGGGATCACCCAGGCCTTTGCTGGCATCCTGCGTAAGGCTTTCAACCACCTGATTGACGTACGTGCGTGTCATGTCCTCCTTTTCGATGTTCATCTGGAGCAGGGCCAGCGGGCGACCCAGAAGCTGAATGAAAAAACAGGTGAAGACGTTCCGACGGTTTATGGAGCAATCCCTGAAGACTTGGTCGTTGGGGCGCATATCCTGCTCCATGATTTCAGTAAAAAGTGGCTGCCGAAACAGCCCTACGGTGATGTAGTGGGCCAGCAGGTCCTCCACCTGCTCTTGCTGCTCAATCAGTCGGGCCTGCTCTTCGTCGTAGCCCTCTGAGAGATAATTTGGCAGAGGAAGGTCCTTGATTCGAGTGAACACACTCTGGAGGCACCACTCCACGGCCTGGGGCTTGTCGCGTCCCTGCCGCTGAAGGAGCACCTGCAGGGCGCGCAGATGGGCCCCAAAGACTGCCAAGCTGGAGCTCTCCTCGACGCGCTCCATCATCTCCAACATTAGCTCCTGCAACGGGGCATACTTGGCCAGCACCTTCAACAGTTCGTCGGAGCAGTCGAACAATTCCGGCTCCTCGGAGTACACAATGTCGCTTATATTTCCGGAGCACACTTCATGGTACAAATCCATGGCTATCAGTGGCAACTGCCGGGTGTTCCTCTCGGCCTCGTTGGGGCTGTTGAAAAGCATTCGCACGCCATCGTATGCTTTTTCCACCAGCAGCTGCTTAATGAGTTGCAGCAGATTGGCGGCCTCCTTGGGATCCGCCTGCGTCCTCACATCCATCGCCTGCTCCTGCTCCATCTCCATCTCCGGCTCCAGAGTTTCAAGCAAAATATCACGACTCAATTATGTTTTTCAGACATTAAAATTTTAGGAAAAAACTTTAGAATTTTACGCCGGCATTGGCAGTCGAATTTTTAACACTCCCCCCGTCCTTTTCCCTTCTCTCTTTCACTCACACGCGCACACTACTCGATCGAACAGCTGTTCGATTGCGGGCTCTCTTTCGTAATGACCACAGAAGCTTAATTATTCGCTTACAGTTGGGGCGCAGGTGTTTGGTTACTTACTGAGGGGCAGGAGCAGCTTCTGTAGGCGGATTAACTTGTGTAAACAGCGCACATTGGCCATTTCAGCGGCTTGAAGTCGTTGGTGCAATTGAAATTGTTTTTGGAATTCACCTGGAAGCCGAAGAAACCAGTGCTGCGAAGCGGCGATAGTTTTTCGGCCTACTGCGTTTTTACATATTTAAAAACTTTTAAATTTTATCCATTTGAGGCTAAGAATGTGTACGCGACTTCACTTAATAAACATAAGGTGAATTATATTAAATATTCAAGCAATCATTTAAATTTATCCCAATATTTAAGTATTAAACACAAAAGGGGTATGATTTAAGCGCAGTTTTTAATGGGACCCTCTACAATTCGGAGTAACTTATGTTTAAAGCTAATTTTTAAATAATAAAAGCCTTTAAACAACATGATTTCGAAATTAAGGATTTTCGTACTGATTTTCATTGTAAATTAGAGTTGCCAACTAGCACTGTTTTATTCTTGGGGCTTATTATCCCATTCTTATAGGTTCCCCCCTTTAGCGTAGTGTTTTTGCGGATTCGGTCACACCATTTCCTCGAGCTCACTTCGTTCGCTGCGGATTTTTTATTAATTTTTAACCGAGATCCGCAAATTGGCTCTTTTAGCCGGAATTGCTTTAACATAAATTAGGCTGGTTAGGGTTTTTCAAATTAAATATTTTTACCAAAAATAAAAAAAATATTCAAACTTTAAAATATGGTGAAAGCCTAGCTGGATGGATACATTCTTAATCGGGAAATTGAAAGAAAAACAGTGAAAAGTGTCGGCTTAAATTGGCAAACAAAGTTGCTAACTGAAACGGCGAAAAAGAGTTAAAAAAAAAAAGAAAGGAAACCAAGTGGCAGTCTGTGCGGCGGCGTCCTTCGCAGGAGTGCGAGTTTTCCTGGCCCCGCGACAACGACGAGGGTGGAAAACTCAGGGAAAACGCGTGAAAAACCGAAACGAAAATTGTGCGTGTGTGTGCAAATAATGTGAATGTTAAATTGGCAGGAAAAACTGCTACATCTTCAGGTTTCTCCATTCTCGATTAATAATAATTACAAGGAATGTCCGATCGGCGATTTTTTGTGTTCGCACGGGATGCGTAGCGGCAGCGGCGGCTCAAAAATCCAGTTTCGGGCTGCAAGGCGTGTCAGGATTGAAATCGAACCACCACCACCACCAGCACCACCACCACCACCAACAACAACAACAACAACAACAACATCAACAAAAATAAAAACAAGAAGAGTGCAGTGGAGCGGCTGTTTTGAGTCAAATTCGTTGCTTGTTGGCCCTTTCCTCGTTATTCCTGTTTGACTTCATTTCCACTGCTGAGCCGCTGCTGCACTTTCCCCAGCACAACACCAGCAACAACAACAACAATAGCAGTCTCTTCAAATCACCAGAATTTCCTTCTTTTTTTTTCTCAAAAAGACAAAATGTCGACGCGCTCGCAATTAACCAAGGACCTCAACGGTGAGTAATCCCAGCCAGGCTCTCTTCCCCTTATCGCCACTCTCTTGCTGTGTTGTCCTTCTCTCACCTTTCCCACCCCCCCGCCCCCCGCCTTGCTCTTTGTTTGGCGACTGAACAAAAACAAAAACAAATACAGATGCAGATGCATCCATCCCCCAAGTGGGAGGGCCACCGGCTTCCGTCTTCTTCAATGCGACACCACCCATCCACCCACACATAGCTTATACCACCCCCACAGCCCAACACCCAAGAACTTACTGTTAAGAATGCACTGCGTTTTCTAGAATTCTGACTCATGAATATTTTTATGTTTTTATCTTAAATAGCCTTTAAAATATATCCATAAATGGCGATTTCCTGGGTAGGTTTTCTATTTAAAACTGTTTTAAAAATTTAAATCCCCTCCAGAAGATAAGAAGAGTTTCCTTCACGATAAGTTCTAAACAAACACATCCATTATACCCATGTTCGCAGCCAGTCTCCCCACACGGTTACTGGTTCCTACGGAAATCGGTTAACGCTCGGCCTGTTGCCATCTCCGCGGGGCGTGAAAAGCGATCTGCTGACAAAAGACCAGACCCCCTAATTCCGAGCGACAGGTGCCCAGTCCCAATCGTCACAGTTCATCCCAATTAGATTGGAAGCCGGAGAGTGTACAGCTCCCCATCTAGATGGTTCCACGCCGGCGGGTATTTAGAATGAAATGTTTGGAGCTAGAATCCATCACCATGCCGGGTTATTTAATTAGAGAGCAGTGCTCCAACTCCAGTTCCTGTCTCCCAGAGAGCCTCCCAGGTGTGGGCGTTGACACCTCTTTGGTTTATTTGCTCGCCAGTTGGCTTGTTTGCCTTGGCTGTCTGTTATCCTTTACCCCGAGCCCCTCCTCCAATCTCGGCTAGCAAACTTCGTCCCATCCGTCTGCCAATTAACGTATTCTGATTAAGTGCCTAGTGCCAGGGCTCTCCCTCATTCTCGACGACAGCTGCAGTCCACTGGAATCTGGAGCGCCCATTGACAATTTTATTTACGATGTGATGTGACTGCCTCCGCCCTGTTTCCAGTTGGCTTTCCAAAATAAACTCGCTGCCCCAATTGGCCGTTATATAATTACATAATGGGAGCGATCCTCCATCTGATTTATGCAATTTCGACACGCTCCCCTAGCTATTGTGGGCCTGGCCAACAGTTGATGTTTGTTTCTGTTTGGACACCTGTCGTCGGTGATCACATTCATTAAAAGATTACAAGATTTCGAGGGTCTTTTAATCGGATCTTGATAAGAAAGCTTATTAGCCTGCAAGTGAAATGGATATCATACCATTATTGCTCTCCTAGCAGCAATTATTAGTCTCCAAATTGGGAAAAAACTAATAAATGTTTTCTATTTCCAATTAGCCTTCGAACGTGCTTGGAATACCATACCAACTAATACCTTTGTTGTGACAATGAATGCCTATTTCAATAAATCACCCTGTAAACCCATACCCTGACGGGGTCTCTTCCCTCTCTGGCTGATAAGCTGGGCGGCCTGCTGATAAGACGATCGCAGTTATCGAGGCTCAGTGCTGAAATTGCCGCGTTCGGTGCTTGGCCGACCTGGCCCGTGGATCCGTTAAAGAACGCCTCCTCCGTCTTGAGTCTTCCGTGGCATAAGCATACGATACATCATCATCGTCGGTCTTCCTCGATAGGTGTAATTACAATTGCAATTGCGGGCTGGCTAACCGTTAGCGCGCGAATGGCTGAAATGTACACGGTCGAGATGATGACTCACATCGATCAGTATCTGCGGCGCATTATCGAGCTGCAGATACGGGACGTGGTCAAGCAGAAGCGCGACGAAGGTGAGCAATAGGAGATGATCATCTGGAATGGGTGGCGGGGGGCACTGGGTGGAGGCCGTTTACAGAATGAGTCATGCCATGGCCAGAGTATAAGGTTTTCCACAACAAAGATCTTTAAAATAACTGGTAGTTCTGATGACAAATTCTAGTTTATTTTCATAATAATACCCCACCTCAGATTCAATCAGGTGCGATTACTCAAAGTTCTCATAAAGTTGGGGGTGCTCCTGGTCCCTTGGCCAACACTCCTCCGCCTCGGACCACACCTCATTCAACGGAAACCGACTTGTTGAAAGTTTATTGATGGTTTCGCACTGTTTTTCCATACACTTGTTTGTTTGTTTACTTGTTCCAGGCCTTCAAAGGCTTATCTCGAGCGGTGCGTCTCCATTTACTCACTCGGTAGACAATGCCCCGGGCCCCAGGCCCCAGCTATAATGCAATAGGTTACTCACTCACTGCAATAAGCCAAATAAACAATAAACACATGAAATTAATTTATGTGGGCCACTTCCTAAAGGTTTACTTGGGGGAATAAACGGAAATAAAAGGAGGGAATAGTATATTATGATTTGTTAAAAGAAAGCCTAGTAGTTGTTATGCAATAGCCCCTCTAGCCATCCTTCCATTAACCTTAAATCCCCGCCCCCGGCTGCCAAATTGAAAATTCAGATTGACCTTCCCGGCCAGGCTAGAGGCAATAAAATGGACTGAGATGGGTGTGAGTGGGTGTGAAAATTCCCATGCAAAACGATTCAAATTTTTACAAAAACAAAAGCCCCGGCCTCTTGGGATTACCCCCCATTTGCGAAAGCCGATACCCGATGACCCCTGAATGACCCACTTGGAGCCGCTGAGCGTATCTCGATAATTTATGCCTGTAATTAAGAGGCTGGCCATTTGGCATGCAACTAAGTGGCCAATTGGCTGCAATTAGTCCGCATATTTAAACGCAGCATATTTAATCCTCTGGATCCAGCTGGCCAGAGCCTCAGTGCTAGGTGCTGGAGTGCTGGAGGTGACCCATAAATCCACTACACTCTCGCTTTCAGTTGCTCCAATTTCCAGCTGCCTGTGCCCCAGTTATCCTCTCCTCTCCGCTCATTAGTGGGGCATACATACCTACATATTTCTCACCTGAGACACGCAGCGATTTTGGGGAGACGAAAGCTGGCGGTGAACTAGTCTGACAACATCTCAAAAACTACATTAAAAAAACTTGTAAAAAAAAAACGAATCATTAAAAAAAAAGTATAGAAAATAAAGAAAGAACAAACTAACGAAGCAGCGCACGCAGAATTTACAGCCGAAACACGCTCATGTGCTCCATTTTCCAGCTGCCAGTTGCTGCCAAATGCGAATGGCTTCCCGTCTCTTTCACTGCCGATATGCCCCATCTCTTTCGACAGGCTAGCCGAGGGGTGTATCCCTCTCTTTCAGTGCATCGCTGTTGGGTGTTGGTGGGGAAATTGTGTCACCCGCCAAGTGACGTTAATGACGCGGCTCGCATCCCTGACCTGCTGTCTTGGCTAGCTGCTGCTGCTGCTGGCCAGCATCTGCTTTTGGCCCACTTTGGAGAGGAGTACAACTGGCCAGAAAGAGACACACACTCGTAGGAGAACCTGTCGCTTTCTATTGCTCTCCACAATAGCCGAACGAAAGATTCGCACAATAAATTTTGAGGCTTTTTGAGGTCAAGCGAATTAAACTGGCCAGTGGACAGTGGACACCGCCTCCGAAAATAAACGAAAATTAGATCAACAGTGACTCAAGTGAGTTACTCACAAGGTTTAAAAGATATATACATATGTATATTATTTGTTTATCCGATCGAACAGGAGTAGCTTTGTTTTCATCACAAACTGACCTCGATTCTTGGAATGGAAAACATTGTTTAAACTTAAAAGTTTAAAAACTTACAGAGTTTACATTTCAGTTATCTTGTAACTGCTTTTTGTGAAAAAATATAATTAACATAACGTCAAGTAATCGCAACTTTGTTAAGAAAAACGAAAATAAAAATAAAAATAAAAACCCCAACTTGGCTCAACTTTCTTTTGTGAGGCGCCGCTTGGCTCTGGCTCTGGCTGGCAGAGGCCTTGCCATTGTTGTCTTTGATATTTTCTTTCTTTTTTTGCTTTTGACTTTTGCCTTTGCTGCTCGGGTATTAAAAGCATTTGCCGTTATAGCCAAAATCATTGTTGGCCTACTCACATTTCAGAGATTATGGCCCAGAGAGGGGGAGCTTCCCAAATAAAATTCAATGACTCGAGAGTTTGTTACACTTTTTGGTGAGCTATCTCTGAAGAGAACTTTTAGAAACCAGTTACCAGGTATCAGATAGTTTATTATCAGACCAGATGTCATAAGGTATCCTGTCCCTATTATCAGAAACAATAATGTCCTTTGGAAGTGAGCAGTGGGAGGGGCGGGCGATGACACATCCACCCAGGCCAGGCCAGCTCCCTCCCACACACCCATGCCATGCCACCGCTAGCTGCCACACTTGTATAGTTTTGAGTATTTTGAACTCGTGTAATCTCTGGCATTGTGCTGAGCTTTGCAGCTGCAAAAAAACATGGAAACATGGGCTCTGAATTGGGTCACACTCGTTGGCTTTTATGCCGCAGCTTAGACTGTCAATGCTGCCGCCGCCTGCAGGTTCCCAAGCGAGTGGAAACTTTTCGACAAACTTTTTCGAGAATCAGTTCTTTGAACCCCAAAGTCAAATATGTTACTGTTAATGCCAAGACAGGGCTAACCAACCTCTGATTTTATTCCAGTGTAGTTATGCATTGTCGCCACTGAGCGAAATAACCGCAAAAGGCAATTAAAGCCAAATTTGAAATTTCCTTTTAGCGGAAATGAAGTCGCGACTGAAACGGTACTGACAGTGTCCGGTGCAGACAGCCAGGCAGGCCATCATGGCCAGAAGAAGAAGGTGCACTCTCTGGCCAGAATATGACCCGGCCAATGACAAATATTAACCGCAGAGCTCAGGGGTACTCGGCCCTCGTCAGAGTTCAATGTTTGTAGAGCTCTTTGTTGACCTTTATAATTCAATATTTTCAAAAGAAGACCCTTCCTACACTTGTCAGAATTTAAACTAAATTACAAAAAAAGGTTAAGAAAAGCTAGAAATAATTTAAATTATAAACTCAGTCATGACATGTGTAGCTATACTCGTTTAGTTATTCAAAGTTCTTTAATTTCCGCTACCCGGCACTTTCAGAAGTGCCTTTGTTGAAAGTTCTTCCGCTTGGTATTGACATACTACTGGCACCCAAAGTTCATATCCATCCCCGGTGGTGGATTCTCTCTGGATTCCCAAGTTCATTCACATTTGGACGCGCTCGAGCTCTAATTAAGAGTGGAGGAGGAGGGAATCAGTGAGCTGTTGTTGATTATGGCCGCTATGGCCGATTTTTATCACAAAACAGAGACTACTACTGGGTAGTGGGTGAGTGCGTGTGTGCAGCCAAGTGCGTGCGTGCCGAAATGTCTTAACAATCTATTTTGGCCATAACGCCGCGCAATTGCCCCTCATTATCATAGTCACCCACGCCCCCTGGTCTCTTGGTCGGCTTATGGGCCATAAAGACGAGAGCGGCCACTTGCCAAGTCTTGAGTGTGGTCAGGACCGAGGATATCCAGCTGTTCTCTTTATTAGCCTATCTTTAGTCGTTTGAGAGGCTCTTTTGGTTTAAAAAAGTATCATACCCTTTGAAAGGGAGTGGCTCTGTCTGAATATTCCATTTCCCCCTCTGGCAGCACTTGCCAGCTCCGGCTCCTTTTCATTCCCAGACAGGGAGTCATAACTCTCGGCTTTATGCTGCCTTCAGAGAGGTGCCGGAGGAATCTGACATGCCGGTAGCATGACATAATATTGTCACCCCCAACGGAGACCTCCCTCGCGTCACTCCAGGAGGAGGAGTGATGAGGACTATATCTATATCGTGTGCTGGCTGGGAGTATATGCTAAGTGGCTGAGGGGCTGGAGCACAGTCTGAAAATTGCCTCCTCTACGTGTTTCATTTGAATTCGTTTGAATAAAATCGCTTTACTGACGGTGATATAATACTCGACTTTGGCATGCACAGCAAAGCTCCAAAAATATATATATACATATGTATATATATTTATTTTTTCATATAAACGACCATCCAACACAATGCATTCCGTTGTGTATCATCGTAGAGAGTGCGAAATATCAGCATGACTATGGGTAGCCACATATCTAATATTTAAGATTTATCTTATCAGTATTATTATTATTTTTGATTCATTTTAAAAGTACAAAAGACCTATATAGGATTATATTTTCTGGAAGTATCATTGTTATTGTACGACGCAGTTTTCGAGAGCGACTTGAGCCGACCTCGGATGTGACTAATTCAACTGCGACTACAACCCCGACTGCCACTGACTTTTAATTGCATTTCCGTTCCGTCTCCAAGTGATCTTCATTCTCTATACGATTCTCAACCACAATCTCCCTATGATTCTCTCTTTGCAGAAAGCGTCAAGTCCATACTGGGTCGCCACACCAAGATACTCGTCAAGTATATGGTCAAATTGGAGACGAAAGGCGACAAGACGGAGAATCGTGTTCTGGTAAGTGGATAGCCTCGATGGAGGCCTGGCTTTTGGCTACTTCGACTTTTCGACAAGATGCGGCCAACAGAAGCTGTCTTCAGGCAGTCAGTGGTCCAATTTGTGGATGGAAATTGCATCCTCGAGAATGTAATTGCCTTAAATTCGGAGGAGAAGTGCCATTAAAGTAATGAATGTTTGTGCTTTTATGGGTGATGGCTTCTTAAAGATTTAAATAAAGACTTTATGTGACTTAATTCAGCCATTTGGATCTGAACATGGCTTAACCTCTTAAAACATGCCTGATAGACTGCTAGCCGTAATTGATATTTTATAGCCTACTTAGAGGCGGCGGGCCATAACTTCTCCCCGCGACCTCTAGGGCTATGCTAATTTTCTAGCACCTGACCTGTCCTGACCACTTGTACGGCCGCTTGGAGGACGCACACAGCCGGAAAATTGATTTGTACAAGCGGCTTACAAGGTGGCCGAGACAAAGTGTCCAATTACCAAAGCCCTTGAGAGCCCACTCCACCCACACCCCTGCCCATTTGTGCATTTGGGTGTCTTAGATTCTAAACGAATTACTAGACGCACTTTGATTTGCCATTAAAGGCTGCGAAAGGGCCCTCTTGATTGAGTTAGGAGTCGGCTCCTTGTAGATAATGCAGTTATACTCCAGTGACTGGCTGAAAAATGGTCTCCTCCTCCTCCATGCAGAGTGTTGGCCATGCATGTTGGCACGCATCTGTCTGGCTTTCTGGGGCTTTTCTTGCCAATTATGTTACAACAATTTTCGCTTATGTTCCGACACACCTCTTCTCGCCACCAGGTCTTTACGCCCGTGAGGGTATATCTGCTCAGTGCCAAGGTGCCCACCAAGGTGAGTCTTGAAAACATGTACTTAGCTATTACTAATACTAATTAATTAATTATAAAATAGATCGAATGCCATTTCCACTACCTGGACATTGTGGGAGTCGAGAGCAAGAAGCCCACCCATTTCTCCATTGTGACCAACGACAGGCCCTACTCGTTTGCCACCACCGGCGATGCGGGCAGTTTCAGCTCGGTACGGTCCAACTACCCACTCACTATATGATATGATGTACTATATTCTATATGTAATTATCTTTATTCTGTTTCGGGCTTGTGTTCATTCTGCAGAACGCTGATGTCATTCTAACCGATCTGGCCTCAGCCATCAAGCAGATTTTTCCAACAGTTCCTCTGAAATATATAATTCGAAAGGCAAGTATTAACCATATATGTTAAGTTTTTGAAAATAAACCCAAAACATGACCTCTTAAATGAACATGCCTCCACCGCTTGTGCCGGGCTGACTCACGTCTGGCTTTAATTAATAATTAATTAAATATTTAGAGATCTTTTGTGTGTATCTGTCGTCGTCATGGGGCAAGTCACCCACTGAGCCAGGCCCGCGACCTGCTACCCAATTAAGCATTAAATGCATAAACGTCGTCATCTGCAAACTGTTGGGGTTAATAATTCAATGCATTTATAATGCTCCCCAGCCTGGAGTGGGAGCCATAGTATGCCAACTACGTTTATGCAAATGGCCACCCACAACCATTGTAGTTCAGGGGGTTTTGTCTTTAAACAACAAACCTACATGGCTTAGATAATTGCAACAGGGCACGCGATTTAAACGTCATCGTGTTGACGCCTCATAATGTAGCCTTCAGAATGCTCACTTGGCAAAAGTGTTAAATGCGAAATTAAACTCAAGAATCCGGGGATGAGAAAAGAAGAAGCTTTTGAGAAACTCAGGCAGGCAGTCCGAAAAAGTTTGCATTGTTCTCCAAGTTGGCCAGATTGAGGAACACAACAAAGGCGGGCCACTCGAGACGGCCGAAACTTTTAAAATGAATTTTAGCATCGGGTCGTTGAACTGGCTTTCTTCCTCCTTCCAGATCGATATCCAGCCGCCGGAGCGAGAGACCATATTCTCCGAGGAGTTCCGGCCATCTGATCCGCGCAATGTGGGACCCTGCGGCGGATTCAGTGCCCAGTATGCCTGCATGTGCGACTTCCATGGCGTGCCCTACCGCGAGGAGGTGGCCTGGGATGTGGACACCATCTATCTGTCGCACGACACCCGAGTGCTCAACCTGCGCGACTTTGACCACCTGGAGCCCAAGTGAGTTTCCTTTCCGGACACTATTGGAAGCATCACTACCTTGTAATCTTGTCTTGATTTCCTCTTACAGAGACCTGATGGCCATCGTGTCCGCTTTGGAGTACAATACATTTTTTCGCGGTCTGAAGGCTGCCCACATGCGACTGTCCCACGAGACCCTGGAACGCATCCTGCACGTGCTCAAGCGTTCGATGTGGCTGGAGGAGCTGCATTTGGAGGCGCTAGGATTAAGGTGAGCCGTTCATAGCTAAACAAGAGAAAAAGACTAAAGCAATGACCCTTTTCCAGATGGGATTTCCTAAACAAGTTATCGATATCTGTGATAACGAATAGCAATCCCGCCATTCGCACCATTGATCTGAGCCACAATATAATTGAGGATAAAGGTAGGTACTCCCAGTCCCTCGAGGTGTCAATCAACTGTCCCCTGGGCTAGCCAACTGAATCTCAAACCTGGCATCGAACCCGGTGGTGGAGACCACCTGCCTCGCGTAATCCAATTAATCCAATTTTTGTCTACCTTTCTGCTATCGTTTCTCTTCCCCTAACATCTGTGTTGTTTGTCGATTGCCATTTTTGACACGATTTGTGAACTGTGTAGGAGCGAGCTCATTGTGCGCCCTACTCGGAAAGATTGTACAAGGTTTGCAGCCACCAACCAATAGACACCATAGTTGCCACAGCACTACAGCCATCTAACCTAAAATATAAACATTTGTCATGCATTCTTGTTGTGTTGTTGTCTTACTGCTATATTGCCGTTGAAATTGTTATTTTGTCTATGTTTTGCAATTTGCGACATTTGCGACTTGTGTGGCCATTGTCGAACCCCCAAATTAGTTCCATTTTTAAAAGAATCATTCAGATCACCCACTCTCCAATCGCCACACAGGTTTCAACTCATTCGACAAGGTTCTATCATACATTGTCTTCATATTCGTTCGTCTTCCAGTACTCTGCTCTATCTACACCAATTGGTATCGAAAAATTATAAATGTTCGAATTGGCCACAAAGATCAAGCTTTTCTTTCATCTCACAGTCATTGTTAAAGGCCTCCTCTCGATTGCCCTGCCTTGGTATTAACGTTATTGTTTCCTTTCGGATCAGGTGCCATCCATTTGGCCGGACCCATTGCCAAGGTGTCCAAGGGCCTGTGCAAGCTGGCCCTGGCCCACTGCGGCCTGACTTCGAAGGGAGTGAACCAGATGTCCCACTCCCTGACGCTCAATCAAAGTATTTCCAACTCGCTCACGTATCTAGACCTAAGTGGTAATAGTCTCAAAGATGATATAACCGTAAGTACTTCTTTGTAGATTATGACTCTGTTAGATTAAAATCTCTATTTTTCTTCAGAATCTGCACAACTTCCTGGCTCAACCCAATGTGCTGGAGCACTTGGACCTGGCCTCGACTGACATCACATTGGAAAACGTATGTTGGAGTACACTTTCGAGAATGTTTCAAAATCTTAAGCTTAGTCTTCTTTATCCTCAGTTGTTTGGAGCTCTTTTGCGCGGCTGTGCCACGCACCTGGCCCACCTCAACGTATCGCACAACTCGTTTAGCACCAAAAAGGGCAAGGAGATCCCGCCCTCGTTCAAGCAATTCTTCACCAGCACCCTCAGCCTGAAGCACCTCAACATTGCCGGCTGCAAGCTGCCCATGGAAGCCCTAAAGAATTTGCTGCTCGGCCTGGCCTGCAACGAATCCACAGCTGGTCTTCATCTAGATCTCAGCGGCAACACGCTGGGCACCCAAGGCGCCCACGTGCTTGAGTCCTGCATCCACGGAGTACGAGTGCTCCAAAGCCTGGACATCAGCGACAACAGTGAGTGGAGCATTAACTTCAACTTAATTATTCTCTAACAACCTGTATCCTTATAGACTTGGATGCTGAACTGGCGCCCGTGCTGACGGCCATCTCAAAGAACCCCTCAATACGAACGCTATACCTAACCCGCAACCTTACGGGCATGAAGCCAAAGCACATTCCACCCGTGATGGACGCCCTGGTGAACCTCATCCAAAAGGACGACTTCCCACTGGCCGAGCTGGTGCTGTCGGAGAACAAGCTCAAGCACGACCTGCACGACTTCATCAACGCCCTCGGCAGCAACCAGAGCCTGCAGAAGCTGGACATTAGTGGCAATTACATGGGCGATGTGGGTGCCCGGCTGCTGGCCAAAGCCCTGCAGATCAACAACCGGCTGCGGACCATCTATATGGACAAGAATGCGGTGACGCTGCAGGGATATGCAGACATTGTGTATGCCTTGGAGCACAACCACAGCATGCGCACCATCCCCTTCCCCGTGTTCGACATCGCCCCGCATCTGAAGAGTCATCCGGACAAGACGGATGCGGTGATGCGGAAGATGCAGGAGCTGCTGCAGCGCAACTGCAATGGACTGAAGCGCACCAATGGCCAGGGCTTCCGGCTGCAGCATGGCTTCATGCTGTCCTCCACGCACCAGCTGGTGGACAAGCTGGTGGCCGAGACGCAGGACACCATCTCCCTGGCCAAGGGTGGCGGGGATTCCGCCTCGGCGGTTCAGCGTCTCATCACCGATGCGGAGAACTGCAAGCAGCTGATGCCCAAGCTGCAGGAGGCGGTCCGCAGCGACGCCCATCCCATCGAGATGAAGCTGACCCGCGTGGCCAGTGAGCTGGGGTACACGATCAAGAGCTATCTGGAGGAGACGCTGGAGACGATGATGCGAACGGGCATCGAGCAGTGTCCCAAGACCCTCGGCAACCAAATAGTGGTGCAGGATCTGCGAAAGGTCCTGGCCGAACGCCTGCTGGTGCCCGAAGACTTCCTCCAAAGCTGTTTGCTGAACAATGCCGGCAGCGAGATCATGAACAAAGTTAGGTAAGTTTCGGCCAAGCTAAGAGGAGTTTTGAAAGTCCAAAGAAAGAGGCAAGTGAGAGGTTTTATTCAAATGAGACTTAACCGGAAAGAGACGAACACAAGGGGATGGGGGGCCTGATGGGGGAACTCTAAAACGAATATTTATTTTGAGTCACTGAAATGCAAAAACCTAGGAATGTTTATTCAGTGATAGGGTAAATAGTATGTGTTATGAGTTGATATTGATAAACAAACTTAAGATTATGCAAGTCTGGTTATAAAAGTAGAGTATTGATTGTGGAAATGGGTAGGAAATATTCTAGTTATTACCACATTCGCAATAGATTTGGCACATTCTATGTAAACAGAGGGGAAATTCGACTACAAACGTTTTCTTTCCGAAATCGTCTTTTCGAGAGGGCCTCTCAGTGCGCTCTTCCTGCTCTGGCCACCAACACCATCGTAACTTGCTCCCCACATCCGTACTCCCATGTACTCCCCACATGTATTCATGGGAGATTGGGGCCTGAGTGAGAGAGCGCCCCAAGCTTAGATAAGATTAAAACACACAACCCACCGAAAAACCAGAAACAGCTGAATGCAGTTCCACTGTGGAGCTGCTGTTTGCCGCGGACTACGCCGAATAGTTTATCTGGGCTCACCGCCGGGACTTGGCAAACTGTAGCAGCCCTTTAGTTTGCCACCAGCTGTTGGCCGAAAGTCGGAGTTTTTCGGGCAGAAAAATGGGTTTAATGGGCGCTTTGTGCTGTTGCTTAGGTGGCAAGGACACCAAGTCCTCATACAATAGTCCGGCCTACAGGGAGTGTCCGGATGAGGAGCCCATGGAAGAGTTGACGCGGGAAACAGTAGCTCAGGATGATGTGCCCAACAAAAAGTTGTATTTCTCTGCCTATATCTTTGTTTCCCAATTTAATTTATATCTTTTGTTAAATACTTTCAGTGAAATCGAACAATCCCTGGCAGCTGCCATCTCGGACCGGGCCACTGACGAAGTTTTGGAGGCTCTGACCCGCTATCGCCGCGGCCTGGGCATTGCTGAGTCGCCATCGGTGCTGCTGGACGAGCCGCAAACGCCGGACATTGTTCGCAGCCGCTCCAGTCATGTAAGTTCCGTATTCGAGCCGCGTATCGATCAGGCCTATCGTGGATGGGTCTTATCAGTTGGATTCAGATATCTGTTGGCTCTTGAGAATGGTTGGCCTTTCAGCTATTTTCCGGCTATGAATATTAATTTGGAAACAATGCTTATCGGAACCAACCATTTTATGAGAGTTACTTCATAGTTGGTTCTATTGTTTAACTTGTATTCTTGATAAGTATTGTTTTCATTGATAAACTCTCCAAAAAGCACAAAACCTGCCATCACTGGCCAGTGACAAATGTGATGTCATGGTGCCTTAGGCCCCTTGGTTTGGTTTACTTTCGCTTTCGACCCGCGGCCATTGTTTTGATCGGCGGGGCCGACGCCGCCTTATCTATCAGCGGAGGTTTAATGCCTTCGATCGCGGGAATTTCACCCACTTTGGGGAGTTGCCGAATCGAATAACAATTTAGAGTGAACCTAGACACGATAACACCAACAGGGTCTCTTTCTTCTTGTCTCTTGCAGGACGCGGATGGTTTGATCATACGGCCGGGTGGACGAGGCTCTATATTGCCCAAACTGGGTCTGGAATCGCCCACTGTAAGTGTTGAAAATCTCTCGCTACCCAAGTGGATGCAATAGACTCCTCCGAATTCATCAAAAAAATTAAGAAATTAGTTTATAAGAGTATATGCGAAGATACTCCATACTCCATTCTAATAGATACACAAACACACACCCCAAAACAGTCTCGTCATTAAATATACATACATATAAGCCTAGTACGTTCATGTGTAAAAATGAAGTCATATTCTAATACCCAACTAGCTGGAAGTAGTTGATACAAAGTGAAGAATACAAAGCACTCACCAAGATACCCAATGATACATTGAATCACATCAATAAATTACTTAAATGTGTATACCAAATGCTCATGCTCATTATTTTTTTCGTGTCTTCCTGCCCCGATCTACTACTCTTCATCATCATCATCACCAATCATCCAACGATCCAAAACATTATTGTACAAATCGCAAATACTCGTACTCGTACTTGTACTCGTTCTAATTACATTAATTAAACCTTGTCTCCAACTCATTTACATAAATTGCATTTCAAAATCAAATCAAACACAAAAGAAATTGGAATATCTGAACCTTGTAAGTAGTTTTTGTCTTGATCTCAACTATCTATCTATGAAATACTATCTCTGCGAGGATCCCTTCAGGGTCCTTTACATATTATGTTTCCTCTGTAGCCTGCTGCTCCTATCTTTAGTCTATCTCTGTGATTATTTTGATTTGTAGATTTCTTAGATTTTTTTATAATCCCCGAAAAAAATAAAAAACAAAAACATTTTTCATTATTTCACAAAACACAACAATCCCCAATCAGCACATAACACCATTTAACCCATGAGAACCACTCTAATGCTTTGCTTTAACCCACTAGGCCACTCCTCATCTGGCCACCAAGCGACGCAGCGTTGCCCGGAAAGTGCGTCCCCAGTCTGTGGTAGAGAATCTCAGCCTGGGTCACATACCAGATCTCCTGGACTCGCCCTCCTCCCACCGCTCCAGTTCTCAGCTGTCAACCCGAGCTGCTGCAGGCGCCGCTGCCGTGGCCGGTGCCACCAACATGACCGACAGTATCGCGGCCATGGACGACGGAGGGGTAGACGAGTGCTGTGACTCCATTACCGAGCTGCCCAGTGCTTCATTCCAACTGCAGCACCTGGTCAAGGGGCGACCAAAGCGTGCCAAGACGCGTGCACCCACTCGGCCCCTGGTTAATGCAGAGTGTGCCGGAGGCAGTCGGGAGATTGGGGAGGGGCTGGAGCACTTCTTCCGGCCCGGATCGGTCACACCCACTACGCTCACGCCTTTGGTGTCGCCAACGTCGGAGGAGTGCAGCTCACTGTCGTTTGTGGACAGTCCCACCATGAGCCGGGATGGAAACGGCCACATGACCTCCGAGGAGACCACGCCTATTCTGGAGGAGCGCCGGCCAATCAAATTGGAACGTCAGTCGCCCCTGCTCAAGAGTAAGTGCCGAGCTAGCTCAAGTTTCCAAAATGTCCACCTAATTCTTGTTTGTTGGCTAACGTAGGTGCGTCCTGGGCCACAAGATCTCGCTCCACCGACAATTTGGAAAAATATTCTCCTCTGGTGGGACGCAAATCACCGCTGGTTAAGATGCGCACTGAAGGCGGGCCTGGCTCTGGTGCCGCAGGTGGTGGCGAGGAGACTGCCATTCCCACATCCAATCTTTTAAAGGCCACTGCCCGCGATGATAAAATGCGGTCGCCGAGCAGTGATTCAATTAAGAGTCATGCCACAGGCGAAGGCAGCGTGATTGTAAAGACGGGCAACGGCATCCTGCGCACCCCGATTGTGCTGCAGAAGCCACGACCCTGGTCGGTAGTCGGCAGCGAGCCGAAAGCCAGTGGGGAACTGGTCACAGGAAACGGAAATGCTGATTCCACAAAGACCACACCAGACAACCTGGAAGAAGGTGGGTACACAAAAATAAAAATTAAATGGCACAGCCGTAAAGCATTTCCCACTTAATTAGATGAAGTCGAGGTGGTGGCTTTTGGGGCAAGCAGCGGTGGCTCCATAGTTGGCATCACGCCTGGCATAGCCTTAACCACCAGTACCAGTGGAGGTGGCAGCATTGTGGGCATCACACCAGGTAGGTTAAGCCCCTTGGATTATCGTTAAGAATCTATATTAAATGCAACTTTTATAGGGGCTGCCCTGGAGAAGAAGTCTGTCCGCGAACTGGCCGCTGGACTCAACCGACTGGGTAAGTAAAGGACACTAATTGCGCACGAGTAGCTATTGAAGATGCCTGCCCAGCACCTAGAACCATTCTTATCCGTAGATCTGCAACCTATGTGATTTTTATTTCGTTTCGTATCTTATTTATTTTCATATTTTGATTTGTTGTACTACTCGTTACTTGTAAAGAACTTCCCCTCAAGCCGCCTGTTATGCCCAGAACCCTCTTGAATGCAGCAAATGCGCGCACGAGCAGCACCTCCACCACCTCCACGAGCTCTTCCAATGGAGGAGGGACTTCTTCGACAACAACCAGTACGTCTTCGACAGTATTAAACACCCAGAACCAGACCCGTTCGCAAGTTGTGACAACGACCAGCAGCGAGTCCACTACGGAGCAGACCACCAGCAGCACTAGTAGCACCAGCAGCAGCAGCTCCTCGACTCGGCAGGAGCAGCGGCATGCCATGGCCTGTGCCAGTCTAATCAGCAACGAAATCCTGAGCATGCGAAACGGCCAATTGGCTGGAAAGTCGGGCAGTTGTGCGGAAAGTGGAGGCGTTAAGCGGATAGCCGGCAAGGAGATATCCACACTTTTCGAGGTTTGAGCTCCGGGACTGGAACTGTATTCACCGTTCGAAATTTTGGTGGCCAAGTTGCTTCGTTGATTTCGGTGCTCATCCTGTGCGTCTAACATCCGCATTTGTTGCTTAGTGTGTAGCCGTTAAGTTGTGTCTGGTAGTCAGTAAGCCGCATGTTGCCTGTATTCCATTCTCGCTAATCTGTATGCCTGTTGTTACCCGTACATCATGTCCAGATAATCCACATCGAAATAATGGGGCCCTACTTTCCCGCTCTCCCACAGGAGACATTAGTTGAAGAGCTGCAGCAGAGCATGGCGAACCGACGCATGTTTAGAGACTCGGCCTACACCAAGGAGGATGTCGTTGATTTATAAGTGTTCTAGTTATATGCTCAACATTCCCTCACACCGAACCCCCAGACCCAGATCCGCCTGACCTGCCACAGATGATTGCGTGATTGATCGCCGGGGCTTGGAGATGATAATGATAATGTTTAAGTGATTTAGGCGATGGCAATGAATGGATAGATGGAGGATAGATGGATAGATGCAACTTATTCGTACTGAACCATTAATTTATGTGCAATGGCGCGTGTGTATTGTTTTCATTTGGCAATTTTGAATGAACGTGATTTATTTATTGATATATAACCTAATACTTTTATCCAAATTTACCTTTGCATATTTATAAAGATGTTTTGTGTACTATATTTTATATTTTTATGTATTTTAAATGAGTTAAGTGCCAATAATATACAGAATTAACAGAAGTCTATTTTTAGCGTGTCCTATACACCAACTTCAATGAAACTAACGAAGATAACGCAATGAATATGATATATACACTTTATGTAAATCGATTGCGTATATAAGAACTATTTTAATGGCCTAAAACTAAAACAACAAAAAATATTTAAACAAAATCTAAATGAAATACAATATTTTTTATAACTGCTTCCAAATACAAGTATTCGTGGTTTTTAATTTCCTGATTTTTATTTACCTTAATTATACACATACTTATAGTATTTGAACGACAATCCGTTTTCAAACATTGAAGGGCAATGTGCCGCCAAAAACGAATGCATTTACGTATTTAGAAAAACGGACACGGAGTTTATTGATTATTTTCTAAAAAGTTAACAATTTACTCTAAGGAATTAGCGAGGACGTTACCGATAACAAATTACCGAATGCATTTAAACAGGAGACATCTTAATAACTTAAGAAAAAACTACACAAAATCTAATTACTGTAACCAATCGAAGAATTTCCATTTAAATTTTGAAGATCAAGTAGTTTGCACCAAAGACACTGGATTTTTGCGAAGAGCGTTCTGCCCATCCACCACCGACCACACACACTTTCAATTTTGAGTGTTACCCGATTCCCATAGTTGGCTCATTCAAAGGCCATTCAACTTGAAAAACCAAAATCGAATCTTTAAAGTGTTCATTAAAGTTAAGAAAATAAAAACTTCATTGTAATCTATTGAAATTCAAATTAAATGGACAACATCTTAAGCCTGTGTTTTAATTTCAAACTTCAAAAGTCGCGCCTCTTATGTCCTTTTATTTCTGATACTGTTAATGATTTCTTTAAATCTATGGGAGCGATTTAAATAAAAATAGTCTTATAATGTTCTGAATAAAATAAGCTTTTCAACGGTATTCCGTGCATAATGGCGCATCCTTTGTGAAGGACTTAATAAGTCTAACAGAGGCCATAAAGTATTTTTAAACTAGTTCAATGAACTTTTTGCGGACTGGTTCCGGTTCACTACTTGGCGCTCCTCTTATCAGTTTAAATTATATGGGAAACTGTAATTCGATTTTCTCAAAATCTGTGGGAGCGATTTGTATGAATTTTGGTCCATTCATACTTAAAAAGGTCCTACATCGACTCCACTACCGTGCATATTGGCGCATCCTCTTGGAAAAAAAATTTTTTGGGGTCATTTTTGTATGGGCTGTTAGCCGGGTTGGTCCACTTTTAGTCGATTTGCTCCAAAACGTAGGGAGCGATTTTAATGAAATTTTCAGGGCATATTCTCAAAATAATGGGCTATAAACTGGTGTATCCTGCTTATTGGCGCATCCTCTTATTTCTGTGATAATGCTCAATACAGTGAAGGGGCAATTTTTCAAACCCATGTTTAAGCTATTTAAAGAGTGTAGAACCCGCTCAAAGTAAGAAAAAACAATAGTTTATTCAATTCTTAACAATTCTAGTGTTTATTTAGTTAAATTTAGTGGCTAAATACAGAAATAATTGAAAAACAAAATATTCGTTGCTGTGTTCCAATTCCACCATTCCCCTTCGACGCTAATTTCGACGGACATCTCTAATCATATCTGCAAAAGCCAACACAAATAGCCAGATATATTTAGAAGTATATTGAAATAATGATCTAAATGTATAAATGGTAAATTAAGAACTTAAAGTTAAGTATAAAATTATGCACTTCGAATGCACTTATAGCAATAAAATATTGTTAATTTAGGTAACTATTCTTTGCATGACCCTGCTAGATTAAAACATAATTTTAAAATAAATGTAGATTTTTCTAATTTTAGTATTAGTAAAATTCAAACCATGAAACTGTTTTTACTGTTTTTCTTTTATTTTTTGATTGAAATATAAACATTTCTTGTCATTTCAAGTTATTAAAAATCCTAATCCACTATATAATTAAGTATTAGTGCTGTTATGTTTTGTGGAACTCTTCTATAAAAGAGACTAGAGCTCTTGGAACATCCATGGTCTGGTCGTCGACTAAAACAATATCAAAGGTATCCATGTAGTTTTTCATATTTTCCTCGACGTGGTGGTAGAGGAAGCCAATTTTAATGACCTGAGAAGTCTCAGTAGCGCCCGAAGCCATGTTTGCATCTCCCAAGGAGTCGCCTATTAGAATTATATGATCCCGGTAGTGCAATTGATCGAAGTAATCACTTCCTTCTAGTACAGATTCGTTTTTGTTGAAGGTGTGAATCAAAGGATCCTGCAAACCATCCAAAAGGCCATCGCGGTACTTCAGAAAATTTGAAACAATTTTTACGTTAGGATGCATCATTTCCGCCTGCCGCAAGAGGGACTCCACAGTGTTTCCCAGCCCGGCGGAGAACACAAGAGTGGGAATATCTAAACGATGCAAATCCGCAAATAGCTCCGGACTGCGATCTCGTAGATTATGGATGTACTGTCTGGTTACCTCGTCGATTTCCGACAGATCGAAAGGAAAGCCACTCGCCAGTTCCCCAGATTTTGTCCACCACTCAACGATGTATTTAAGCTTCTCCTCGGCGGGCATGTGAGGATCTATCTCGATGGGATGGTACTTCATTTGCAGTTTATGGGCCTCCTCCTTTAGTCCTGGGGGCAAGGATTTGCAGGCGTAGAACATGGCAAACGTGGAGGGCACCCTGCTGCCGTCCTCTGTCCGCTGCTTGGTGATGGTGAAGTCAAAATCCGATACCACTTGTAAGCGTTCCGGTCCGGCCTTGACGAACTCCTTGAGGAGGTGCTTCACTTTGGTCGGATCCCGTATTCGACAATGGCTTTGCATGAGAGCCGGAACATTTTGGATTTCCAAGGTTTCGACGACCGTATGTTGAAGCATTTCATTCGAGGACATGTTCAAATCTAAAGATATGCTCGTTTAAGTATCCCCGCACAGATTATATTCCAGACATCTTATCAGGCTAACTGCGGTTGTTAATTTTGAAAAAGATTATAATTTATGTGCCCAAAAACTTGAATCCATGTTCAGACTTCCGGATTCCTGGTGCTCCGTTGCTGACAACTTTTGAATGCTTACAAGATTTATTTTTAAATATTGAATATGCCGATGTTCTTTTTCCTCTTATACCCAAAGTCCTCCCACACACATAGTCTTCAACAGGAAGACTTCCACACAACATAAATAACAATAGGAATATTTCTTAAATTCGAGTTTATGTAAAATTATGCTTAAAATATCGATAACTTTCTTTAATTTGCTACAGTCACACTATCCCAAGGGTCTTGCAACCGGTTGTTTATTTAATATTTCTTAAGTTTATTAATTAAAATAATCCTGGACAATGGCGAGTAGAGGTTTGCTGTTGATTGGTCAGTTAGCAGAATGCATCCAAGATACGGATTCGCCGCATGTAGCTGGACAAGAACCTGAATATGGTGGGCAGGAAGAAGATGAAAACTAGTACTTTATTTATAGTACTTTATTCTTTTTCCTCCTATACACAAAAGTCCTCCCACACACAAAGTCTTCAACAGGAAGACTCCCACACAACATAAATAACAACACGAATATTTCTTAAATTCGAGTTTATGTAAAATTATGCTTAAAATATCGATAACTTTCTTTAATTTGCTACAGTCACACTATCCCAAGGGTCTTGCAACCGGTTGTTTATTTAATATTTCTTAAGTTTATTAATTAAAATAATCCTGGACAATGGCGAGTAGAGGTTTGCTGTTGATGGGTCAGTGTATGCCCTGCATTAAGCAGAATGCATCCAAGATACGGATTCGCCGCATGCAGCTGGACAAGAACCTGAATATGGTGGGCGAGAAGAAGATGAAAAGTAGTACTTCATTCACTAAAGGTCTTTGTTTTTCCATTTCAGTACTTTAAGAAGGACGAGTTCTACTTTGCCCACGACCCACAGAAGGTATGCAAAACCGGTGATGTGGTCCTAATCCGCGAGCTTCCGGAGCGTCTCACCCGCCTCATTACGCATGCTGTGGAAAAAGTAGTCTATCCGCTGGGTGACATAACCGATCCGCTCACCGGCAAAAAGGTGGTGGTGGGCAAATACCGTGAGGACATCGAGATGGCCAACCAGCTGTTTGGCAAGTCTGAGAAGGCCTTCGACTATGACAAGGCGCCGCCACGCGGTCGTCTCGAGGGCACCAAGGACTTCACACATGGAGAAACCTACATTAAGTACCACGAGGATGGAAAGGATCAGCCTTTTGCCGTGTAGTTGGGCTTTTATGACTTTTAACATTTAAGTTTCCGTTTTGTTTGATAGTAAAGCCCATTTGTTATAGATTAAAGTCAGGTGATTTTTCCTTTGGAAGGTTTGGGTGTTCGGGCCTTTTATTTTTTTAAATATCCCCAACCCGTTCTAGAAAACATATTCAAACAACTTAGTACAAGATTTGTCTACATATTTTATTTAAATGGTCGATATTTGTTTTGCATTTAATAATGATTTGTTTCTTTACGTATAAATGTACTCATTTCAGCTTTTGCTCGCTGATCAACAGTTTTTGTTCCGTGTTTTGGGTGCCAGGACATAGCCACAACAACATTCAAACATTCAGTACATACACATAAATTAGCTATGCATATACATATATTTTTGGAGTTCAGATTCGATCCGTGCTATAAATTAAGCTGTAAACTAATCACAATCTCTTACGATTCTAAAGTTGTACTGGAGTATGGGGTGAGCGTTGTCATCGCAAAGTTTTTGCTGCAAATGAGATAGATTAGAGATGCCTGAAGTCAACGAGGATTTGGGGGATACTCACCTGTTCCAAATCGTGGCTGGCGCGCAGCATAAAGTCACGCAGGAAGTAGCCGCGAGCCGGCAAGTCCAGAGCTAGGATGAGTTTATTGTTGCCCAGCTGCTTCAGGATCTTCACTCCGCTGGCGGGCGGAACCTCGTCATCCTCGTTCAACTGTGCATTGGCATTGGCCTTGGCCTGATCCTCATCGTGATCCATGCAGATGGACCACTGTAGTGGTTTGTTAGAGCTGTCGATAGAGTTAGATTCAAGTCTTGGAATATAAAGCTAAGGTGCCACTACTAACCTTAGGTGAACCTCCAGGCTGCTCGCCTGAAGGTAACGTGATACTGGAACTATATAGCTCACATTCAGCGAATTGTGTGTGCTGGGACAGAACTGCTGCACGCCGATGGTCTGATTATCCTGGGCGGCGAGCACACAGCTAGTCACGCTCCAGCAGTCGAGTTGGAAAGGCGGAAGAACTGCTTCATCGGCCTTGGGAAGCTCCCCCGAAGCGCTGGCAGTCTGGACCAAGCGGTAAACAGGATCGTCGTTGGCTGCCAGTACCGGCCCTGCTTCTTGGGGGAAATTCTTCGTTTGGACGTCAGTGTTCTTGCCAAGCTCAAGACCACTGAAGGTCTCATTGACAGATGCAATGGCTGATGCAATGTGTTGGGTCTCAATGATATCCGGGTCTTGATCCTGCTCCTCAGCGGACTGTAGATCGTCCTCCACGTGCTGCTCCTTGATGTTGGCATCCAAGTTATCCGGCTGAGGCTGTGTGGGTGGCAGTTCCTCAAAGCAAACGGACTGGATGGATTGAAATAATAATATAAGCTTAATGTTACATGGAATATACATGTATATCTTCCTTACCTGACAGTTGTCGCTGACCGACTCGTCTCCATTGCACTCCGCTGGCTGACCGAAGACCGACGTCCTGATGGTCTGTTGTTTTCCAAAGTCCAGACTTCGCTGGTTCGCCGAGCGTCTCTCCAAGTTTGATTCCCGCAACCCCGCTGCCTGATACTCAAATCCGTATACCCCAGTAATAGGATTGTCCACCGACTCGTTAGTATTGCTCAGGTTCTGAAGGTCTAGGGCGTCCGGATTGTCGCTGTTGTTACGGACTGGTGCCGCAGCCGCTGGAGGAACATCGAGAGCCTGGGAAAAAGCACTCTGGACGGGCCCCGTGCTTACCTTGTTTGTGGTCAGCGCCAGGTTAGCAGTTGGTGGCGATACCGTCTTGTATACGGCGTACACGTTTCCGGTATTATACTTGCGAATGGGATGCGAACCAGGATGGGCAGCCGGAGTATTAGAGTCAGAGGCGTCGGAAACGGGACTGGCTATGGTGCCCACCACCACGATGTGCTCGTCCAACTTAGGGGCCGAGAGCTTTGGCTGCTGCTGTTGAGCATCGATATCGATAGAGTTATTCTCGAAGTCCTGAGGCAGAGGAATAGCCTGTGGTGGCTTCTCTGTGGAGGATATCGTCTCGTTGACTGTCAACTGGGTAGGTGGTTTCACGGGTGCGGGTGGCACATTAACTGCAGCCGACTGGAGCAATTTTTGGCCAGTGGACTGGCGAAGTACCTCCTGGGAGATTGGCCACTTTGCTTTTTTGCTGTTGAGAGTCTTGTTGTTGAAACGAGGAGCCGTCGTGGTAAAGATCGTATGCTTAAGGCTCTGCTGTTGCTGTTGCTGCAGACCAGTGGGCACCTGTGGCTTTCCTATTACCGCCGCTAGTTCTTCTGTTTCATCTTCGCCAGGACGCAGGTTTCCGGGTGGACGTGAAGTGCTGGTGGCATACATTCTACTAGGCCACGTCCCATGGGTTTTGTTTTTGAAGAGAGTGTGCAGGTTGTGGAAATAATGTCGATCCTCCTCGCTCAGATGAGCTTGTCCCGTCTCCGGACGGAAGAGATGTCCGTTTCCAAAGAGTTGGTAGCCATCCATCTGCTGCTGCTTGTTGTGTTCCACGAAATACAACGTGGACACCGCCGCCAGGCTGAATTTGTAGAAAAGATATTCACTTTGTAAGATTGTGGCTCTCAAAATAGATGTGTCTTCTTACCAGGCAGCCATGACGATGATCAGCAGGAAGATAACTATCTGCAGGGATCGACTGGAGCAGACTTCGTACCCATCGCGCCGGCTTCCATATGGCTTGAGGGATCCTCGCTCCGGCAGAAGGCAACGTGGCTCCAGTAGATCCTTGGCACGCAGTTGGTGGCTGTTGTGGCCAATATTGGCACGTTCCAGGTGCTCGATGCGCGTCTCCAGGGATCCGGTCACCTTGCATAGCTCCTTAACGGCTCCGATGTTCTCCATCAGTATACGGTCCTGGAAGATCCCGTGTCATTAGAGAAGTAATACCTTCAATTTTCGGAAGAATCTCACCTTGTTGACCAGTAGAAAGTTCTCGATGACGTTTCCATTGGGCAGTACCACACTGCCAGCCTCTTGCACTGCATCGGGGATCACCTCTCGCACTTCCTGCGCAATCACTCCAGTATCTACGATCTCCCTTGTGTCGCTTTCACGGCGGAGACCCGAGTGGACAGCAAACTCGGGCTCGTAGCGGTAGCGAACAATCCGAATCTTCTGCAGGTTTCTCAGCTGCACCGAAGTGTCCAGCTCACCGATCTCCTGCTTGGCGCGACTGTCGCTCGGCTGGACAATGTGGCCGGACACCTTGAGGTTGCCATGCACCACCAGACTCTCGTCTGGCCGGTCTGTGTTGATTCCCACACGGCCCGCATGGAAGACTGACTCCTGGGTAATACCTCGCTGCCAGCAAAGATCCACATCGGACTCAAACTGACCCGGGTTGGAGGCACGTACGATGATTCGCTCGCTCCCGTGACTCATCACGGGGAAGTTGCCCGAAATGGTGTGCACGTGGAGACCCACGACCAGTTGGAAGAAGCGCTGCTCCGGATTGGGGCGACCCTTCTTGCGCATATTGTTGTTCGTTGTCTCGGAAAAATGCAATCGCCCCACGGTGACCTTGCTGACGATGTGCTTCTGGAGATCGATGCTATGGAAGGGTACACCAAATCAAAATCCAATAATCGATTATACATATTTCAAGAAAATATATATATGTTTCATAATAAATGAATCATGATGATTAAGAAACCAGGATATTTATATATGGTCCCTTACCATTCTAATATCGTGCATTGGGCAATTCTGCATTGGTTCTTCAGAGGAAAATCTGAATAGATTTAAATTTCACTTCTTTATTAATTTTTAAATCCAGAATTCCCATACTTGACCCCCTCCGATACCCATATCTTGGACAATTTTTATCCGATCCTTGAAGGGAATACCTTTAAAGATTCGCAGTTCAATTCTCTATTAATCTGCATCAAAACCTAGAAACAAAATTTTCGATCGAAATTTTTCACTTTTTTCCTGATGGTCCCCTTGTAAAATCCGGGATTTCCAGAATTCTCATTTTTGACCCCCTCCGATACCCGTATCTTGGACAATTTTTATCCGATCCTTGAAGGGAATACCTTGAACGATTCGCAGTTCAATTCTCTATAAATCTGCATCAAAACCTGGAAACAAAATTTTCGATCGAAATTTTTTACTTTTTTCCTGATGGTCCCCTTCTAAAATCCGGGATTTCCAGAATTCTCACTTTTGACCCCCTCCGATACCCATATCTTGGACAATTTTTATCCGATCCTTGAAGGGAATACCTTGAAATATTCGTTGATCAATTCTCTATTAATCTGCATAAAAACCTAGAAACAAAATTTTCGATCGAAATTTTTCACTTTTTTCCTGATGGTCCCCTTGTAAAATCCGGGATTTCCAGAATTCCCATTTTTGACCCCCTCCGATACCCATATCTTGGACAATTTTTATCCGATCTCTGAAAGGAATACCTTGAAATATTCGTTGATCAATTCTCTATTAATCTGCATAAAAACCTAGAAACAAAATTTTCGATCGAAATTTTTCACTTTTTTCCTGATGGTCCCCTCGTAAAATCCGGGAATTCCCATTTTTGACCCCCTCCGATACCCATATCTTGGACAATTTGTATCCAATTTTTTAAAGGAATACCTCAGATTTTAACCTTATCTAAGTCTTGTCTTAGAACAAAATGTTCGATCAATCTTGACCCCCGTTTTTCTGATGGAGCTTCTTAAGTGATTCGGGTTTCCTTTAGTGGTTATTTCGTATACTCACGGTACTGGATAAAATGGTTTCTTGGAGCGGTCCGACTGACTCTGCTCCACGCGGATGGTTTGGTTGGGCGCCTCAAACTTAACGCCGTAGAAATGCAAGTGGAAGGATTTGATTTTTTCGAGGCCGGACGGGGTCTTCACGAATTTGGCATCGCCCTGGAGGCGCGCATGGCAAGTGACCTGGAAGTGGTTCTTTTTCTGGCACACGTACGCGTCGTCCGAGACGCTGAAGTTGAATCCCTTGTCCGCGTCCACGCGGTAGTAGATCACAGACAGCTCCTGCATGTCCTGGTCGAATAACTTGTGCCAGTTCTCCGGCTGGAAGGCACTGAAACGAATGCACTGGCCGCCGGCGCCGTCCCCCGCCTCACTGCCAGAGCCAGAACCGGAATTGTGTCCTGATCCGGCACCCGATCCCGGTATCACGCCACTCGCATGTCCATCCAGGCTGTTGTCTGCCTGGGAATTTATGTTGGACAGGGCTGGCGATACGGAGGCGGAGTGGGTGTGGGAGGGGGCAGGCGTCGTGGCGGCCGTGGGCGTGCCCAGTGAGTGGTGGGAGGCACGCAGTGGACTCATCTGCAAACCGGCCTCCACCTTGGGCGGCGACGCAAAGTCGGGGCAGTCAAGCTGCGTTGACATCTTCCGTTTGCGCGATAGCGAGTGCACGGGTGTGGAGGGCGCGGAGAGACGGTTCAGCGACAACTGGCTGGTCCCGATCACCTGGACTCGATCCCCAAGCCCCAAGGTCGAAGTCAGCGTGCAGGTGGTCAGGTTCTGGTAGCTGTCGGACGCATAAATACCACCACCCGCTCCGTTCTCATAGTAGAGCATCTGGTCGTGGCCCATGTCCTGTAGTTGCTGCTGCTGGTGTGTCAGGTGTTGCTGATGGTGCTGGGCGAACTGTTGGTCGCCAAGCTGTTGCTGCTGCTGCTGGTGTTGCTGTTGCATCTGTTGCTGCTGCTGCTGGCAGAGCAGGTTCCCCGGATTTATTATGAGTCCGGACTCGTGCTTGACCCGCACATCCGTCTGGGGAGCGGCAAAGTGGTGCTGTTGGGGCGGCGACGCGTACTGACCCAGTTCTGTCTGCAGCATGTTGGCCTGGTGTTGCATGGGCGTTAAGCCGGGATAGATGAGGTCCCTGCCCTGGGGCATCGCCATGCCGTGCGCCTCGCCCAGAGGACTGTAGGCGGGCTGCGAGTCCGGCGGACTCTCTGGCAGATGCGGATGGACGTGAGCCAGCGTCTGGGCCGTCAGGGAACGTCCATTCCCATTCAACTGGCCCTCCAGGCCGTTCATGGGCGGGGTGTGGGGCGAGTCCAAGGTGGCGACACCGACTCCGCTACCGGAGAGGCCATTGTGGCCCAGCTGGATGCTGTCGTCGAGGGCGCCCTGCATAAGCAGATCCAGACTGTGTATGTCGTCATTGTGTATGTCATCCAGATCTTGGGGAGCTGTAAGTGTACAATAAGTGGTGTTATTAAACAGGGTCTCTTGGAGAAGACTTTCTTATCAACAAAGTGCTTTTTCGGGATTTTCCTAAAAGGGAATCAAGTAGCTTGTAGCTATTTTTGCATTCCGATTTGTATATATTCCTAAACGATAAGTATAAGTATCCCAATGTAAACAGTTAATACAGAAAAAATAAGCATTCAGTTGGGCTTTATCTTTTATGGAGAATAAAGAACAAAGTCCGGGAATTGCAAATCGGGAATCCGACATTCATTTACATTAAATATACGATATAACAATACGTTTTCGAGGGGGCGTACACCGCGCGGAGATAATTATAGTGAAATAAACAGATTCGGGGAACTAAATAAAAAAACAGGGAGCAAATAGCTGATAAGCCATGAAATTCCCGCTCTGTTTGATCGATATATGGTATAGCTAGCCGGGGAGGAGCCGGAGAAGCGAATTTGTTGACGTGCCAAATAAATTGTTGTGTAATTTATGCAGGACCCGGAGTGGGTGGACTGGGTCTGTGGTCGGGGATGAATATGTTAACATTTACCGTTCAGCGCTTTGGGGTAGTCCATAATTAATATGTTGGGTTTTTTTTTTTAGTAGCACTAAACAGTTCTGCCACAAAATTCTGCACACTAAGCTCGGCGTCGAGTCAGGGAGTCAGCGCGAACGGCCCGCGTCTTGGCCCAAACGAATCGCACTGATGGCCAAGTTAGCTCTTGTTGGCTCTGTTAGGCTTTGGGGGTACATCCATGGAAACATAACCATTAACGGATTTCATTTTCAGTTTCAGCGGGCATTCTACTGTTGCTGCTGCCTCTGCATCTGAGAAAACAATTATCTAACGCACGTATGAGCGAGCATACGGTTGATGCACTTTTCACAACTCGCTGAGCAGCGAAAATGCTCCGAGGGGTGGGCTCTGCTCCCGGCTCTGGGTCTTAAAAACTAATGCCAAAACCGAGGATAATACTAAACTAAACAAACGAAAGCGAAGATGAAAACGAAACCTAATTACTCGAAATGAAAATAAAAACAGCACCAGCAACAGTAGCAGAATTGCATTGCCTCAAAATCAATTCACAGATCTCAGCAGGTATTGTTTATGCAATTGTTCTCTCCGGCGGTAAGTAAATATTTTTACATATGCATTGGCCCTTGTCGTAAACGGCAAACTGTTTCCCAAACTTGATAAATTGTTTCCCTAGCTCCGGATTTGGATATTGTAGTCACTTGTGCGTCCCGATACGTCGGGTGCGGATTGAAAATATCTGAGCACTGACTGCGCCCCGGGAATATCATATCCCAGTGTGCAAATATTTGGGCTTCCAGTCGAGTTATTGATCAAACAATTCTGGCTCTGCTCCTTTCGTGTGCCACACAAGTGGCATGCAAATTCTAGCTAGTCCTGGGGGGAAAATTGTATAGAAATATATTAAACGATTTCAGCTATCATATATCCTGATTGTCTCATTCTCGACTGTGTCTGTGAGGGTGTACAAGATGCAGAGCCTTAGACGGTTCTTTACCAGTTCTGTAGACTCTGAATACTCTTCAAAAAGTTTAGAAATCTAATGATACTAGAACGACTAACTAAGAAATTAAGTTTTTTCAAAGTTAAGAACTTTCCAAGTTTCTAACCCCTTTTATGCTAAGAGGTTTCTGATTCTTAAATTAAAACTAATTTAGATAATATCTTTGAGTACATCCCCATTAAAGGGTACTCTACTATAAGCCTTAGATAGCCCATCCTACTGTTATGTCTATTTTTGGTAGCCACTTTGGTTGTCAATGACGAGGCGAGGCAAGCCAGCCTTCAACGGGGCCATTGCAAGGACTCTATTTGAATTTGAATTTGTTATCCTTGCCAAAAATATGCATATAAACACTTGTAGTAATTGAATAGATTTGTTATTCGGGAGTTAGTTTGCTTTTTTTTCGCGTTTTTTTTGAATACTTACACAGGTCAAAGATACCAAGGTCCATATTCAAGTCACTTTAGAAACATCCTGTCCACGTGGCTACAGCATGACTGATGCAAACTGGTCTGGAATGAACAACAGTGAAGGTCTCGTTATTGGGATTCAGATTGCCTGGCCACGTCATGTTACAAATGCCATTGGAGCTAACTTTTCCGGAATTCTTGCAATTCGAACGCACAGCCACCGGTTGCTATTGGCTTCTCGGATAAATTAAATAGAAGAGACTCTTCAGTTGAAGTTCTTCAGGTTGCTTGTCTTATATTCACGTACATGTTTACTGGATTCGAGGCGATAGAATCCTCTGAAATAGCAATGAAATTTAAATTGTATGTGTATGCTTATCGAAAAACTAGACTGGAGAACATATGGGGATGTGGAATTGTCTCGTAGCTCGATATCAGCAAAAGTCTGGAATTGCAACAAGGGAAACAAAACAAAATATAAGCTATGGCCGGATGAGTGAATGGCGCTTCCAAATGGAAACTGGCAATTTGCGTCTGGATGGCAGCTTTATCTTCAACAGAAACGAATTTGCATCGAAACCAGAACACGTGACACTAAAAATCCCAACATAAATAAGCAAAAAAGCACTAGAAACCAATTTAAGAAATTAGGCCCAACAAAGTATGCAACAAAAAAAGCACAAAGCCAGGTGGGAAATGACTTGTGACGCACATGGCGTATACGCAATATTGAGAAATTGGGGAGATGAATATCCTCTTCTGCTGTTATGAACCTCAATCAGCCTTGGTTAGATTAGCGGCTATTGAAAGTGATTTTAAAACGAAATAATCTGCGTTCGTTTCTTCGTTCGCTCTTTTCTTTGTAATTTTTGCTTTTTATCGCAATGATTTTGATTGAATTAACGCCTTGGATGTCTGTGTGCCTCTCCTGTGCCACGACAGACGTCAGATAAAGAACGCTTCCTCCTATAACAATATAATAAAAAAAAAAGATGCTCAAGTGATTTGATTTAGTCGGACGCCACAGCAGCAGGGCAACTAAAAATAAACCCAAACCGAAAATCTAAAAACCAGACTCATGCTCGTGACAAGAGCTTCACTTGAAGAAGCTGCCAAGACGGCGGCGAAAACAAAAAACCAAAAAAATAAAATAAATAAATAACCCGTAGTTATCCGGCTATTGATTGTGGGCTTGTTTTGGTCTATTACGAAGTCGGAAGTTAATATCTTTGATTTGCAGGGCACTACCTCTTGTGTTATAGCTTCTGCCGCTGCTTCTGCTTCTGACCTGGCTTTAACCTCATCCTTGAGCCGACTGGCTCATCATCATGCCGGAGCATTTAGCGTTTTATTAGCATTTCAATAAATCCACGGCAACCTCATGGTATCACATCCAAAGCGCTCTCTCGAATGGCGTGCGGCTGGCTTGGAAAAAAGGCAAAAAAGCAAAATAAATGCTGAATAAAATTCCACAGTCGATTGCACGTAAGCAACAATCAAATTGAGCCATAAATATATTTTTTTATTTTTTATTTTTTGGTTAGCAGAGCACTGCTCTCGGTGTGCTAATTGCTTTGGATTCGCTCAACAGACCGTCCAACAAGTCAATTACTTTGGCCAAAAAAATATTTCGGCTAACCCATGACTTTAATTTAGTTGTAGCCCAGGCCAAGCCCAAGTTTAGACACATCAAGATGTTTGGAAAAGGCGTGAAAGGCACTTATCGGCCGAATTAGCATCCAGTCCCTAACTTAATCTCCAAATATCTGACCAGTGCTTCATCCCTCGGCAGATCCAATCCGAAAAAAACATAAAATATTTCGCAAGAGTCTGTCGTAAAGACGAGACGGAAGTGCGTCATATTTATAAGCAAAGTATGTATATGATAAGAACACATTCTTAATAAATGGCATTCTGACCTTTTCGGATAAGTTTTTAATTCATAAAATCCAAATAAGAAAACTTAAACAAAAGCTTTGAAACGGATACGAGAAAAGAAAGTCGGTACGGTACGGGGTAAGGTACGGAATATTCCATTTGTTATTGATCGCATATTTAGCATCTTTCGAGTTCCAGCTAAACGGATCCAAGTAGTCCGCCCCCTCTACCCTACACCACTCCCCTCACACCCCCTTCTATTAGCAACAAAATAAACTATGCTAAACAGCTTTCGGCCAAGCTGGAGGTTGAGCTCGAGCGGCAGCTTCTTCGCCATCTAGATTGTTATTTATAAGTATCTTTATTTATTTGTTCTGCATGATTTTTTCCTCAACTTTTACATATTATTGCCGCCAAGTCTGAGAGCCACCTGAACGGGGAATTCCAAGGGGGAGGGGAGTATCGCGAGGGGTGCTGTTACTGTTGGCGGTTTCTGTTGGCTGTTGGCAGTTGGCTGGTGCTTGAAACCGTCAGAAACCAAACCAACCGGTTAACTTTTATGTCTTTGCCTGATGCTGCTGTTGTGAGCGTCTTTTTGGGCTATAGGACACGTTTGTGTGTTTTTTTTTTGCCTGCTTTTTGTTTTTGTTACTGTTTTATTTTATATTTTTTAGCTTTAGAGCTTGGCACAGGTTGAGACGAGCAAGCCAAGAAGAAGAAGATCCACCGCAACGCAAACTGGCCAAAATCAAAGTCGGCTAACTAATGAAATGAAGACCTCAAAGTCAGCACCTCAAAACAAAAACACACAATCACAATTAAAAATAAATAAACATTGTTTGGTGCAAATACAAAATTAAAAAATTTCAAATAAAAACAAAATCACTTCGTTTTGCCGCATTCTTTAAAGCCCGATTGTTTTTTGTTATTGTTGTGGTTGAATGAAAGGTGAACTGCGTTGTGAGAGCGTTTTGTTTTTAGTGGGAGGCTGGCCTATTGTTCTTTAGAGATTTGACAAGATCTGAGATTACGTATCCGCCAGGTAAGCCGCCGATTGTCAGTCACCGCTACTCTCGCACATCAGAGAAATCGCTCGTTTTGCACATGTTTTATTTTCTATTTATTTGCTTAATTTTTTCTAATTTCTTTTTGTTTTTGTTTTCTGATATTACTTTATTGCTTGCATTTGCTTTTTTTCCCGGGAATTTTTGTTAATAAAACCTATATATATTTAAGCTTATTTTAAGCTAAAGTCACTTTTAAATTAGTCACACACACTACTCGCTGGGCACTTACACTTGCACAAAAACACCGTTACTCTGATTGTTTACGAATTTGTTGCTTTTGTTGGCGTTGTTTAAGTTGCACTCTCCGTGTCCGTCTCTGTCTCCTTTTCTCTCTGACAGTATTTATTGTGTCGTTTGTGTTTCACGCTTCGTATACTCGATGCAACTGTTACTAAGATCGCGTTTTCCTCTGCTTTTCTGCCGCTACGACTGCGTTTCAATTCGGTTTCAACTAGATTTCCGCTCGCGACTGCCACTGGGACTGGTATCCAAATCCGTTGGAGTGTGTACAGCAACTGATCGCTCGAAAGCCGTTCTCTCAAATCTCTGCTCAGTCCAATGAAGCTTGGATTCGGATTCGGATTCAGACTCGGATATTGGCTTCGGCTTTGGGGGTTGCCACAGCGTCCGAGGCAGCTGGAACTTCGCCGGGCAAATGAAATAATAGCTAATAGTATATCCAAAATTTTCTAAAATTTTTAATTTTATGATTATCATTATATAATAATGAATTACAAGAATTAAAATAATAAAGAAATGTCTTTTTTGGAAAGAGTTTAATTTAAATATTTTGTGGAATATAGTCTTAAAAGATTCCCTGAGGTACTTTATTTTTTTAAATATCAAAAAGAGCTTAAGAAACATTAAGTTTTGTAAAAAATATTTATAATATTGATAAGAAATCTATTTATTCTACAGCTTAAACAAAACGTAAATCAAAAACCTCTTTAAGACCTTTTTAAGATTAAAACCTTAGAAAAAATAAGACCTTTTCCGAACTTACACTTCTTCTTAATTGATTAAAAAGCTAAAAAATGTAAATAAAATATATTTACAAAAAGCTATTCTTAAATATATCCAGTTACCGGCATAATGGCAACCACGTTTTCTGAACAACGATCTCGCGGGATTCTCCCGCACTCTGCGAGAAATTGATAAATCACAGCCAGGGTTTGTTAAGAAAAAATGTAAATTAAATTATAACTAGCAGCGCCAACAATGGGCTTAAGTAAAACCCGGCCCCTGTGCTTAGTGCATCAGCTCTCACGCAATTAGCGTTCCGCCCCCACCGCAGACCCCAAACCCGAGTCCCGATTCCCGTTCCGCGCGAGACTCGTTTTACGCTGGGATGGTAGATCGCAGTTCGGTGCGATCTGATTTGATATCGGTGTGTGCCGGCTTGTGCTCGGATAACACCCCTCGGATTGGTTGACAGCTATTTTGTTTCTTCTTCGGCGTCAATGTAATGATACAGTCCCATATATGTATGTGATGGGAGCCGCTTGCCCAGACCTCCGTCTCCATCGCCGCCTCCATCTCCAACTGACCCATCAACATTTCCAACTTAACATCGCTTAATGGAGTTGTTTGTGTTCTTGGGGGAAACACATTTGAGGTTGAGGTGGCTACGCAGATTGAATTAATCCGCTGATTTATGTAAATTACACTAATTCATATTACTCAATTGGTTATTCAATATTCATCGCCTGGCAGGGCGTCCAAGAACTGTTTCTGTTTACTCAAATGGTTTTTGCAGATTCATTTCTATTTGATCCACCCAAATGCCCAAAATCTGATCACATGACTCATTCAAATATCTAGTTTTTGTAGCGTAACTAATACCCAGACTATTCAAAGAATGAACCATTTCGCTGTGGCGTAACTAATTTTTATCCAAGCCGATTTAAATTAATACACAGTTCGTTCTGTAACATATTAGGCAACGTTTCTGCACATTCTTTAATTTTTGGAGGATAGGATTTCTTGAGCTAACGATTGAAGCAATGTAAGTACATTGAAAAATAAGCCACGCATGTTTTTACCCCACGCTGTACGCCTTCGAGAGCTTTTCCAGAACCGTAGGATTGTTGTTCGGCCAGTTCTTAATTTCGTTCAAGATGGACGTTACCACTGAAAAATAATAATTCTCATTTAATTAAACATTTTCTGAGGATTAAAAACAGTGTCTCACTTTTCTTTTCCTCCGCTGACATAAGCATAGCCAGAATGGTGAACTCGTCGTTTCTACTGATCTCCAGCAGCACCGCTGCTGTTGTGGGCTCCTTATTGGGTACGTAATAGTCCTGAAGTGTGCGCAGCAGATCCGTGTACGTTTCAGAGTCAAAGCCAGCACCCAGGATACGGCACAGACTCGCAATCTCGATTGACTTAAGATACTGATACTTTTGTGATGGAGCCAGCTCCTTCCATGTAACATGAAACTGAGCTGTGCCCGTAGGTGGCGGCGGCAGATCTCGCTATTAAAAATGAGATAATATATCATGAAATTTTCTATTGAAAAATAGGACTTACCTCTACTGGTTTGACTTCCGGCCCCTTTAAAGTTTTCACAATATCCTCTTGCTTTGGTACGATTTTTTGAACAGGTTTAGTTTCGGAAACGACACTTTGTATGATCTTTGGTGCTGAAGAGGAAGGCTGCGGTTTGGGGGTCTCATCAACTGCCTTGACTTTTTGTGTATTAGGTTTTATCTCCTTTTTCACTTCCTTGGCAGTCTCAACCACTGGCACCACCTTTGGTGGACTTTTCTTAGTTTCTTTTTGTTTTATATCGGTCTTCTTAACCTCCTCGAATACACCACAATTGCTGTTAAAGATTTTGTCGATGTCCTCATCGGAAATGCGTAGGCTTTTGCTGTCGTCGCTGGCGGCGCGGGGTGAAACAATATCTACAATCGGCACCCTGCGCATAGGCCGCTTGGATCGCTTGTAAACAGGTTTATCAAATGGCAGGACGTCCACCAAATCGGCACGATCGGGGGTAAAATTTGGGCCACCTTTAGTGGCTAGAAGTGGACATATAAAATAATTTTACTACATTATCTAACAGAGAAATGTTTTTATTAATTTACCTATTTTGCGCAAACGTTCGTTGATGCGGGCTAAGCTTGTTTTGGCCTCAAGATTTTTGGGCTCAATGGCCAGGACGGTTGTGCAATCCTTGAGCGCTTCCATATTGTTGCCGAGGGATTCGTTGGCCTGCATTCGCCTGTAATATGCCTTGACGCACAGGTTGTCCAGACCTATGGCGGCCTCACAGTCCTCAACACAGTCAACAAACCTGTAAAATGAGTGCATACATTAGGATTATTCGTAATTATACGTAATCTCGTAGTCGTACTTTTCCTGTTTAATGTAACATAAAGCTCTGTTGATATAATAAATAGGATCGTAGGGATACACATTGATGGCCTCGGTGTAGGCTTCAATGGCTCGGTCGTAATCCGCCTGCTTGACATAGCTGTTGCCACGGTCCTTTATATCGTTGGCTTTTTTATGCTGATGGGCCACAGGATCCACTGGCAAATCTTGTTTCTCAGTCGGTGTACTGGCCGCCGAGCTGCTGGGGCTCTCTTTACCCGCCTTGCCCGTCTTCTCCACATGACTGCGCACCGGAAGATTCTAGAACAAAGGATTTTTGGTCTGCACGAGGAAGGGACGATTCAAGCTTACAATATTGGCGGCAGCGGCGGGCGCATTCTTCAGCTCTTTTTCCTTGTTCTTGATGTCCCGCTCCCACGAGTAGAGATCTTTCACGGAATTGGCATAGTCCGTTGCATTTCGGCGCACCTGGCGTTGCAGTTCTAAGGCCTTTTCCGCTCCGCTCATCTTGGTTGCTATGTATTATTTTAATTCGAATTATTGGGCAACTTTTGTTATTTCTAGTGATAACAAATCAAAATATTAATATATCGATATTTTTGTAATCGGGCTTTTGGGGACCAGTGTTGGAAAAAAAAATCAACATGCACCGACAAAAATATTACAAAAAATTCGAGAAACCAAGAAACAGACCTGCAAATCGTGAATAAAATGTAGTTCCAGGCCAGATAAACGTGTCGGACTTGGAAAAAAATGCAAATCAAATGTTTTTGTACGCCTGCTCGTTTATATAAAGTTATCGAATGGTGTCCGAATTTCACTCGATAACAGTTGGCCCGAAAACAGCTGTCTTTTGTTTTTAAATTTGTTTTGATACAATTCTTACAATTAATTATGATCTTACCAGGAGAAAAGAAACATTAACTACAATTTAACAGGTGACAATGCTGAGGCTGTGCCTTTCGCCCCGGACTGGAGTGCCCTGCAGACGTAAGTAAGGATTCTCAAACTTTAAATTGTTTTGTTATGTAAAATATTTGTTTTCCAACGCGCAGTTTCGCACACGAAGAGAAAACACGGACAAGAAAGCCGGAAACGCACTATGAGGTACTAAACATATCGACCAACTGCAGTAGCCAAGAAGTCCGCAATGCCTTTGTCAAGCTTTCCAAGCTGGTAAGATTCTTGTAGACTCCTACATGGATAGCTAAGAAGTTACGTTTATGGCACATTTTAGTACCACCCAGATGTCAAGAGCAATGCAGCGAGTCCCGAGAGGACGGCTCGGTTTCTACAAATATCGGAGGCTTACAAGACTCTAATTAAGCCTAAGCTACGACGGGACTATGACGACAGCCTGCTGTGGAAGCCATCGCGCTCGGAACGCAGTCCGGTGGACGAAAAAGGCAATCCTATCCAACCGTGGGATGTCAAGCCCAACTTTGACCCAAATCCAAGACCCTACTATGGCATCAAGGGAGTGAATCGCGTCTCAAACTGGCAGGTTGCCTTGGCGTTAATGGCTATCGGAGTCTTAGGAGCATTGTTCGGCTTCACTTCTGTCAAGTATGTTGCCAACTTGATCAATTATGTGTTTATTTATGTAATTTAATAAAATTACAGGCACTCTTTCAACCTGAGTCGTCAAATCCAGGACGAGGTCTCAGCAAATGCCAATTCCCACCATGCCGCCGTCGTGGCAGATGCCCAGAAATACGGGAACGAAGAACAGGTACGCCGCATGATCGATCGAATGGCACGGAGTCCGTTTAACCAGACGGCATCGAAGTAGTATTTTATTTGATTTAGCAAAATTAAACGTGAAAGCAGATAGATATTTTTGATTGTTTTGTTTGGTTCAAGGCAAAGTAAATTCTTCGGTATTATGCTAAAATTATATCATCCCCACCGACCTTCGTTGCCGATTTGCAAACTGTGCAAATAAGCCAGGCGACTATTTAAACTCTGCCTTCGATGCTACCAGATCATAATCCAATCTATTCAACTACCAATATGAAGTCAACTATCCTCTTCAGCGGCGTGTGCCTTGTGGTCCTTTGCTTCCTGGGAAGTTCGCAGGCCCAAAACAACACTACAACCACCACCACAACAACTACGACTACTTCGTCTCCGGGTTCATCGGGTTCGTCGAGCTTCTCAAACTCCTCTCCTGGCAAGATAGTGAGGGTATCTGGCCTGACGTACTCGGCTACCCGGAGGATTCGCATTGCCACCACCACAGCCAGCAGCACCAGTACTCGCAGTGGCAAGGCCAAGAACCGGAAACTCCGTGCTAAGCGCGCCCAGGCTAAAAACGCTAAAAACGGCAAGGCCAAGCGAGGCAAGGGCAAGAACAACAAGCGCAGGAACAATGTGCGCGTTGTTAGGGGCTAGATCGGCCAGGATCCACCATCCTACTACTCCTGTCCACCAGATCATCCCGTTACTAATACGACTTTAAGTCAATGTTTTTATTTTGAGCTCATTCTAAACACGAAACACTTATGTTTACCGACGGGCGAATTAAATTAGATAAATACGTAAATTGTACTGTTTGTTTACGCTACTTTGAATTGATAGTGGAGACACTTAATGTGGAACTACCTGGAACCCGCCACCGCAACTACAAACTAAAGGATCACATAGTAAAAAATCCAAAATCGCCGCTTATAGCAGCTCGTTTGCGTCTACAGCTTTGTTTGCGTGGACTTCTTGGCATTGGCATCCACCTCCTTGGCCATGATCCGGATGCCGACATGCGGCTGTGCCGGCTTAAAGATCACCTCTCCCTGGGGCTTGTAGTCGGCGAACGGCATGTTGAACACCTCGTGGAAGCCCAGCTTCTCCATAACCCGGGCAGAGTAGTGGCTAGAGCAGACTACATGGTAGACATTGATGCCGTTCTCTCGCATATACTGATAGGCGCGCTCTGTAAGTCTTCCGGCGATGCCCAGTCCCCGGTAATTGGTGTCCACTGAAAGGATTTTGCCGTCCAGCATGATGTTTTCGTTGGGGTACAGGTCAAAGATGTTGAAGTGATCCTCAACGTGGTCAAACAGGGAGAGGATCTTCTTGAATTTTGGGTGCTCACAGCCATCTGCTGCCTTGACGGCCACGTCGTCGGGGGACTAATACGGTTTGGAAAGAAAGACTCAAGTTAGTTGGTGTTTTTCATGGGATGGGCTTAGTTCTACTTACCGGGCGTCGCAATAAGCCGTTTAGGAAGATGCCAATGATCTTGCCATCCTTGTCGACCGCCTTGTATGAGCAGTTGTCGGAAAGGGGCTTCAAGGAGTACTTCTCCAGCTCCTTGCATTCGCCGAGATCAAGGAATGTGTTAAGGGGCTCATCCTGAAACGATATCAATGATTTGAGTGATACACTTAACTCATTATGAGGCTATTCGAGTGCCGCCAATCTAACGATAAAAAATCTAAACAAATTGCGACCGTAATTACGCGACACGATCTTGGAATTGATTAGCCATTCAAATGATTTATAGACGCATTAGTTGGATTGCGATTTTCTAATAATTTATAGAGACAGTTGGGGAATTGCGAACGGAACTATGCCTACTGGGGCGTGGCATGCATACTAATTAGATATGGCTATTATATAAATATAGGTCTTGATTATCCAATAGGTTTTTGGTCTTAGCGAGGGAGAATTCTCATTGGCCGGCGGCTGGGAAACCAGTCTACATGGTGTGTACTACATAGTGCAGGCCAAGATCAAGCTAATATATTGATTTCAGAAGCAAGCCAAGAGTCGTGATGCATGGCGAGACCTGTAAGTTAACCATGACATGGATCATGTTCCCGATCATGAGCCTCACGACAGCCGAATAATTTCGATCTGGTTCAATGAGGCCCCCACCAGAGATTCATTCCCGAACCCCGGTGATGCCCAAAGCCCGAATTAATTACAATCTTAAGTTTAGTGTGCGAATTTCGCGATAAACTCAGGCTTAATTAAGCCGACGATCGAACAAATAAGTAACCACGTGGTTCTCCGGTCCGACTAATTGAAATTCTTTGGAAACATTTTATTTAAATTCACTTTTGTTTAATGGAATTTATAAATTCACAACTCCCGAAACGGTGAGCAGGTGTTCAGCTTGATTGGCTTGATTCAGTGATATGCAAACGAATTCCGAATTACCCCACCGCCACAAACAATACAACAATATATTATGCATTGAATTAATGTGAGAAATGTCGGGCACTTACTTTAAAGAAAAAGGTCTTGAGCATGGCTATAACCGCCTCTCCATCCTCCGGCCGGATCAGTTCGATGGTGTAGGGACAGTCCTTCTCGGACGACACTTTCAGAGCCTCTCCCATTTTCTGTGTCAGTCGGGCGATCGGATATAGGTCGTTGAGCTGCAAAGGAAAACCAAATAGAAATCGTTAATGGGCATTAAGGTTGGGGAAAAAAACCTACATACGACGTGGAGCAAACATTATTATTTATGGCTCTTAGATGAAAGGCATTTTAATTTGTTGTGTATATACATTGATATATTTTGTTTGTGTTTTCGAATAGCACACATGTGTGACGACGTCGCCAGAACCCTGCATTTTCTTCAGACATTTCCAATTTCCACATACTACTATATACATATATATCTTTTTTTTTTTTAAATTTTGTTTTCATGTCCGCCACCGACAGCAGTCATAAATTATACAACTGAAATAAAGGTCGGAGTCTAGTCGAAAAAAAAGTATTTAACATTTTGTCGTCATCATCGGGAAACTATATATACTTCCCACTCTTAGTAGCCATAATTTTCAGCAGGAAAAGTACTGCACTGGCACTTCGTAGCCTGCACTGGCGGATCATTAGAAAAATCTGATATAAAATCACGTTTCATTAACTTATCTGCCATTAACGCCACGTTAAGATCGCCTGCCCCCAGACTGGGCAATAAAAACGAACCGGCGAATATTTGAAAAATTCGCACATGCTGATTTACAAAGTAGCCTCCGGCTTTTGTTTACACTCGACCTCATCCATACTAAGTCTATTATTGGGTGCACCACTTGTATTTATAGACCTTTTCAGTGCCGATCTAACCCACGCATCTGGGACAGGCTGGATCTCTTTTGGGGGGCGGAGGTGGGACACACACTTACCCCACATCTGGAATCGAGCATTATGCGCTGGCTCGGGTTGCTCGCCATCAGAGTCTGATCGGGCAGCTTTTGCACTTCCATGGTAAACAATTTGTATACGGATAGGGATACGGGTTTGTTGTGTGTTTGTTTGTTTATTGCAAAATGCCAATGCCGATGCTTTCTTTTGTTCTACGTCGGCGGGCCAATAACAAATTATGTTAGGATATTAGGGGTACGGAATGGGGAATTTATGGAGAATTCTTTTCCTCCGATTTTGGATTTCGCGGCGCACGTTTTGCGATTTTTGTGTTTATTTCGCTGCCAACGGCTCTTTGTTTGTTTTTTGGCGCTGTTTGGTTTTTAATTTGACTTTTTTCCCCCCCCTTTTTTTTTTGGTTTGATAAACAGTAGAGTACACAGTCACTAGCACACACACGTAAGCTCAGATTAACGATGAATGAATAAAAAAACAAATGACTGCAGGTGTTATCCTGGCGAGGACGTTGATTCGCCTGAGAGCAAACAATGAATGCCAGACATCGGCCCCGTTTGCAGTTTATATAGCGATCAGATCGGATCGAAATTCGCGCAAATGCGAGAGCATATATATCGGATCTTAGCATACAGAGCCCGCACCGGCGGCTGTTTGTTCGCGACTGAGAGACGCGAGAAGCGTTAAGGTGGATAAAGCCAGCGAGTCGAACGGATCGATCATATGGGGATATAACCAGGTCTAGGCACTCATACCGCTCTCTTTCTGGGAGAAACTCAAGCCGGTGTGAAGGAAACGTGACTGGATTTCTCTCATTCTGCGACAAATCGAGTTTCACAGCCGTTTCCTGTATCGGGCTTTCCAAGATGGGCCTTTCCCTTACAAGTCCGGCACTTCCGCTGTGCAGGGCAGCTTGTTTTGCGGTCACTGGTTTTTGACATTTTATATGAATTTTTTTTTTTTTGGGTTTAAATCAAAAATAAATAAAACAACCGCAAGCAAACAGGTTCAAAATTAGTGCAGTGATGTTGTGCTAACTATCAAGGTCAGTAAGCTAGGTAAGGAACTAAAGGAGAGCTTTATTAAAAAAAAAAGAATATTGAGTCTCCCTATCCCCTGTTTAAAACCTACACTGCGTATGAGTAATATTTCTTATGCACGAGTCCAACACGGCGTATGAGTATTTTTCCGTGAGTGATTTCTGCAGAGGGCTTGCCAAATCATTCATCGTTTTGTTTTTGTTTACTTTCCGCTCGCAGCTGTCGCGTTTTGTTTTCTTTTTATATTTTTTTTTTATTCATTTTTTTTGGCCGTGCAAACGGAGCGCACGCCGTTGGCTCAATTAATATGCGACAAAAGAAAGAATAACAACGCTATTATGGAGGTGAGGTGCGAGGTAGTAGCTGGGTAGCAGGGGGTACCACCCCCGCAAAATCGGACCGACCGACCGGGGCATCTGTATTTACATTCCTCGCCCCAGACGGGTTCGCCCGGCGGGCTCTCGAAACGGTTTGTTTAAATTGGCGCGCGCGCTCTCCGGCCAATTATCACCCAAGTACTCTGCATACTACACGTAGTATAATATGGAAATATTTTTAATAATTCAGCTTTGTTTTCAATACTCCACAAAAATCACAAATCCCAGTGCTGACTACCAGTTAGTTTTGAGTGGTTCGCTGAAGCGAAATGTGTGTGATTTTTTAACGGCCATAATTAGCAAGGCAAAAAAATGCAAATTGTCACCGAAACTGTTTATCATGCGAAATCATTGGAAAATTTTCATGGATAATTTTGTTTACATATTTTTTTTTTTTTTTGCCAAAAGATTGCCGCCTGGATTGGTTCTTTTAATGAACTTGTTTTTTTTTCTGACCACCTCACCGCTGTTCTTGATCTGGAGCACTAATTATATCCCGAAACCAGAGTCGCGCCTCTTTCCATTGTCATGGCTATAAAATTTCCTTTCTTTTGCTTCTGACTCAAGCACTGCAATCGTTATTTGAATCGGTTTTGGGTGCAGGTGCGATCAAACAAAGTTGAGTGACTAAAACACGTTCTTTTTTTAAACAAAATATAAGTATAAAATAATAAACGTTTACGTATGCATTTATTAAGGAAAACAATACTTAAGGTATTGTTGTCTATAGATATTTTTGGGATCTCAGCATTTGCAGTGTCATGCACATAATGATCTCCAATAAATCTCGGCGGTGTCATTTATAGTATGAGTTTATTGAGCTTCCAAAAAATTGCTAAAACGGGTTTTCGAGAGGTTCTGTCCAGAGGATGGGGGGGACTTGAACATTGATATGTAACTAATTGACAGGTACAAATGTTAAAAGGCGTTTAAAGTTATGAATTCCAATTAGTATTCATGAGACTAGTCGGTAATTAAGCATATTATTATGTGTTATGTTGAGTAATTTATTGGGCGTTAAACTCGTATATCTCTTAACTGACTGTAACTGACTGCACTTTTGGACCCACTGTAGATCTGCAGCTCTCATGAGTGATATTCTGGGGCGATTAACGACTTCAAAGTGCTGCGCAGCCCGCCGTCATCGCCTCGTTGCGATTTTGTTTGCATACGGATAATTAAAATCACATTAGCGCCGTTTAAGTGATCACCGAGTTGGCTGGCTATTTGCAAATACAATCAAAATGATTGAACGTTTAGCTAAACACCTCTCGGATCTCTCCATAAAGTGTGATGTCTTTAGTTTTTCATATCTTATCATTGACAAGAGGCCCATTTTGTCATATCTAAGCCAAAGTTAATTGCTGGGAACTTTCCACAAGATCTCGTATCTTAAAAGGGGTCTAGTCCAAGGCCCCGTGGATTAGGTTACCAGGTGTTGTTTTAGAACTCTATTAACATGGCAATTATTTAAGGAAAACGCCAACTTGATTAAGGATTGCCATTATGAGAAGGCGTCACCCCATCAATTTATATGCTAACTAGTAGAAACTAACTAGTAGACAATTCTGTTCTATTTTTAAATACTCTTTACTGGAATGGAAGTTAAATAAATATAATATTTAAACAGAGCTTAAATAGTATTTTTACGTAATCCTATGTAAAACTTTCATATTGGGCGCTACACGTGTTTAAATCATTTGAATATGCAAATCAGATCCATAATACTCTCCACTGACCATAGGGGACTAGAACGAAACCCACAATTAGTTACTGCTGTCATATAAATTACAATACTGCATTTGCATTTGCCATAAATCATTCGTATTGTTAGCCATCGATCGGGCTGACTTTTTCGCCCAGAACGCCCAGAATTACATGCCAGGTTTAGGCCATAAACTTGAAAGTTTGTCACCAGGCATGTGGCTTTTCCGACAACTGCAACAAGCCGGAATTGATTTCCGTCGGCACCTTGGACCAAGTCCGGCGCTGAAGTTTGGGGCTGGACAACTTGGCCAGATCGACATGAGAGTCGAACGTGACTGGAAATCGAGTGTCCACAGTGGTGGGGCTCCGAGGCGGGGCGGCTCGAAGGCAGGGTGGCCCGAGACATTGAAAGTTTGTTTCAGCTTAATAAAGTTCTAAAGCCGCTTCGTCTAATCGAATTAGTGCCACAGTCGTCCCACTTCTCCGCCCCTATCTGCCTGCGGCAGCTCCGGTTTGGCTTTTGTCTGCCCCCCCAAAGTGGTGGGAGTTGCACTTGCCACATATATATTTAATGCACTTGGCAACAGTAGGTTTAGGAGCAGTAGAGTATACTGGATCTTTATAAGCTGTGAGTTCAAGTGAAACCTGTAATTAAGCATCACCTGGATGAAAAGCATGGTTAATCAATTTATAATGCCATATTTATTATATGATATCATATTTATCATATCATTTAAATGTAAATCTAGATGTCACGAAATTTAATATATATTCTGAAATCTTATGAAGAGATTTTTCATTATTTCTCCAATTTTAAAGCACACTTTTAGGCCTCACAGGGGATTCAGGTAATTCCACTGACAATGAGTATGAAATAGTCGTTCAACTATTGCCACAACTATCCAGACTTAGATCCGCTTCTTATGACCGCTAATGTTACATTCTAAATACATTAAAATACTCTTATCTCATCGAAGTGCTGTGCACGAGCAGCGGCAAACACAATTGTTTGAAAGCAAACACAAATGAAACGGAAACGACCAAACAATAATTTATCAGGCCGCACAATAGTTAACACACTAGTGGGCTTTTGTTCAATTTAATGTAAATTGCCTATTTAATTCGCCATCCGATATGCCCCTCGCGGGAGAACGATGCTCTGCATCTGAAAATTACCCGTTTAGGTTGTAAATTGCATTTTCCTCCATTCGCTGGGAAACTTCATTTAAATTCATTCGAGCCACTCTGGTTCAGGCGATTTCCTCGCCCTGAATTTGCATTTGTGCAAAAAGGAGGGCTGCAATCCCAGGCCACATACCAACTCAATTCAATCCGGACTAGTTTACCAATGAAATGCGAGGCAGGAGATAATTTCAGCCATCTGCTGGCACACAATGGGGACAGTGGAGGGTTTGTTGTTTTTCAACAATAAGCTCTGGGCATCATCTAATCTGGCTGGCACATGCATCCACATCCTCTTTCCCATTTTTTTCAGACTGTTTCCATTTCCCTTGCCAGGCAACAGGATGCAGCTTTCCTGACAACGACACATTGCGCATTCGCCATGTATGCCACACTGAACGTGTTATAAGACACATATTTTGTTACTTCTTCTCTGTAGGATTAAGGATTAAAATTCAAACTTAACCCTAAACCTTTTTGAAGTTAATTAATTCCATTTCTTTATTATCTTATCTTTTCATTCAGACTTTTTCAGTTTATTTCTCTCAGTGCTGACAGTACGTACGGCAGCACAAATTGCTGGCAGGAAGCCAACAAAAGCCGTGCACGACTGGGCATCATCATTATCATCTTTGGCAGTCCCAGTGGCATCCGCGCGGCATCCTCATTATGGCCATTGCCGCTCGGCTGCCTGCAGCAAGGGAAGCGGCAAAAGCAACAGAAACAGCAACAAGCTGACACTCTGACAATGTTGGCGCCATTTTGTTGTTTGTCTTTCCTCTTGTAATAAAATGAGATCCGGCAGGAGGACTGCCTGCCGTTTCGCCTCCTTTGAGGATGGTAATGGGATTCAGTCTGCCATGACTACGGCTGAAGGGCGTTTTAAATACTTGAGGGACTCCTGCTCGAGCTCCAGCATCAGCTCCAGCTCTCCTCCACAATGTAATCATCGCCGGCAGGACTTTTGTATGGCACGTAGCCAGGACGCTTTGTCAGTTTGTGTCCCATACCCCGGAAGGGGCGTCTGTTGTCAGCAGTTTGGCGGTGGATGGAGGGTCGACTTTTGTTGACAGATTGATTTTGATGTGTTTTCATTGTTATTGTTTGGCCCGGGCTGGTGAGGGCCCTTTAAATCGGGAGATGAGACTCTTGAGTTGTCCTTTTTGTCACTGATTTCAGCCGAACTGCGTCGAGGCAGTAAACATTTTAGCCTAATTGCTTGACTCTTTAAGCCCTCGAACCGCACTGACTAATTGACAAAAGCCTTCTCCTCTTCATGGGATTAAGGACTTGATGAATTAAGTTTGCCGGCCTGGACTTTCTGAATAGGAAACTGGACCTGAAATATTCATGCACTTTCATTTATTTAATGAGATTGAATGAGAAACGGTCGTCCATAATTCACGAAAACGGGAGGCACAACTTTTTCGCTTTGCAATAGAAATCCTTTTTGGCCAGGGTCTAACCCCCTCTTAGTTATTGCCTGTTGGACCGGCTGGGTCATTTGCTTAAATCCAATTAACTGGGATGAAGTCGGGCGTGCCAAGCGCTCCGTCAGCTTTATTGGAGCGTATTAAAAAGCCAGAAAACCAGAAACCCACAAGGGCGGCCTGGCCTCATCAATTGGAATGGAATCCAATCAAATCGATACAAAATGCTGTACAAAACCGAGGGCAGCAAGGATGCTTGCCAGATTCCTGGCATTTCTCCTTTGCTGGCAAAAGTTGCCATTGGCATTGCTCATACGCCACGTTGCCCCCCGAATCAATTGAAATAAATAGGATACATATGTGCTTGTTTGCCCTGTGTATGCGTGTGTGTGTGTCGTACATATAAGCCTGGGGGGGTCTGTGGAAAGAAGTTGTTTTCCACATATTTGTATTACTTGCAGAGGACTGTGATTTTCATTGCCCATTTTATTTGTTCGCCTGCTTGTTATTGACAGCTTGGACGTGCGTGTGGGCCGCGATTAAATTTGGTCAACTGTCATGCCCCGGTCAGCTTTAAGTTTGCCCCTAATGTTTGCCTTGACAACGGGTTAAGTAACCAACGATATCCTGAATCGATTTCGACGACCATTCCCAACAATCTTATCCCCAGGTTCTATGATGTTTTTATTGACTTGAAGTACCGCCTGATTTGATTAGAAGAAGAGATACATTGTTTACTTGGAATACGATAAGAAACTATCTAATCTCAAGGGCTCTCTTTCAATATATGATCAGTTACTAATCAGTAAGTAGGTATATTTATTACTTTCAGGTAATTTCCAGTGATCATATAAAGATTACAAAATCTCTCTGATCTTTAACACTCTTCTGAGCTTGCAAACACGTACTATTCGCGGCACATGTTAACGTAAATCTTTTTTCACAAACATATACCCTAGTTTATACTGTTAGACAATTTTAATAATTTGATTTGGTCGCCTGCCAAATAGTCGCAGTCGCGTCTCTTGCGGCTTTTGGGCGCTTAAGTATTGTGTGTTTTGTATTTAATTAGGACGTGTGGGCCGTTTTGGGGGGAACACTAGAGAACAAATGTGTATATATTTTATAGTGAGAATTTCGTGTTTTATTTTCGCCGAACTTGAAATGAAAAACATTTGGCGGCAAAGTAAATGTCAACACGAGAACGAAACCAACAACTTTATGAATTTATTTTCTATAACTAAAATTTAAAGACATATTTTTGTCGACAACTTACGCGTGAAATTGGCTAATAAGTAGGCCCTAATATGCCGCCTCCTTTAGATCGGATGAATGGTCGGTGCTCGACTAAATTGACGGCCTTCCGTGTTTTCGGAATACGTTTGATTTTGCGCGCGTCCGGTGGCGTTCCGTATCGTCCGATGAACCGTTAGCAACTGAGAAAGAACTGTTGTAAACAAACCAATTCAACCCCTCGGATACTTTACAACGGCCGCAACGGGCCACGGGCATTCGATGAGTTCGCCGCACGGCTTTAATTTGGCTATTTGTAGCGGACTCGATTCCGACTCAACCCCGAATTACCGTGATTTGGCGTTGGTTCGCGTGAAAGTCCCGAGTAAAAGTCCGGACCGTGAGCGAGCTTTTCCGTAATGATTTTAACTCCTCGATAACAGCGGCCGCACATGTGCCTTCTATTGGCTGATAAGAATTGTGGGAATGCTCTGGTTCATGGCTTGTTTTTTGAGCATAGAGATACGAGTATAGGTTTCTGTTCATGTCTGTCTTTTATCAGCTTCGAAACAATTCTGCTTGTTTCTGGCTGTTTGCCGAGTTACTCATGAAAACTGCTGCCTTGCAGATTCATTCATTTAGTTTAGTTAATGGACTGGCGACAGTCCAATGAACTGCATTGCTCTTAAGTAATGCTCCTTCCTTGTTTATGCGTTTTTTATCTGAATCAGCAATTTTAAAAATTTCAACAGTTGTAACGACTGGCCACTGTTATTGAGAGGAGGTTACTGTTAACAGAACCAGGGCGGCAATAAGTTTAAAATTGGGCGGGAAAATACGAAATTTTATAAATTATGCTTAGATAACACGTATCTTAATATTTTAAGATGAATTTTAAGTTCAGAATGATGAAATTAATTGAACATTTCGACAAAAAGTGGTGCTTTACAAAAATCTTTCCCTCTCTGGTTCAATTGGTATTTTGGGTATGCACCGGGCTTTTCTATTAGTTCCGCCTGGTCACACTGTAAGTTACATATTTTGCCATACTAAAAGTTAAACTTTTATAAATAAAAGAATTTTGGGACCAGATCGAGCCACAGGTTGCCCGCTAGCTCAACGTCCAACTAAGACATAGACAGCGACTTTCCCGGGCAGCGCAGAACAAAACACAATGAACGGAAGGTGAGCCAGCCAGTCCCCGGTGGTGGTAACATACAGATGTATCTACATATCTTTTGTCGCATATAAATATCTTTCGCAGCAGTGTTGTGGAGCCACCCGACTTCCAGGCAGCCACTGCGGCCGCAGCAGCGGCAGCACGAGCTAGCAGCTCCGAGCAGGATGAGTGGAGCGCCAGCGAGTGCGGTTTCCTTGATCCGGAGGTCCAACGGGTCATGCGGAGCGGCAGTGCCGCAGAGGACATCACCCAGTATCCTATGCATGGATGGGTGGATGTCACCAAAGAGTTCCACGACGCCTGTGCGGAGCTGCAGCCGGGTGAACTGGCCCAGGACATGCTCTTTGGTCTTTTCGAGGCCATGTCCGCCATTGAAATCATGGACCCCAAGATGGATGTAGGAATGGGCTTCGACAGGCAGGATCTGCCGCCGCCCTCCTTCGAGGCGGCCATAGCTGTGAGTGAATTAAAGAGTTTTATGTTCCCTAAGTGGCTAAACCCCCCTTAATCATTTTTAGATGGGCGCCATCAAGCTAGATGATCTCACGCCCTCCGAACTGATAGGAATCTTTGATGCTCTCTTCTCTTGCATCGTGTCCTGGCTGGAGGGCAACTCCATGGACCAAGTGCTATTCACCTGCCTGTACCTGCACGCTCCGTCCAAGATTAAGGACAAGGCGCTTCGAGTCTTTTGTACTGCCGTGCGCAATCTCATCGTGGTCATCAAAAACATCATAGCCGGGGCCGCCGTCAACGAGGAGGAGGATTTTCAGCTATATGGAAACTCTGCTCTTTTAGGCGCCGAAAAGGCTCAACCTTCTTCTGTCTTTGGATCACTCAAGGAGGTTGAGGACGAGCTTGTGCGAAAATGCAAGCAGCTTGCGGCACCAGAGGATTGGATGGCGGTTGTGCATCGGCTGCGTTTCATGCGGCATCTCTTCCAAGTCATCTACCAAGTGGAGCAAATGGCAACCATTGAAAGCAGCGAGGATACCATGAATGAAATCTACAAAAACCTCAATGTTGCCTCCGAGCTCCTGCCTTTGATACGAAGGACCTTGGATAGGGGTACCCAACCTGAAAAGGGCTGTAAGTAGTTAGCGATTGCGACATTCCCAACATTGACATTATTATGATTCCCTAGCCGATGCACCGAATCCTATGGGCTTCTCTCCGCGCATCCACGACCGAAGCCAACCTCCTGCATTTCCGCGTAGCATAAAGATCAGGGACCGCCCGGCCAGTTATCAATTTCTGGAGGAGATGGTTTCCCGCTTTAAATACGCCTGCAAAGTCATTAGGCATAAGGATTACTACTCGGCGCTGGTAAGTCCAAGATCCTAAGAAATGGAAGCACTGGAAGAATGCCTCTTTATTTTCAGAACTTCTTCATCGAGTACAGCAAAAAGTCGGGTCAGTGCATTTTGTCCAGGAGTGTGCTACAGAGTCTTTTCAGCGCCAACATTCGGCTGGCGCACGGAAAGCAGCCCATGAAGCAATTCCTACGCCATTCAGTGCAAATCTTCAACTCACCGCCCGTTCTGAATACCAAACACCCTGTAGCCGCTGATCCCAAGGTTCAACAGCACCTGGAGAACTTCTTCCGATACTGCATCAATATGAACACCTTCACGCAATTCATCCGCATCTGTGGCTTCAATCGCGCTCGCCAGCGGGACAAGCTGGCGCGGCTGATCGAGAACTTTGATACCATTCAAGTGGACGCGGCGCGGCTAGACTCTGTAATGAATCAACTGGCCAACGAGAAGGCCATGGAGGGCAACGAGCCTCTGGCCACAGCCCTAAAACACAGCACTCACTTCTCCACGTGGGTCCTGTACAACTGCTTCCGTGCAATGCTCATCTTCCTCATGTCCGGCTTCGAATTGGAACTGTACGCCGTGCACGAGTTCCTGTACATTTACTGGTATCCATACGAGTTCCTAGTAGGCTTCCTCGTCTCTGCTCTCACGCGAACCGAGAACATCCTGCTGGCCCAGGAGGAGTACGCCGAGCATCAGAGCAAGATTCAGTCCAACAGTGGTAGCGGTGGAGCTGCTAAGAACCGCAAAGCGGCCAAGCCGAAGAAAAATAAGAAGCAACAGCGACCATATCGCGCCGAAATAGTCTTTCACCACGCCCTGCTGAGCCTCTGTGGGGGCATGTACAAGGCGATGGGAGCTCTGACCAAAGATGGACGCGTGCGTCTGCCGCTGTCCAAGTTCGACAATGAGGAGATTCGCTACAATCGTCGCTTCCTGCCATTCGCCGCCCTCACCAGTCCTCCACCCGTCTCGTATGCGGAATTCAAGAACATCAGGGACCACATGATGCGACCCAGTGCTGAGGAGCTCTATAGCTATGCGGCCAAGCACTTTGACCAGGCGCGAAACGTCCTGGAAAGCATCCAGAACCCAGATCAGGAGGTAAGTCTAGATACTTGAATTAAATGCATAAATTAAGTGATATTTTCTCCCACAGATGCTGGATCTTCTGCAAATTGCACGCACCAACTTTGTGGTGATGAACGTACTGGCCCGCGGGCACCAGAAGGAAGTGAAACGACAGCCCGAATTTGACTTCTCCAAACACAGCTATTTCCCAATCATTAAACTGAAGTAGATCGTGTTCTTGTGTTCCGCAATTGACAAAATAAATTTATATGTATGCATTTTAATGTCAACTCTGCTCCTCAGCTACTATGTCCTGCTTGACGAGCACCTCCTCCACATAGCCTTCGATGGGGCAGCTCCTGGCACAAGTATAGACCGCTAAAACACCCCAGTCGAGGTTTTCATCTTCCAGCAGCGTCAGTGCCTGGGGCATGATCTGGAACTCGAACTGACGAGCCCCACCACAAGCACTGCAGTTCGGTAGGGACTCCAATCGATCTTGTACCGTCTTGGTAGTATCTGTAATCCACAATGGACTGCCGCCACGCTGGTAGCGTATAATCTGTTCGGGCTCCGCTGCCGTTTTCTTTTTGAACTGACGGAACGTTTTGTCATCCGCTGCCGCTGTCTGCCCGAAGTATTTGTCCAGCTCTGCCTCGGAAACGTTGCTAAGTTCGCCCGTCTTGCCACTGGCCTCCAACTCCTCGAACTCTGCCAATCGTGTCTCGTCGTCCTTTTCGTTTTCCGCTGAATTTGTTGGATTGCTGTCCATTACAATTTCGAATTCAGGAAATTCTACGTTGCCCAGAGGTTCATGGCGGGCGCTGCTGGAAGAGCCGCAACTGGGCTTGTGCTGAGGCCAGTGGGCACGTTGGTGCTCAGAGGAGCAATAGTGGATTGCCTTGCATTTGCTGCAGGCATGAGGAGCCAAGCAACCACAGGCGGCGCACAGCTTCTTCCAGCAAGGAATAGCCGGCTACAAAGATTGATAAGTAGGTGTAATCTGGGAAAGGAGAACCATATTGACTTACCAATGGATCACCTTCGTCATCTGGATCCTCCTCCGAGAAAAACTTGTTCTTCAATGGTAATTGTGAGCGCAACACCGTGAAATTGCTGTTTCAGATATAAAAGGTTATATTTTACCTTCTAGACCAAATTACAGAGACTTACCTTGCATCCTGCGGTTGCTGGCAGTCCGGATTCCGACACAAAAACACGTATATGGAGCGATGGAAGTTGAACTCATCCTCGAATGGGGAGTAGAGTTGAGCCAGGAAGGATTTCGGAGCCTTACACTTGCTGCATTGTAGCACTGTCGTGGCGGGCAGGGATTCCAACTCCAGCCAGGCGGGCTGACCACCAAGCTTGCTGGGAAAGTACCGGTTGCTCAGCCAGGCAACATCGTCTTGTTTTTCCGCGAAACCCAAATCTATTTCCATGTTGTTAGAAACTCGTGTTAAATGTGACCGTCCGATAACATAGCCAGAACTTCTGTAAGCTGATAACAGATAAGAAGCAAACGTCAACATAATGTTATCGATAATTTGAAGGGGAAGTCCCTCTCTAAAAAGTAACGCTGAACAAACTAATTGCTTGTTAAGATTAGCAAGGTAGGAAATTCTAAGAAAATTGAGAAATAGGCTTAATTCTTTGCTTTGTGTTGTGGATCTAATTGAACACTCTTTGTGTTTTTGTTTTGACACCCTGCCTACGTCCATGGTAACAGAGCTTTTTAACAGAGTCAAGTTTCTTTCCGTTTATTGTTCGAATGGATTTTCAGCCATTCAGTAAGCGGTCATATTTCACAGTTAAAAGTTCTCCGAACAGATTTAATTTTTATTTTATTTACAATTGTGATGAACGCGTGTAGAAAATAAGCTTTCTGTTTACCCCCGAATGCAAACAATTGTGTGCCACAAAAGAAAAATATAATTTAAATGTGCAGACGAGCATTGAAAAGCGACAAGTGGAAAAGTTTTGATTGTGAAAGCGCAGCAGCAAGATTTGTCAACGCAAACAAGCGAGAAGAAGAGACGCTGGAGAGGCGTAACATTTCTTAATAATAATATAAGCAGAAATCGCAGAAGCAGTCGCATTCTCAGTCTCAGTAGAAACAACAACAGCAGCAGCTGCTGCCGCAACGGCAGCCAACAACAACATTGCGGAAGCAGAATCTGCCTTATCGTGTTGCCCGTTTCCGCTCCCCTCTCTTCCGTTGGCGTGCTAAAAATAAACCCACCCACACTCATACTTATCCACAACAGTCACACTCACAGCCGCCCAACCAACCAACCATCCAACCACCCACCCAGCCACCCACACACGCACAAATTTGGCAACAGCCGTTGCGAGAGGTGAACTTGTGTTGACTTTTCCAGCGCGCGGACGTTTCTGCGAAGGAAGATGCAAAAATGAGAATTCACGCGACCAGGATACAACTGGGAATATCTGTGAGTCTGAGTTTAGTCACCAGTTGGTAATAAACGGGAATTGTACTCCATTCCAAGTGGCTGAATAATCTGTTTAGTCTGGTTAGGTTTGGTTAGTCATGCCTGGAATGGAGTAAGCTTCTCTTATTTTCGAACTATTTACGACCCTTGTTATTACATTTTATGTAAGTAAGCCCAGCTGTAACTACTTTATTCCTCCTACAATGTAATGCATTTCATAATCGGTACTTGGATATTACGATTTTATACTCGTAGTGTCTCTTGCTTTAAAATCTTTATTATTCCCGCCATTTATTTGGATAAGATTCTGATAAGAATATCCAGATAATCCACCTGAAGGGTATCAGAACTTCGATCTTTTTAAGTTAATTGCTTCGGAGAGCCTTTATGTGTTTGGTTACTTGTCGAGAGGATGAGCCGGGTGAGCTTTTATTTGCTAAATTTAGTACCGCATTGCTGAAAATAAGAATTGGAGCACCCTGCCATCGGCTGTCGGCTGACGTTGTCGGTTGCCGGTAGGCAGACGCATATATAGTCGCACATAATGGCCAATATGTGATGGCTATATAGCCGGCAGTGCCGCCAGACGCGGCTGACATCTTGCCAAGGCAGAGAAAGCCAAGAAGAGATGACTCGGCCAATTGGACGTCATGAAACTGTTGCACGTTCCATCCTTATCCTTCCCAATCAATACTTTGGACAGACCCTTAAAGTAAACATACACACACGACCACATCTCTGGACTGAGGTTCTGGCTATGGCTATGGCCTAAATCAATAAATGCCTGAAATCCCTGCCATATTGTGTCCATTGTAATGTTGTCAGCACACACATACCGCACTCCGGAGTCTCGAGTCCAATGGCATTTTCACTCGGCTCCTGCTCCTGCTTCTGCTTCTGCATGCCATCATCATCATTGGTGGTTATGTGTGCCCGGGCATCACTTTGCGCCAGTCCGGGCAATAAATATTGAAAATCCAATTACTCCCTCGTTCTCCGAATCGTCGCAATGCAGCCGGTCAGTTCGAATTCCATAAAATGCTAGATGGCCACAATGCCAGGCCAGTTTTTGCCAAGCTTTGAAATCTAAGTAAGTCAAAATAAATAAACATCTCTTTCAGGCGAGCAAGCCCAATCAGTTTTCAGTTGTTTATTGATTTTAAATCGGCTTCGAATAACAACAATACTCTTGGAACTATGATTTTACACTTTTCTTATCGACTTGTGAACGACTTTCTTTGGCTCGCAAGGCGCTTTCTTTTCTGTTTTTTTGTTAAAAGATTTTCCCTTTCAGGGGAGCAGCTAACAAAATATGCAAATAAATGCTCGAAAGTACACATTAATTAAAATGCACTTTGCCGCGGGCTTCCATCAGTGGCAAAAGTACTTAATTGGCTTGCAGTTTAATTCCCAGAAATCAAAAGAAGAACCCCCCCTTATAATAGGAACTAACTTAGTCACTGTTGAGTTATTAGTCTTAATACAAAATTTCCAAAATATATAAACGTCAATGCTCTTGGTATGTGATTTATTAATATTCTTAAATGAATTATAATTTCGATTGAATTATAAAGATAGGAGCACTTTGCTTGGCTGCACTCGATGGCGTGCCTGTAATCTATCGCCCCCAAGCTCACTTAGTTAGTTATTTGTGATTTAGTTTGTTTTTGCTTCTGCTTTTGACTTTTTTTTTTTTGACTTTGTTGCTTTTGCTTTAAGAAATAGCACTTGTCGCGCTTGTTTTTTTTTTCACGCCTTGGTTCGCATTCTGATTGCAAAAGTGAGTCACTTGCCAAGGTTATTCAACGTAGCCCGGCTCTGGGACCTTGTTTCCCTCTTTTTCGCATTTCTTTATATACTTCTCTTCTTGTTTTGTTTTAATTTACCGCATATCAAGTTTATATCAAGTCCCCTAAAGGCCAATGGACGATCTTTGGCGGTTCACACGATAGCCGATATCTAGATACTATATACACAGTCTTTATTTAAAATGTTTGTGCTGAAAGATAAAGCTAAATCGGTGGCACCACAGACGCAGGGCTTCTGGCATTTGTACGATTTCCTTTAGTAATGGAGAGTTGCTCCGTTAGCTTCCTAATCCCCAGACAAGCTCTTGGAAGTGAAGTTCCCTTTTCGAATTCGGGGATTCCCGGTTATTTGCTTTTAAAAAAAAATAAAGTATCCGCACTGTTGTGCTTTTTGTTGCCAACTGTGAGGGTAACCATTCCTCCTCCGGCTGGGAGGTGGAAACTGATAACGAACCGAAAGCACAGCCATCGGGACTACTATCGATGCCGGGCCACAATGGGTTCTAGCCATTGTTTGCTCTTATCTGGCCAGTTATTGTTACTCCATACCCGTGCCAGTATAGTATGTGTGTTTATTTGCTGGCTGCATGTTTCGATTGTGCGTCATGGCGCTACTTCTCTGTGTGACTCATGCCATCTGCCGCTAGACCAAGTGCATCGGGGATGTGCCCCCCCGTGCATCTCTTGGTAGAAAATCAATAGCCAGAGATTCAACTTGAGATGTTTGCAGTGGAATAACCTTCGCCTCGCCTTTGCTTATATTGTTTCGCAGGAGCCGGAGGCGCCTTGAATGAGAGTCCTTACAACGACATGTCAGATTTCGTGCCGCGCGACCTTCTCACCGATCTGTGGGGGGAGATACTCCGGCGCCACTGGTCGTATCTGGAGAAGGAGGAGAACATCGAAAAGCTTGAGGAGCGCAAGCAGCTGGAGGGTAAGTCTCCTACTTCATCTCAAATGTTTTTCAGAATAATACATTGTTTACCCATTTCATTAAAGTTTGTCTCAAGGAGTTCCTCTGCTTGGTGCAGCACGATCGAAAGTTCTTTTTGCCGGAGACTGGACATGTGCTGCGGAAGTCTGTGCGTGAGCTGGGCGACTTTTCGGCCCAGAATGCCTTAGTGGCATTCGAGACCATCAGCCAGTATGCCAACAACTTGGTCACGAAACCATGGCGCAAGGAATATCGAACGCTCAAGGTTAGTCCTCTATTATAACTATCCCTTTGGATTCTTACCCTAAATCGTTTTTTATAGACCTATTCGGGCTGCTACCAGCACGATATTCAATCCCGACTGCTGGACGCCGAGCAGCTCTTCCTTGCTATGGGCTATCGACGCATTTCGGAAGACACCTTCGTCCTGGAGGGACCTATTTGCCCCGACCAGGTAACGAACGTGTCCCGCGATGCCATGGCCGCCTATGTCGAGTGCCAAATAATGAAGCACATCTACGCGGGCGTCACGGCGGCGGGCTACACCTGCACCTGGCGCGACATCCTCCAGCATCGGGAACGCCACGTGGGCGGCACTACGCAGGCCATCAAGGACATTGTGTACCGACTGAGCGAGAAGCGGGTGCGTAAGGAGCAGCCCCTGCAGGAGAACGTCTACAGCAATGTAGCTGCCGGCAGCTGTGCCCTCCACGGCAACGGTAACCTCCCGGCCCAGCAGCTTCCCGGAAACCCCAACAGCTATGGCATGCATACGAATGGCTATGGCATGGTGCCCGCTTACCCGGCAACCCCATCGCCGGCGCAGCAACAACAGCTGTCCGGCCCGCTGATGACGCACTCGCGCAGCCTGGAACACTACCAGGAGCCGCACGCCCACCTGCCGCACCGCCACTCCTTCGACCAGCAGCTGCCGGTGCATCACCAGTGCCAGCCGGTGCCCCACGTCTACGAGGCTCCGTACGACTGCCTGGACGGTCTGAGCATGGGCAGCAGTGCCTCCTATGCGGCTGTGGCCGGGGCCTACAATGCCCCTGGGAATCGATTCCCCTTGCCCTACAACATCTCCAGTCAACTGAATGCCCCCTACGCCTCTCCGGCTGATTTGTACGCGACTGGGGAGCAGAGGAACATGTACGCCACGCTGGAAAATCCGACGCACAGCTGTGACCTGCACCGGAGGCAGTTGCCCAGCTCGGCAGCCATGCAGCACCGCCAGAGCACTTACCCGCCGGACCACCATCTCATCGACTTTGACGATCGGGCCCAGCTGACGCAGCACGACTTTGGGACACACGAGTACGATCCCCAATACGCCGAACTGAGGCCACAAGTGATGCCGAGTATGCGCGGCAATCCGGCGGCGATGTACTCCTCGTACAGGGGCTACGACCTGCCCCCACCCGTGCCTCAGGCGCCGCCTCCCTCGGCCCAGGACATGTACATCTACGCCCAGCCTGTACCGAAGAGCAGCCGGATGCGGGCACTGGCCGAAGCGGGTGGCAGTAATCAGACTGACAAGCATCTGCGTTCGGCGGACAAACTGGTGAGCTTAACATGGATCCTCTTCATCTCCTATTCTTAACAAGATTCTTGTAATTCTATAGAGCACCATGGACAATAATCGCAAAATGCCCAAGGAATTGAAGGAGCGGGCCAGCCGAACAGCTCCTGCAAAGAGATCCGGCAACGAACGTGATATTCCCACCACCATCTCCGATTTGAACAGCTATGACTCGGCCAGCCTGGACGATTTCGTGACGGTGGACAGCAACTCGCCACCACTGATGCCCAAGGTTCAGGAGGGCGTTGGCAGCTTTGAGTCCTGGAACTATGTCTTTAAAAATCTCGAAAGATCCAATTACTCCAAGGATCTGGGCGATCGCGAGGACCTGCTGGTGCAAAGCCTGGATCTGGACTCGCTGGCCATCTCGAATGGCGCTGCAAATCCCCCGGAGAAACGGCGTGAGACGACGGCAAAGCCATCATCGCGGAATAACGGAGAGCCGAACGGTGACAAGGCGCGCACACTGGACAAGAAATCGGCAACTTCACGCCGTGAGGCGAAGGTGGTGCAAGCGCCGGCACCCAGTCCGCTGCCAAATAGCAGTGCGCCCGGCGTGAAGAAGAAATCGGCCTTGAAGACGGCGGTCGTGGACAATCGAGGAACCGGGTCGCGGAGCCGCGGCGGTGCGGGCACGGGCACTGTGCCCAAGCAACCGCTGCCAGTGTCGCCGCAGCTGATTGTGACGAGTCCGAACGAGTGGAGCTGTTGCTTCTGCACGTTCCTCAATCCGGACACCAAGCGCATCTGCGAGATGTGCTGTCGTAGCAAAGACTTTAGCCTGGAGGCCGCCTCGGCGGCATCTTCATCAGCGGCTGCAGCGGCGGCGGCGGCAGCGGCAAGCAACGTGTCGCACGCCTCCTCGACCTGCGTCTAACCCGTTAGTGATACAAAACAGTGTGTATAGCTTGATATATTTTTTATATGACCAATGTGTAAGCCTGTGCGTGTCTCCAAGATCTAGTCTCGTACGTTTGCCAGGCAGGCAGGCAGCCCTTTGTTCTCCAGGTCTACCGATGTTGGGATCTTGGCTCACGGTTTTTGTGCTGCAGTGTAGGATTGTGTGTCGGCAGCGTGTACATATGAAGTATTCTAATTAGTTATCCTTACCTGTAAACACACGCTTTAATTAGTTTTAGATTGTTTCCAATTGTTAAGGGCGCTTCTGTTTCAAATTACGTGCCTCCCTGTATAAGTCATCTACATATTATATATTATATATATTTATATATATATATATACCACATATAGACATTTATATATTTGTACGTGTGCTTGCGGCGCGAAAGAGTGAAATTTAAACTTGAAACTTTTCTAGAAAATCAACTGATAATTATATATACCTTATACTAATAGTTGCGTTCACAATACGTATTTTCAGCGTAATAGAAGTTGATGCAGAGGAGGATGCAGTCAAGTATATATACCGGAAACTTGCATAGATAATACACCTATAGCCGTAAAATAAGCGATTTCAATTCAAAGATGAACCGGAACCGAGCTAAGCATACCGCAAAAAAAAATAACAGAAAATAATTCGAAAATCGAACAGAACTGGTACGGGTTGTAAACTTGAAATTTTTGATTAAAAATTTTACCGGAAAGGAAAGGAGTACGACAGGATATTAAAGCCAGAATTTGTAAAGCTAACTTGTCATCCCACCCACCCAAGCTATATGACAATTCCCCGCCACACGAGCACCGTGTCCCAAAGCTAATTTGTTTGTTAAAAGAAAAAAATGTTACTCTATTGATTATTACGAAATGTTACGAATAATAGCATCCTCTGGTAGAAACGAAAGCACTCGACATATTTTTGTAAACAAACGATACCGCGTACCTATGAATCTTTGTTAAATGATTTATCCTGTTTTTTGTTTGATCCCCGATGTTTGCTCATTGAATCCCCTTGAAAATGCCTTTCCTGTATATAACGTTTGCAATAAACAAAGAGTTATTCAATAAAATACTAAACTTAAAGAAAGCTAAACTGATAAAGAATTGAATCAATAAAAGTAAACTTCACTAAAGCCATTTAGGCACAACCTTCGCTCAAACCATTTTATTAAATAACTTTGCATACTATATTACTGAAAGAATTTAGAGGCAGCTCTTCCTAAAAAAAATCCCTAACGAAAAAAAAACAATAAAAACATTTTGAAAAAGTTTAATAATATGTTTTATTAATGGGGGAAAAGGGTCAGGATGCAGGCATTTCTTGCCTTTAATGTCAAAGATTATTCAATAAATTTCCAATCATTTAAATAGACATTTCAATAAACACTAAAGAAGATTAAAATTGCAAGTAATTATGTGGAAGCTCGTCCCTGTATTGGCCATATTTCTGTTGGAGTTCCTTCCCTCCGCTTCTGGCTACAACTATTGCCACAACAGGAGCCACTTTTGTCGGAAAAGAAACATGGAGCATTTTATGTGTAACCTCGCCAAGCTGTACCCCCTGGACGGATCTGTCAAGTACGAGGACACTATGCCGGATGCTCCGAAACTCCGCTCCAGTTTTTTGTACAAGTTTAATCAGTACCGTAACATAGTGGCCAGTGGCGATCTACGAACCGGAAGTAATAAAACGTTTCCGAGTGCCTCCCGGATGCGAGTGTTGATCTGGGACGAGGAACTGGGCTACCTGGCTCGCAGTCATGCCAAGACGGTGTCCTTTACGCACTCAGAATGCCGGGCCACCAAACGGTTTCCGTATGCGGGCGAGGCTCTTGCCATGATTGGTGTCCAGAGCAAAAAGATTACTCTGTGGGAGATCCTCAGCCTCACGCTGAAACCAATGTTCGACGAGTACCTGGCAGTGGACGATCCAGACGAGTTTGTCAAAAATTACGATTCCGAAAAGTGAGTGTGCTCTTGAGAGGCTTAGCCTCCAAAAAGGTAACCCATTTCATCACAGGCACTATGGCGTGGGTCACTTCGCCACTATCGTCAGTGATCGGGTTTCCCGCGTGGGTTGTGGAATCGCTATTGGTTCTAATTGTGAGCGAGGCCAAAAAGTTGGGTACGTTGTGAGGGCTTTCCTCTCTTGTAAGCGTTTGTGGTGATCCACCTAATCCTCTCCAGCTTGTGCCACTTCCTGACCTGCATGTTTGACTTTACCAACATCGCCAATTCGTACGTCTATAAGTCAGGAGAACCAGCCTCCCAGTGCGAATCTTGGCACACTAAGCGCAGCATCGACTTCGAGCACTTGTGTCACAATAAAGGAACCATGTTCGACGTGGTAAGAAGTATCCTAACGAATTCAATTCAATACCCCCCTTACCATAATTTCTCTTACAGGATAACAACGATTAGTTTGACAAACGGGTGCCCCCAGGAAACAATGGCCTTTTGATATATATATGTACTCGTACTTTGATATATTTTTTTATGCCCTGACCTAAATGGGTTCTGAAGACCGAAATACTAACCATCTTATGACTTACAGAACCCCCAATACAATCCCTAAAATTCTTACAATCCGTTCAAAAATGTTGAAAAAGTTTAATAATATGTTTTATAAATGGGGGGAATAGGGTCAAGATCTAGGCATTTCCTGCCTTTAATGTCAAAGATTATTCAATAAATTTCCAATCAATATTTCAGTAGACATCCAAACACTAAAGATTAAAATTTTAAGTAATTATGTCGAAGCTCGTCCCTGTATTGGCCATATTTCTGTTGGAGGTCCTTCCCTCCGCTTCTGGCTACAACTATTGTCAGAACAAGAGCCATTTGTGTCGGACAAAACATATGGAGCATTTTATGTGCAACCTCGACAAGCTATACCCCCTGGACGGGTCTGTCAAGTACGAGGACACTATGCCGGATGCTCCGAAATTCCGCTCCAGAGTTTTGGGAAAATTTAATCAGTACCGCAATAGGCTGGCCAGTGGCGATCTTCGAACCGGGAATAATAAAACATTTCCGAGTGCCTCCAGGATGCGAGTGCTGATCTGGGACGAGGAGCTGGGCTACCTGGCTCGCAGTCACGCCAAGACGGTGTCCTTTATGCACTCCGAATGCCGGGCCACCAAACGCTTCCCGTATGCGGGCGAGGTTCTCGCCATGATTGGTGTTCTGAACAAGAAGATTACTTTGTGGGAGATCCTCAGCCTCACGCTGAAACCAATGTTCGACGAGTACATGGCAGTGGACGATCCGGAGGAGTTGGTCAAAAATTACGATCCCGAAAAGTGAGTGCGCTCTTGAGAGGCTGAGGCTCCAAAAGATAACCCATTGCTCCACAGGCACTATGGCGTGGGTCAGTTTACCACAATCGTTAATGATCGAGTTTCCCGCGTGGGTTGTGGAATCGCTGTTGGTTCTAATTGCGAGCGAGGCCAAAAAGTTGGGTACGTTGTGGGGGCTTTCCTCTCTCCTCTGTCTTTGTTGTGATAGCTCTAATCCTCTCCAGCATGTGCCACTTCCTGACCTGCATGTTTGACTTTACCAACATCGCCAATTCGTACGTCTATAAGTCCGGAGAACCAGCTTCCCAGTGCGAATCTTGGCGCACTAAGCGCAGCATCAATTTCGGGCACTTGTGTCACAATAAAGGAACCATGTTCGACGCGGTAAGAAGTATCCTAACGAGTTCAATTATACTCCCCTTACCATAATTTTTCTTACAGTTCCACGATCACTATGATTAGTTTCAAGCCCCCAAGAAACGAGGAAATGAAAAATGGTCTTTTGATTTACATACGTAATCGTACTTTTATATATTTTTGTATGCTCTGGCCTAAATGGGTTCTGAAGCACAGGAGTCCAACCATCTTTAATGACTTTCAGAACCCCAAATACAATCCTTACAATTCCTACGATCCTTTTCGAAATTAATTTCTATTCTGTTGCGAGTTTTGACTTTCATCTTACAGAGCTATGTGTGAACTTGCCGTTTTTCTTGAATATTTATTTGGGTTTCTTAAACGCTTGTCGTTTGTTTTCGCAATGAATTCCTAATACCATCTAACAGCTAACAGACTTAGTCATTTTTTGCTTTACTATATTTGTTTTTCTCAATATTTGTAGCCGTGTTCTTCGTTTTGAGTGCGATTTGTCGAGTGAAACCAGCATATATCTCTGGGGGAAAGTATATAATATATATATATATATTTTATAGCGTACACACAAAGCAAGTTTTCAACATTCAACGATTCTAAATCAGGATTAGATAAACGTTCAGACTAGGGTTTGCCTATTTCATTGTTTTCAAGTAGTTTCCTAAAAAAATAACTAAGATGCGTACCGGCATTTCGATGAAGTTCACTTCGTTATTTTTGGGTTCTCCGAGTGCTGTAGCACAAAAGTGCACAACTAGCTTAAACTATTTATATTTTAATGGGGATTACATTGACTTGAAATGTTGTAGTTCCGCCCAGAACCCCACCAAAGCGTGGTAGTTCCGACCGTGTTTTCCAAAAAGGGCACGGGAATGCCTCTCATCTTGCATCCTGAAGGGTTCTTATGATTAAGCTTAGAAAACGGTTTGTAAAAGTTTGGAAAGATTGGGAGAAAACAATGATGATGTTCCAAAAGACCTTCGAAAAAGAACACACTCAAGGATATTTAGATGTTCATCTGCAAGGTGGGTAATTACTTATCATATTAATTTTATAATTCATTCGTCAAGTTCGAGGCTCGAGACTTCGATTCCGATAAGACCTAAACGGGTAACACAAAAATATATATACTCGTGTGTATATACCGATTCGTTCTTTGTCCTTCCCCACTACTTTTAAAGCCTCTACTGCGGCTGGCCTTCCCGATTCTCTATGTGGTACGATAACATAATATCAGTGCAGCATTACCTTAGAATAATGTGCAAACATTCAGTGCTAATTACGCGATTTGTTCGTCCTACATATGTACCTCCCTCGCTCAGACACACGCATACGATTACTAAAAGGTAACTAAATAACTGTGGTAGTTCAGCAAATCCTAAGCCCGCGAGTCCCAATGGGAGTCCTTGATTCGAGATCCTAAATTTCTCTACAATATGTTGCATCCGGATCCGTGCATCACCTCGCTGATGAACATGGGCGTTCCAGCGCCCAGTCCACCATCCGTCTTCTGATGCTCGTTCTGAAAATAGAAATATTTAGAAGCCTCCTTGGAGTCACTCGCCTTCCCAGGACTTACATCATCGTAGTCGCAGTCAAAGTAGTGGCTCTGACACTCCATGCAGCGACAGCTCTCCGACATCTTGCAGGTGATGCCCCACTGCTTGGCCAGGTCCTTGTAGATCTCCTTGCTGGTCTTGTTGCTCATCATTTCCGGTGTCAGGAGGCTGGTGTGGCAGTTGGGCTGCTGTCCTTGCCGGCGATCACCACGAGATGAACTCGATCCGCTGCAGCAGGCCTCCTGGCAGACTTGATTGTTGCCAGAGCCCGATCCTGAACTGGCGTTTCCTCCTGGAAAGGAATAGAAGACAATGTCATCATACCCATAGTAGGTTAAGGACTCTTCCTTACCCTCATTGTAATTGCAGTAGCTGCCTCGGTTCAGGAGCGGATCGTAAAAGCTGTGCCCGCCCGCTGCTGCTGCTGCCGCCGCCTGGCTACTGGTACTTGCCCCATCTCCATCGAAGTGGCTCTCGCCCTCCGAGCACTGCACACACTGATCGTCCGAGCACTCTCCCCGGTTGCCGGACATCCGACCCCGCGACGGCGACGCAGCCATCTCCGACTCCAGCAGGAACTCGTTGATGCTCAGCTGCTCCTCCTCCTCGATGTCGCTTCGCAGCTCCAGCTCAGTGACTCCTTCGATGATCTGTTCCCCGTCGTTGTTGTTGTTGCTGCCGCTATGGTGGCTACCGTTGCCGTTACCGCTGTTGGTGTTGCCGTTGTGGATGTTGCAGCTGGTGTAGTTCTGGTTCAGATTCTGGACACAGTCGGGATCGTTGCAGATGCTGTTGCTGTCGCTGCCGCCTCCTGTCAGCTGTTCCAAGGCGGCGCTTAGCTGGGCGGCACTGTGCCGGGAACTATTGGCGGAGCTGCGCCGGCTGTTCTGGTTGGGAGTGGCGCTGTCCAGGGACAATTGACGCTGATGCTGGGACAGCCGGGTGTTCTCTTCTAGAACATGCTCATAGGAAGGCGGTGGGGTGGTGGGCACGTTGTCGGCATCCGTATCCGTGAGGGATTCGTTGATGCACGGAGTGCGACTCTGATTCAAATATCCTGTAAAGATTCGCCTTTTAGTTCAAGGATTCAAGTTGGAAGGGATATATCTTTTGGTTATCATATCATTTAACTTGGTCGTTTATTTAGGATCTTTACTTTTTAGAAGAGTGTGAGATAGTAAGTTCGTGCCTTGAGGGGAAGACGTACGGGCATGCACTTGAAAAAAATAGGGGTAACTTATAATAAGATGGAACCAAAGGATAATACTATTTACACACATAGAAAGAAAGTTGATTTTTTTGTTATTTTTCAAATAAATACCGAATGGCTGACCAGTTGCAGTCTGTTTTTTCTTTGTGTGTATGATGGCTCAGCTCTTACCCAATCGCATGCCAGTGCCGCTGCCGCCACTGGTGGGGGGCAGGAGCAGCTTGCGCTCGCTGCTCATCTGGCCGAGGCTGCTGCAATCCGCCAGGTCGAGGCTGGAGCTGCTGCTGGCCTCCACCGTCTCCTGATGGTGGTGCTGCTGCTGGTGATGGTGGTGGCTCTGGTGCTGCTGGGCGCCCAGCAGGGCCTCGTTCACCTGCGGATCCGGATCGTGTTGCTCCTGCGACGTGCTCCTCGAGCTCCCCATGCGGAACTTGAGCTTGAAGGGTGCCATGTCCTGGTACTTCTAGGGCTTTTCTAATGCAATATCTTTTCTATTTGAACAGGCATTGAGAGAGATGGCAGACTTGACAGCAACATCGACGTAAAAGAAACAATTAGATTGTATGGAAAATAGAGTAAGAGATAGAACGATAGATAGACAGAGAGGGTGGCAACTGCAGAGATAGAGACGTAAAGAGGTTTGGGGTGGAAGGACGTTTACAATACGGTTCTAAATTGGAAGTGATTCAATTAAAATTACAATCAAAATACACACAGATTTCCCATCGGGCTTAAACCGATATTAATTTAGTTAGTCAGTGGATAGTTTTGGTTTCAGCACTTCTCGCTTGATTAGTGGCATGCAACATTTTCGATTTAATTTAGATTACATGAAAGCTTACTCGCAAATTACCTGGCTGTACTGAATCGATGACCTGTAATTGATAGAGAGAAAGAGAAGGATTTATTTTTGTTTAGTATTAATTATATTAAATACAAAATTTGTAACATTTCAGATGACATGCACACAGATCAAGATTGCTGACCGCTTTTCTACCCCCCAATCCCACTTAGTTTTATGTAGTTTTGGTGTCACGCGACAAGTTGTTGAGATATTTGGGTAACCGCCCCCTGGCACGCCCCCTTCTCATTATTATGCAGATTGCACGAAGCCCACTTTTGCAAGATCCTAGATGAGATGAGATGTGCCAGAGACGGAGAAGGAGAAGGAGCCGGAGCTGCACAAAGTGTGTGTGAGCATGGAAACTATTATTATGCTTATTGCGCTGAGAAAGCTCATTACCTTTTTGGGTCTGCCCTCCATCCATACATCCACCCATCCAGCAAACATCCTTCAAGGACACTCGGCGTGTGTGGGAGGATGGATTTTTGCATGCCAATTAAGCCAGCCATATGTTTTGGGGTGGGCTGGGTGGTCTGGTTGGTCTGGGTGGCTGGCTGTTGGGCGGAATGGGTGTTTGGCAGTTCCGAGTGCGGAAAGCGTGGGCGTTTCATATATTTGCATACTGATATTCATCGATTTTTGATTGATAACCCGACAGCAGCTTGTCGGAGGCATGTTAATTTTTCAAACATTTATCCTGGCATATTTGCCAATCCAACAATAAACTTCCAATTGCCGTGTCTGTTGACTCTGCAAGCATATTCGTTCCGCCGGCTGATTGGATGCACGCAAATCCCCACCATTTAGACTTTTGTTCACCTGGAGGCAGAACAATTGCAGGGCCATTTCCACCCACCTCACACCGCCACCACCATCGGAACACAAAGCATCCTTCCACTGTTTGGCAATTCTTCCCTCAACCATTGTGGGTGGAAAGCCTGGCAATTGTTTGATTTAAGGGAAGGGGCGAGGACTTATTCAGTTCAGCATCAGAGTGAATATTGTATGACAAGTCAGAAGGATGCCCGCATACAGTAAGGACTGGCTAAGGATAACCCATCAGATGAAACCTTAAGCGTATAACCATAAGGATGAATATTCTGTCAAGATTTCCCTTTAAAACCCTCAGCTTAAATATTTAAAATAAAGTCTGACTGTAATTACTGGGTGGGTGGCCCCGGTGTTGCATCAACAGTTGGCCTTTTGTGGGTGGTGCAGGGAGCCAGGTGCTGGATCGGGATGCATATGCATGCATTTCCGAAGGACTCCCAGCCGAGCCATGGGTCATGCATTGTTTATGAGCCGCGGGACACCAGTCAAGTCAGTACTGTGGGTGTGTGGGAGTTGCTCTAAAATGGAAGCCCAACTTAATCTTTAATCGAAACTTTTGACTTTGAGCAATGGCAGGGTTCCTTTGACATTCTCATTAATTTCCAAGCAGACAGCTAGCAAGGAAGAAAGAAGGACGAATGAATAGACGAGGGAATGGGCCACGGGATTTGCTCCCTAGCTTTATGGTCCGGACAGTCGGTTACGTGGCCGTGCCACTCTGCGGTAAATTGTTTTTCCAGCGCTGGCTGTCGTAAACGGAGACATTAAAAACTCGACTTGACCGTGAGATTGGAGCGACATATGGCCGGTAGATCTCCATCACCTGGACGATATTCGGCCCACGCCGTCTATAAATAGCGGAATGACCCAGATTACTAAATAGAGGACAGCGGCAAGGATATGCCTCCTGCTAACAGGTCCTGACCAGAGGTCCTGTCAAATGCAACAAAATACAAAAACGGAATAAAATAAAAACTTGCATAAACAAGTGCAGCCTGCTTGCATTGCCATTGACGTGAGCAAGGACATTTCTTATCCCTCAGCGAAGTATCCCGCTATTTTCTGGCTAGGCTTCCACCACGCCACCATCTCCCCCAACTTTGGATAATGGATACTGTATTTAAATGTCCCATTCCCCCAGCCCCAACCTGCTTATTCTGATTAAAACGGTATCCACTTTGTGGCCATCAGCATAAAAAGGACACTGAAAGAAAATGTATCCTTTCAAGATAAAAGCTATAGGTGAAAGCTTAGTTTTTAATTAAATCTTAAATTATTATAATCTTGGCTTAACTACTTTGCTATGGAAAGTTATAGGAATTGAAAGGATCTCTTGCGGTCATCCACCTTTAATCCCCAATGATGGGTCCACCAGTTTCTCCTTGTGGAAACACCGAATTGCTGGCCATAAAATCAACTCGGTAAGTGAGCTCTTTGCCATTATCGAGAAGCGTTTGCCGCCAAACGCAATGAATATTTTAGCTGCGTTTTTTACGCTCAAGTGCCCCGGCTCTGGCCCGGAGAGTGCTTTGTGGATTTTTGGCCACTCGGCCGGACTAACGGGTGCGGCACAATTACACAAATTGGATATTAATTGGCTGCTCCGGCCGACACTCGAACCGCAATTAGTGGACATCGAAGGGTGCCCAGGTAAACAAACAAACAAACATGGACCGCAAGTTTCCTTGCGGGCAGAGGGCGGAGAGATGTAAACGAGGGGGGGTGGGAAGGAAAACAGGATATCGGATGTCGGGTGACGGGTGACGACGACACCTCCCTATACCAGGAATGGCATCATCACATCACCCATCGGAATCAACATACGGTGACCCGTCGAAAGTGGGAAATGAATGAGCGTCGCAATTCCGGGCCCTGAGATAATGCGAATGGATGGCCCGTCCATTCGTTCATTGTGTGGCGTGGTGTCTGTCTTTGGAAAACTGATACCTAATTGAGTAAACAGCTCGGGGCTAGGGTCGGGTTGGATCCCTTGAATCAGTTTTGGGTGGGTCAGTCCTTGCTGTTTTGCCCCCCTTGCCGTTTTCTCTCCGTTTTTCTTTGTGTCCTGCCGACACGAAAAATCGAAAACATACTAGACTACTACTTGATAGCCTTGGAGTTCACTGGCGTCTCCGAAGGCTGGGACTCTTACCTGGCCGCGAATTTAGAGCCGGATCGGATTGGCTTGTCGCAAACTGATGCACCTTGGACCTGGTGTCCTTTTTGTTTTTCCAATTTCACTGTAGCTCAGGTGACAGTAACTTTTCCTCATTGCGTGTCGGATTTGTCGAATTTTCGTTTTTCCACACACTCTTTCACTCTGGGAGTCCTGACGGCCACAGACTGCGGAAAGCTGGCCAAAGGACCGAGCTTTTATTGTCCTGCTGCGGATGGCGAGCTTTTTAGAAGAGGCGGCAGCTTTCGAAATTCCGGCGCCTGCGCTATTCCTCTTCCGGCATTTGTCCTGCATTGTTTTGCTTCGCGCGGACAATCCTTGCGACCTTTGCTTTGGGCATCTATTCGCGTGAAAGCGCTCGGTTGAAAGCCACCACCCACCCCATCGCCCAGTAGCCAACTCCCCGAATCCCTAGCCCCAAATTAAACGCCCACTGCACTACAAGAAACATTGATCACTTTCTGGATACGCTTTTATTCTTCATTAGATGGCTTTATCCTTGATATCTATAATATACTCAAAGCCACCTGCAAATTCATCGTTGTCCACAACATTTAGCCTCAATTTGAGTAGACCCCGAGGCAGAATGACGGCCCAATCTGAGGTATCAAAATATACGTTTTTCAAAAAGTGCATTCCCTTCGGAAGCGGGCACAATTTTCCATTTTCAAAATCTACATCGATGTTTATTCCAGTCACTATAGACTTTTTTATGAACCTCTGGTAGAAGGATCGCAATGCCTTGCAGACTGGCATCGGTGAAACCTCCAAGGGCAACTGCTTGTACCCAGCTCCATTAGCGTCTGAGGAAATTTCTACCGAAATCTGATACGTGTCATCAAGATCCTTGAGGAGTTCAATCGTACCGTTAATCAATCGCTCACGACCCACAAGCTTAAAATTGGGGACAACCAGTTTGCCAGGATAATTGATCATTCCGATATTAAAATACTCGTAGGACTGACGCCAGCTCTATAGGCATTGGAAAAGGATATTTAGAGGTCGTCAAGGACCAATACCACATGCACTCACTTCCACAGAAAGAATCCTGATCCAAAAACCATCAACAAATAGCGCGATTTTAAATAGATTCAATACCGACATTTTAAAACGAACTGTTTTGCACTATTTGCAGATTATCTGCGGTATTTATACAAAAAAAATATTATATATCTTACATCTAGAACAACGGAAATAATAGTCAGTAATTTATCCGACCCGACTAAATGATAAAATCCCTTGTTCAAACAAGTAATTTATTTTCATGTCAAAAAATCTTGTCCTTGATCTCCAAAACATACTCTATTCCGCCAACAAACTCTTCTTTGTCCAAAATATTAAGTTTCACCTTGATAAGACCTCGGGGAAGGGAAACGACCCAACCCGAGCTGTCGAGCAGAATTTTTTTTATGTAGTATTTACCCTTGGGTATCGGACAAACGGTTCCGCCCTCCAAGTCCCAGTCTGTGTTTACTCCTGGTTTTAGAGATCCCTCAAAAAATCTTTCGTAGTAAAGTTGGATCGCGTCGCAGATCGGCATTGACGGCACCTCCAATGGCATAAGCTTGAATCCACCCGTGCCAGCATCCGAATACACATTCACGGAGCAGAATATTTCATTAGGAATATCCTCTACGATCTCAATCGTACCGTTAATAGCTTTTTCTCGGCCAATGAGTTTCAGATCAGTCTTGAATAATCTCTCAGGATAATTGTTTACAGCAACCATTACGTAATCATACGGTTGATTCCAACTCTAAATATTGAATTATTATATATGTAGGTATATTCCCAGAGAATATAGTATTCCTTTAGCTCACATTAACTGTTGAATTCCAGGACAACACAATTATAAGCAAAAAGGATAATCTACACAAACAGAAACAAGCCATGTTCAACTTTATATTTTACACTATTCTCGTTAGCGGTATTAGCGTTTTATTTATACACAATATCCAGTTGATATTCTTCTATAATTAGGAGTATTGAATAAAGCGATTTGATCTTTTGTCTCCGCCAATTTCATGTTTTGTTTCTCCACCCATCTTAAATAAGTGAACTGGCGATAGATACATAGTTTTTGTCACGATTGCAAATAAAAAATCTAAATACGACACCTATAATTTTACACTCTTTTTACTTAAATTAGTTCCAATTTCCTAATTGTACTGTGAGTAGTTTGAACTTCACATTCAGTTATTTATTTAACTATAATCTGATTCTTCTTGGCCTTTAGCAGAAGACGTGGGTCGTTCTTATATCGCACAAATATTTCGCTTTTGAAAACGTCAAATTTTCTCCGATTGGCATTGTTCTGCTGCTCCCTCCAAGCAGGTCGAGCCTGCTTCCTCTGGAGACCCCAGTGGCCAGTGAAAACAGGCGACAGGACATAGAACTGATAGCCAGCTATATGCATCTCATAAACCTAAGGTGGACTAAGCATTAGTTACAGTTTTTCAAAGAATACAAGAACTACTTACTTGAGAGTTTCTGGTAAATCCATAGCCAAGAAATCTTTCGTCATGTGCTGGTACATTATCGACTGCCACATAAAATGGCTCGTAGAGGAACTCAAAATTGGTAACGATATGGCTTACAGAGACCTCTGTTTCATTTGGATTGGTGGACAACCATCTGAAAGAAACGTTTTTAGCAACTAATACATTTTTCCTATAATTGTCCCCACTTACTTGGAAAAGTTCGTGGCGTACTGGTTGTAAATGAAGACTTTCTCATGAAAGGGCCTTGCCAAGCCTTTCTTTATCAATCTCAGCAAGCCACTCTTGGAGCGGGGAAACGTGGCTCGGACATCTATCTCAAAAGTGGGAATAACATAGGCGCAGCTTTTGGAACAGTTTGCTGTTCGGAAAAAGTGGTTCAGTTGCGGCACACTATTGGTACTGGGAACGATGTCGATGTCCGTGAGAAAGACGTACTTCGTCTGACAGCCCTTGCGTGCCAAGTTTCTCATGTGATTCTGGGGATAGGTATTCCGTTGTCGCCACTGCAAAGTCTTTAGCGTGCGGAACTTCAGCAAGGCCTTCATGGTTCTGTCGGGATACTGACAGTCAAATTTCCCTTTAATATTGTATGGCACGGCCTCCACCCTAGGCAACTTTTCGTAATCCCGGGGCGTGAGTATGTGAAAGGTTGCATTCTCTCGGATGTTGGCAAAGCACAAGCGCATATAGGTAACAAAGTACTGAAGGACAATGAACTCCTCGTGGCCGGCGGCAAACAGGGCCACTGACATCTTTCCCTGCCAATTGGCAGACACCTGAGGCAGAGAATTCAGCCGCTCCACCGAAGTCTGTGTGGCGAGGCAAACAAAATTCGCCTCCGAAGAGTCTGCATACTGCTCACCCAGCAAGGCAAAGTCCTTGATCCTGTAAAGCTGCTGGTTGTCCCAGCGTCCAAAGCTCAAGTCGACGTCATGGAATGCCATGGTGGCAGTATTGTTAAGGACTCCCAAGCCATCCATATTATTCAGCGGCTGCAGGAGTGCATATGCAATATCCGGATGCTAGGGACAATCTGGCGGGACTGCTGGCCGGGAAGATGACTCTGGGGTAGGGCATTTAGCAGGTCCGTCACCTGCCGGAGGATACACCTTGAAAAGCCAAAATATGTTTACGGACAAGAAGGCCAGGGCAATCTTTAGGGAACTGCAGTTTGATATGTGGCACTGAAATGTAACGGTATTAAGGACTCCAAAAGGATCAGATTATCAGGATCTGAACTTACCATTATATCGAGCAATACGAGTATCACAAAACGAAAAGATTAACAGGAAAACACAACCGTATAGCTTTTGTACGTTAAATTGTAGAGGTCCTTGCAGTGTGACCGCATTCCTTGAAATGTAAATGTATAAGGGATCCTTATAATTGAAATGAAAAATTCGTTAAAGGTAATAAATTATTTCAAATTAAATTTAAGGAAATTCATATATTCTAAAAACTCAAAACGAACAAATGCCTTTTCGATAATTTATAAAAAAAAAAGTTTTCAAATATTTAAATTTTTGATTCTTTATTTTGAAGAATTTTAATTATTATTTACAGTTAAAGAGCTATATTAATATATTTAAAACTAGTTTAGTTTAAAACCCGATAAAATTCAATTCGTGCCCCTGTGGATCGTTGTTAAATACTGTCCAAGCAAATGGGAAAAACGCCACTCTTTAACGTTGCCTAACACTTTTTTGAACAAAAAACACTACATTTTATACAAATATACATGTTGAAAACAGCGAGCTAATAAATCGGAAATAACATTTTTAATTAATATAAAACGGAGTTTAGTGACTTGCCAACGGAATTGCAAGTGTCGGAAATGGCCAACTGAGAATCTCAAAATCGAACACCAATCGAAGTGAACCTTCCAATCGAGCATACAGAAAAAACATCCATATGTATGAAATAACAATAATTAAGAGCCTGTGTTGTTAATTTTAAAATCTTAAAAAAAATAAAGTAGCCGGCTGCATGCACAATGTATGTATGAGATGTGATTGAAAAATGATAAACCTCAAATCCCTGCATGCAATTATAGAGAAAAATCACGTCCCCAAGTGTGCATATATAATTAAATTAGTATTTGCGTTTATCTCTGGGGTATTCCCGATGGTTTCGGTCTAATCCCGACTCTCAAGAAGTCTGGAAAAGTGATGAACCCCAATTTAAGAATAAGGTTTAGTTTGAAACTCCGGCCCGGTTACGATTTCTGTATGTACTTGGATATCCGAGTATGTGTACTCTGAGAGATGTGTACATTGTAAAAGGCAATTAGTAGGCAAATATTCTTCTGGGTCGTCTGATGTAAGGCCAAGATCGTTATGTTAAATCGAGAAAGGTGCAAGCAGGTGCCATTAAGTGCGTATCACGATTCGTCGAAGCAATTAAGGGTCAGACGAGCATTACACTGGTGTGTAAGTGCGTATATACATATGTGCATGTGGGGGTGATTCTGATAAGTGTCAACAGTCAGGAATTTACCCAGTTCCCAAAGAAGTTTAGGTTGTGGTCATGGGTTTTCCCCTCTAAGTGATATTACGATGAATGGAATATCTCTCCAATATACCCTTAAAAATACTTAAAGATATTTAATGTGTGTCATCATTCACAGGGATACGTCACAGACGAATATGGAGGATCCCAATCCAAATCCCAATTATGGTGTTGACCAAAGACTACAGAAGCCAGAGGTATGGCCCAATGTTAACGAGTTCCACACCTCGATGATGTATCCGGACGATCCGAGGAGGTATTTCCACAATCCGCCCCCCACAAATCCCATCGATGGACTCGTAGCTGCCGCCAACCTTCAACCGCCTAAGATGCCCATCGATGGACTCGTAGCTCCAGCCAACCTTCATCCGCCTAAGACGCCCATCGATGGACTCGTAGCTGCAGCCAACCTTCAACCGCCTAAGATGCCAGATTATGGCCCGGATAGCGCGCATATTCACACAGCCCCGATTGATCCCAATCATATGGTTGTGCCTGTGGAGCCTGCGATCAAGAACCCAAATGCACCAGCAGTACCTCACTATGGCCACAAGCGAAAGAACGCTGCGGCGGCGGATGAGCAGACAGCTAGCAAGAAGATCGGTCTGACGGCGGCCGAGGAGAAGAAGAACAACCACCTCCGGAAGAACATTCGGGATGTGATGAACGAGAACAACCTGGACACCAACACGTTGGCCGCCCAGCGTGAGGAGTCGGAGCGCTTGGCTCGAGTTGCTGGCCAACAGAAGTCAATGCGTGAAATTCAAAAGCAGGTGGTGCACAAACAGTTCTTCCGAATTCTGCAGTTGGACGAGAGCGAGGGCATCGAGAGCTGCTCAGTGGGAAGCAACGTGGCCGAGCATCCTCCGCCTGTCGAATTCCCCGAAGAGGAGATCGTCTCGGACACGTGCGACGAATCCAACAGCAACAGTCACAGCAGCTTAAGCGGCAGCATCGATGATGTCCTCCACAAGGAGGCCAGCGTCGAGCAGCCAAGCGAAGTAGTTACCATCGACGACAGCTCCGACGATGACTGCATACTACTGTCGGAGGAGGAGGAAGAGGACGACGACGAAGACCTGATCGGGGACGATGCCACCAACAGCGGCATGCATGTCAAAGATGCGTACAACGTGCCCGACGAGAACGGGCAGGTGGTGGTCAACATGGCCCACCCTGACGGCGAAGAGACCCTCTTTCTGGCTCCCCAGATTGCGAAGGTGATAAAGCCGCATCAGATCGGTGGCGTGAGGTTTCTGTATGACAACATAATTGAGTCCACACGGAGGTACAACAAGTCGAGCGGCTTCGGCTGCATCCTAGCCCACTCGATGGGCCTGGGAAAGACGTTGCAGGTGGTTTCCTTCTGTGATATCTTCCTGAGGCACACCTCGGCGAAGACGGTACTCTGCGTGATGCCGATCAACACGCTACAGAACTGGCTCAGTGAGTTCAACATGTGGATTCCACGCTACTCCTCCGACAGCAACGTTCGCCCGCGTAACTTTGACATTTATGTCCTAAACGACCAGCAGAAAACCCTGACGGCACGCGCGAAGGTGATCCTAAACTGGGTGCACGAGGGGGGAGTTCTCCTGATTGGCTACGAGCTCTTCCGCTTGCTGGCACTGAAGCTGGTGAAAACACGGAAGCGCAAGGGCAGCATCGTACGGCCGGACGGTATGGATTCCAGCAGTGATCTCATGAACGTTGTGTTCGAAGCTCTGGTCAAGCCGGGGCCCGATCTTGTCATCTGTGACGAGGGGCATCGCATCAAAAACTCGCATGCCGGAATCTCCCTGGCCCTGAAGCAGATCAGAACACGTCGTCGCATCGTCCTCACCGGCTATCCGCTGCAGAACAATCTCCTGGAGTACTGGTGCATGGTAGACTTTGTGCGGCCCAACTATCTTGGCACCCGAACGGAGTTCTGCAACATGTTCGAGCGGCCCATCCAGAACGGTCAGTGTGTCGACTCCACGCCGGACGATATCAAGCTCATGCGCTACCGAGCACACGTTCTACACTCGCTTCTCCTGGGTTTCGTTCAGCGACGTTCGCACACTGTTCTGCAGAGCACTCTGCCACAAAAGTACGAATACGTCATCCTGGTTCGTATGACGGCCTTCCAGCGAAAGCTCTACGATACCTTCATGACAGACGTGGTGCGCACAAAGGCCTTTCCCAATCCCCTCAAAGCTTTCGCCGTTTGTTGCAAAATCTGGAACCATCCAGATGTTCTTTATAACTTTCTGAAAAAATGTGAGACTGATTTAGATTTAGAGATCGACGAAGAGCTGCCCAAGGGCACGCCCACTCCGACCGTCGAGCCCACTCCAGATCCTTCCATCAACATAGCTTCGCCTGTTGCGGAGAAGAAACCAAACGGAGCCGGAGAGCCGGTCCACACCCTCGACACCATGCCCAAAGCCGAGAATCAAACCTTGTTCAGTTTGCCGACATCCGATCTGAATGCAAAATATTTAAACAAAAGGTAGGTAATCTATTAGATGACTCTAATTTTTTAATAAACTTGTCATTTCTTCCTGAAATTTAGTCCCAATTTCTACGAGGAAAAAACAGAACCCCTTGGTTACGGCTCGTTCAGCTCTGAAAGCAAGAACAACTACTGGATGGATTCCAGTATCCTGCCCAAGCCGGGGTGTGTCGAAGTCAAGCAGACGGATACGTCAATGGCGAACAACTTTGAGAGTATTACCGGATCTTCGGAGATCGTGGATCTGGACACAAATGAAATAAAAACCGTCGAGACGAACATCCAACCGTCCGTCTGTTCCACCAATCAAATCGACAATGAGTGCAATACCAATAAGCCAAGTGAGTGGAGCGCCACGGGTGTTAAGAACGCTGTAGCAGAACCGTTTAAAAAGCTGCTGAAGAGTAAGCGCAACGACGAGTTCTCTTGCTCGTGGGCCGTCGACCTAATGAAGAACTACGTCTCCGGCCTGATATCGAACTCGCCCAAGATGGAGATATTCTTCTGTATTCTGAAGGAGAGCATGCATTTAGGAGATCGTATATTGTTGTTTAGCCAAAGTTTATTAACCTTAAATTTACTCGAAGGATATCTAAAATCTAGTTACGTTCCTGGTAGCAACCAATTTTGGACCCGAAATGTTTCATACTTTCGTGAGTACACAAAAATCTCTCAAAATTATTCTGATTAATAGAGATCTGTTCTGTTTACAGGATTGGATGGCTCGACCTCCTCGCAAGAAAGGGAAAGGCTAGTCAATGAGTTCAATGCAAATACTAACGTTAAGCTGTTTTTAATATCAACAAGAGCGGGCTCACTGGGAATCAACCTGACGGGGGCGAACCGTGTTATTATATTCGACGCCAGTTGGAACCCTTGCCACGATACACAGGCTGTATATAGGATATATAGGTGAGTCGATTCCTCAAAGAGCAGTATTACCATATAACGAACCTGTTTGTTTTCAGATATGGCCAAACTAAGCCGTGCTTTGTATATAGAATTGTAATGGATAAATGCTTAGAGAAGAAGATCTACGACAGACAAATCAAAAAGCAGGGGATGTCCGATCGCATCGTCGATGAATGTAATCCCGAGGCTCATCTTTCCATGAAGGATATCACGAATCTGTGTCACGACTACGACTCAGATGAAGAAACGGCGGAGGATCGCGACAAAGTTGCTGATGATTCTAGTAAATCGAGCAAGCCCAGCTCGCCAGCAGATGAGAAAACCAAGTTGTCGGCCGAGGAGAATGCTTCATCTCCAAATGGGCCAAATAAATCGACTGAGGAGCCCAACAAGCCACCTGACGAGAAAGACGAGTCATCTGAGGATTCCAAAGCACAAAACGGCACCTCGGAGTTGGCAGTTAAGAAGGAGAAAGAAGAAGCCCCTGCCAACATCGTTCATGCCGACTCCATAATCAATATCATACTCGATCTGCATAGGCATTGTGTGACGAAGGAGCCCTTCCTGCACGAAAGCCTGTTGGTAGACCAGAAAGACAGAAAGCTGTCACAGGCCGAGAAGAGACAGGCCCACCGTAGCTATGAACTGGAAAAGAAGGCGTCCGTCAATCAAAGGTTCACCTACGCTCCCGCCAAAATGCATTACAAAATTGTTAACAACGATGGTACTGTAATCACTAAGCCCATTAACCCGGTAAGATATATTTAAACTTTAGTTTATAGCATAAACTGAATATTTATCCTCCAGCAGGTAAGGCCCAACACCGCAGTTTCGAGTGGAGGACGCACCACTCGCTGGATTCCAGCTGATGTCTGGCAAAGGCAAGGCATGACGGCTCAGGAAATGACCCTACCCCTTGGTATGCTCCCACACCACACCTACAGGGTTTAGATATTAAAATGTTGCTATTTTTTAGATGTTGTCATTCCCACCAATTCGGCCGATAAGGCCAACATCATACTGAAGGCAGGCCAAAGGGTTATGGTCTTGAAGTCAACTAAAGGCATATACATGCAACTGGACAGTGGAAAGATTATAGCTATAAGGACCACAGCCAAAACTGAAGCCGAGAAAACAAACAAGGATGATGTGATTGACATAACATCCGACTGCGACACCGATACGGCAAAGCCCCCAACGCCAGAACCTGGTAAGAATCTGGACTTGAACATTTTTTAAAGACATTAACGTGTGTTTTTTGTAGATAATGTTAAAGATCTGACTGGCGACGACGAACCACATATCGTGAATACTAAAGAACCGCAAACTGGCCGCTCAGAAATGCCTTCGAAGGATAAGAAGCCTGCAGAAAATCTCCAACATTATAACACTCAAACGCAACCAAATAGTACTTTAGGAAATCCATCAAATCCACATCAGATGCCTTGCGACTTGAACTATCCACAGACGTCGCAGCAGCAGCAACAGCCACCGCCGCAGCAGCAACAGCAACAATCCCAGCAGCAGCAGCAACCACCTCCACAACCGCCACCGCAAGGATACAAACATCAGAATCCAGAAAGTTACAACAACTCCAATAGTATTCAGCCCAATGTGCCACTACCGGGTCAACATCCGGTAGCTCCTAACAGCGAAGCAGCGGCGGAGAGCTCCTACTTCCAGCCCAAGCCATTTCAGCACTCGTATCCGCCCCAATATTACGACTATTACGACAATAAGCACAAGCCCACGCCACCGGCTTCCGGCTATCACCTTAACAACTATAGCTCCTACGGAAACCTGAACTTCACACCGTACCATTCCAATCTGCATCCGCCCTCGGGCTATATAGGTGCTGCCCCCTCATCGTACGTGAATTCGAATGTTTTTCCCCGACAACCCTGGAGTTCGGTGGTGAATGCACCAGCGTCAAACGAGCCTATTCGACAGCCATCGTACCTCGGTAGTACTTACCCCATAAACGAATGGTCGTCGCAATAGCGACTGTAAATAGACTATGGTCCAATATCTCCAGGTGTCCAGTTAAGGGCGAAGCCACTCTATCGAGCTCAAATATACTCAGACTTGCACGTATTTAATCCTCTTATGTGGGTTATTTGTTTATTGATTATTAACCCCCTTTTTTTATAAAATGTATAGAAAAATGTTGATTGCTTTTGCATTTTTTTTACATTTCAAAATGTACTCAAAGAGCGCCTGTTAATTTTAAAATTGTATTTATGATATTTTAATTAAGAACACAAGTATAAAGAAATCATCATTAAACTAGACAATTAAAAGGATCATCGACTTGATCAATAAACCACACAATGCTTCCTATACTTATGATATTTCTATTTTGAGAATGATGTCCTTGTGGAAGACTCATCCTTCCTAGTAATTGTTTACCAACTTGTGGTTTAGTTGTTTCCTTAACTGGACAAACAGAGCTCGGCCTTTATTCCTTACCGCTAATTTCCAATTAATTTATTTATTTTAATAATAATATAGTGAATTCTCTTTTTAAAGTTTAAACGCATTATGAATTACGTTTAGGTTATTAGTTTCGATTCTGGAAAGAAATAAACGAAATCTAAATAAATAAATATTCATAGCTCGTAAACTACGTTTTAAGTAATCCTTCTACCACCCAGCTGTATTTAATTTAGAAGTCCACAAATAGAAAAAAAACCCCTCTCTCGGAATAACATTCGGAAATTGGTCTCTTTTTTTGGTTACGGGTGTATTTTATCCCGATATGGAAAAGATTAACTAAAAAAACAAAAAGAAAAAAACATTGACATTAGTCTAGATAATAGCACATTCGAAATAATTCACAAGCTTTGATTAAACAATGTTAGTTTTAAGAAATAAAGTAAAAGTATTAAACAAGACGGTGGTACTCTGTTTTCATTATGATCCTCCATTACTGGAGGTTATATTTCCATTTAGAACCATCTACTCCCTTCTTAGAGGTTCTATTTCTATTCAGAACCCTCTACTCCCCTCTTAGAGGTTCTATTTCCATTTATAACCATTTACTTCCCTCTTAGAGGTTCTATTTCTATTCCGAACCCTCTACTCCCCTCTTAGAGGTTCTATTTCTATTCAGAACCCTCTAATACACTCTTAGATCTTATACTCCCATTTAGAACCATCTACTACCCTCTTAGAGGTTCTATTTGCATTTAGAACCCTCTAATCCACTCTTAGAGGTTCTATTCAGAACCCTCTACTCCACTCTTAGAGGTTATATTTCCATTTAGACCCATCTACTCCCCTCTTAGAGGTTATATTTCTATTCAGATTCCTCTACTCCCCTCTTAGAGGTTATACTCCCATTTAGAACCATCTACTAAATAATAACTTCTATTATATTTATGAATTGACGTCATATATATTTATTTACAGCACACATTCATATACAAATCATAGTCAATACAATAACATATAAAATGTGCGTATCTATTATCTGCGAATAGAACTGTTAAGGGGTAAGTAGGGGGAATACGTGGGGGGATACATCGGATTGGAGGGTGTGGCCCGCTGCAGGACACAGGCATCCGGGTACTGAGATTGCATGTTCATCATCTGCATTGGGATCTGTGAGTTGGTGTACTCGGTGCCTGAGCTGTAGCTACCGGTCGGCGGTGACTGTTGTGGCGACATCCTATAGCTATTGATTGCCCCATAGGGAGCCATCAGATTCGGGCTGATGTGGACATTGGCGGTGGTGCGATTGTTGTTGCTGCCGCCCATGGGCGCCGATGTGTGCTGCACAGGTGCCGAGGGTGTATTCCGAGTGGGGTTCCTGCTCGTGTTCTGGGCAGAAGTTATCGGTGTAATGTTCATATTTCCCGAGTAGTACTTGTGATACTGCAACGGCGCCACCTGTGTCTGCAGCATGTTGGGCGGCGTCGAAATGTTTCGGTTCTGCATCAGCAGATGGGGGGGCGGCGTCATCGAGTTGGGTGGAATGGGATGGTGGGGCGAGGGCGCCAGATTAACCTGAGCCCCCGGCGACGTATTACATGGCTGCGTCTCCAAGCAGTTGGTGAGCTGCTGCAGCTTGGACAAGCTGCACAGATTTCCGGCCAACGCAGCTGTGGCTCCAGCGCTGTTAGACGCCGATATGGTTTCCTGGCCAGCAGTCTGCCGTTGGTCGTTGTTGCCCGCCGGTGACGGACCACCCAGCGAACTGGAGACGGGAACCCGAGGAGAGTTCTCCGAAGCGGGCATATTGTTTTGCAAATAAAAGTTATTCACTGCACACGCCGATGCCGGCTGCTCGATGCGCTGATGGCTGTTGGCCAGAGAGTGCACGGAGCTGTTCAGCGACATCCTCTGCTGGATTCCGACAATGTCGTAGTTCGATGGATTGGCCGAGAAGTTTTGGCTGATCTGCGGAATCGGCACATAGTCAATGGGTTGCATGTTCTGCTGATGGCCGTGCTGGGAGAACTGCAGATTGTGCAGAGACTCCTGGTGCGACTTGGAAATGTTCGCCGAGGCCCCGCCCTGTGGAATCTGGTGGTGGGCATTCGTGGTTGTCGTCGCCGAAGCTGGGTTCTTCGCGTCGCGTTGCTGGGAGGCGTTGCCGCTGCGTATCTGCTTGGGCGTGGTGGCTCGATGTGATGGTGTCGGGGAACTGACGGCGATGTCAGCCTGGAGGACAACAAAAAGGATTAAGTAAAGGGATACTAAGGATAGAGCACCTAAATAAACTAACCTGAGCATTCAGCTTCCTACTCTGATGCTGGTGCTGGGGATTGTTCAGAAGATTGATGTTGGGCGACCCCTCGGTCGCCACCAGATTCATGTTCAAGTTGTTCTGCTGCTGGATATGCGAGTTCTGGATGGACATGTGCATGGGCGTGGTGGCCGGCTGGTTCTGCATGGAGCAGTCCGAGAACTGGCGGTGCGGCTGGTGCATATGGACATTCGAGGCAGCAGCGATTTCCTGGGACCCGTGGGCAATCGCAGTTCCAATATTCGCCGGCGAGTCTATGTTGATCTGCGCACTGATCCCGCAGTCATAGTGCTGCATCGCCGCGTTCGAGGTGGACTCCGAGCTGTATACGAGATTGGGATTGACGTCCGCCTGGCCGCTGGCCACTTGCAGATTCGCATGCTGCGCAGCAGTGGCATGGATGTTCTGGTGGCCAATCTTGTTGAGCTTCCCGGCAGCGGAGCTCACTCCGTGCTCTGATTTCTGCTTGGCCGCCACTGCTCCAGCCTGAGGATTCACAGAGTTGGGATGTAGGACCGCCGACTCGGCATTGCCCTGCCGCCCCACCGAGTTCTGGGCATTGGCCAGGGACTTCATCTGCTGGGTCTGCTTCTGCTGGGTGGCGCACTTGGGATTGTAGATGGCAGCCTGGTTGTTGGCCGCATACTCGTTGCAGTGCTGGACGTGGGCATCCTCGCGCGCCGTGCTGACCACGTTGCTGACCTTCAGCTGCTCCTCCTTCTTGCTGGAGTTGCCACTGGCCTTGCGCTCAACCTTGTGCTTCTCCTTGGTCTGGTGCATCTGGTGGTGGGCATGCTGCATGACCAGATTCGCGGACTGGTACAGATTCTGGGTAAAGTTGTGCGTGTAGGCCATGGTCGTGGCCAGGTCCTTGTGGAACTGCTTCTGCCCCTTCTGCGAGGCGGGGTCCAGATGGGACAGATTGTAGCCGTAGTAGTCCCCCCACTGCCAGTACTGCGAAGAGTGATGGTAGTTGGGCATCTGGTTGATGGGGAACTGGGACTGGATCGAGTTCTGCAACTGGGCGTGCTCGTTGCCCTTCAATTGAATCTTCTCGCGATGAGGATGAACTGGTGCCGGTGTTCGCGTGTTTGGCTTCTCCTCCTCCTTAACCTGCACCAGCTGATCCGACTTAACAAGTGCCTTTTCCGGAGCCATCTTCATTTTTGGAGTCTCCATCTTCCTTTCGCCTGGGTTGAGTTCGGGCTTCACTACCGGGACCTCCGGTTGTTGTTTCTTCAACATTTTGTCCTTGATGTCAGTAGCATCTTTGAAAGCGGAAGCAGACTCCGTTTTCTCCGGTGTAATCTTTTCCTTTGGAGGCATCTGCTGCCTTGGCAGCTCCACAGGAACATTAGGAACATCGGTGTGGATCACTTGCGGATTTTGCGGAGGAGCCTCGGTCTTCTTCACCTCCTCACTCTCGGTCGGCTTTTGAAGAACTTCATTTATTTTAACAGGAACCGTTTCCTTAGGAGTTTCATCCTGAACAGGATTTGTGGCATGTTGCTGGGCCATCTCGGCAGGTGGCTTCTGAGCCGTGAATGCGGCAGAGTCCGGGGATTTCTTCAAATAGTTCAAATCCGGCTCGATTTTCTTCTCCTCCACGGACTGGGGACTGAGGTTCTCCGTTTTCGGAGTGGCTACTGGAACAACTGAGGGCTGTGGCTGTGTGGTTGGAGCAGCGACCGTGGCCTCCACCTTTTCGGCTTGGGGCTTTTCGGGGCTCTTGGGTTTCGGTTTGTTATCCGGCGCCTCCAGTGGTTTAAGCTCCCTCATCTCAACCTCCTTCACTGGTTGGATGGCCTCTGGGACAGTGGAGTCCTGCTTCTCAGGGCTACTGTATTTGACTTCATCGGAAGTATAGGAGACGTCTGGAAAGACGGTCTTCTTGGTTTTCTTGGCCACAGCATCGAGGACTTGCTCAGTCTTGCTGCTGGCTTCACCGTCATTTTTTGAAGACTCTTTTACTGGGCTCTCTTTTGGGGACTCCTTGGCCGGTTCCTTGGCGGGACTGATGGTCGCAGTGTCGGCCGGCTCTGCTGCGGGCTTACATCCATGGAATTGCATGTCCTCCGAGCGCTTGCCATTGGACTGTTTTCCCCTCAACTTGGGCACAATATTCACCGGCTTATCCACATGCTCCTTTTCGGTCACACTTTTCCGGACCTCAGTATTAGAAGCGGATTCCTCCGGCTTAGGAGTGGTCTCCTTGTCTGCAGTTTCGGATGCATTTGACACATTCGGATTGGGATCACAAGGACTGCTCTCCTGGGTGCGATCGAAGTGCTTCCGTTTGTTGGTATGCGGAATCACATCGTTGCGCTTGGCTAGTCGCTGGGCCCGCTTGGTCAGATGCTCGGAGAGCTCCTTGGAGGACTTGCAGTCTGAGGAATCGGACTGCTCACCCAGAGACTGGTCATGAAACTCATTGGCCAGCTGAACCGGATTCGGCTTGGCTTTTTTCGACTCATTCGAAGCGGACCTTAAGAAGTCCTCCGGGAAGGCGCGCTTCCGATGGTTCTCCCTTTCCTCTGCCAATCGTTCGGAGCTCGGGTTCTTGGCAAGCACCTCACTGGAGTCCTGGCTTATCTTGGGACTGGTGGTGGAGTTCTGCTTTGGCCCCAGTTTGGCTTCCTCCTTGGAATCGTTACAATCAAAACTGTTTTCCGTTTGGTTGTTGAGGTACTCCCGGTTGGAAATTGGCTTGATGATGTTGGGCAACTTCGAAGCCGAGAGGAGCGGGCTCCACCGCAGGCAGTCGGGCTCTATGAGGATGCGCGACTTGCTGTTGGCCATCTTGTTGTGATGCAGTGCCACCTTCTTCCAGTCGATTCTAACATTTATCTGATACCGGATGTCTCCGTCGTTCTTCCGCAACTTTATAAAGTTGAGGAGCTCAAAGGCCAGGGCTATGTCGGATATGGCCAGCCCGGTCTTGATGGCAATGTCCTTGAATGTGATCTTCTTCTGGTTGCGGTTCTTGTACAAGTACTCCAGCACCACCGACTTCCAGTACGAGAAGTAGGAGAGGCGGCCCAAGTCTGAGAGCGGCTTCTCGGGTGTTCCCAGCTGGCCCTCTTCGCGGCTCAGCAGGTAACTAAAGTCGATGAGGAACCTGCCGTAGCCCTGCCTCTGGTACTGGGGCATGGTAAGAATGCAGGACACATTGTACTTTTGGGTGCAGTGCTTCTCCTTCGAAAAGTAGCCAACCAGATGGCAACCGCTCTGATCGTTCTTGGTCAGGATATAGAAGAGAAAGGGCTCTACGTCGTAGTACAGGGTCTTGTGGTCGAGAAAAAACTTGGCCAGGAGGCACAAGTTCTGGCAATAGATCTTGTTCACGTTTCCATCGACCTCGAAGACCGAAATGTTCCCCTGGCGGAATATCTCAGTGCCCGGCGGCTGCTTCCAAATGCACTTGTTCTGATGCCTGTCCAGCACCGAGCGACTCTTCGTATACTTCAGGCAGAACTCGCACAGGAACAGCTTCACCAGCCTGGCGTACTCCTGGGGAAAAGGGCTCGAGTACCAGGTTTCGATGTCCCACTTGCCGATCTGTATCGACTTGGGGCTTTGAGTGTTCTGCCCTGGCTTCTGATTCACATCGTTCACCTTCTCGATGTGGTTGTTGGACATTTGAACGACTGCCTTGTGGAGAATCTCCTGATACAGCTCCACATCCGTTGCAGTCACGCCCGGCGGCAATGGCTGATTTTCGAAGGGATTGGCACGCTTCATGTTTTCCAAATCTTCGTCCGGATTCGTTTCGGGCTTCTCCGAGGGATCGGCGTCGCTCTTGGCCTCCCGGCAGCGTTCAATTTCCTCCAGCATTTGCACCTTCATGACTGTCTCCTCAGTGAGGTACGGAATGTCATCGTCGCCCTTTTCGTACGTTGTGCCTGCCTGCAGCGGCATGCTCTTCAGTGGAATAATCTTCTTCTTCTGGCCATTGGCATTCTGTCGCCGTATGGTCATGCCTCCAGTAGCTGGAGTAGCAGTGCTCTTGTCGGGAGTCGAAGTAACGGGGGCGCTCTTTTGTGCCCGACTGGCAGCTGGCGACGTGGAATATGACTCCGTCTGGGGCTTGGTGTAGCTCATGCTTTTATTGTTTGTATTATTCTTGGACTTGACAAATATATCAATGGGGTTTTTTGCCACGGCAGCAAACCCCCAGTACTTACTACCAGCCTCATTGGGGTCTGGCGAGCTGAGGCCCCGGTTGGCGGCTAGCTTGGCACAGCTCTGCTTTTCGTTTGCGAATATCTTGCCCTTCAGGGTGCTGCGATCGGTGTCGTAGTCCTCCTCGTCATTCTCGTCATCGCATTCCGAACTGTCGCTGGAACTCTCACTGGAATCCGAGTCGGAACTGGACGAAGTACACGAGTCCGAGGAGGTGCTCTCATCTTGATCATTGTCGCCCCTGTTCCTGTCGTCGTCCTCGTCGTCATCGTCTTCGCTTTCGCTCGACGAACTGGACGACGAGAGATCCGAGAAAGTGCGCTTTCGGTTCTCTTGGCTGGCAAGGTAGCCTCCCTGTAATACCTGTGTTCTCTTCTGCTTGCTTGGGAACTCGTACTGATCTTCACTGGCTGCCGATTTCCGTGAGTTCAAGCCCGCTGCAGCTTTCCTCCTCTGGCCGTTGCCGTCATTATAGACGCAAAGTTTTGAGGTCGATGGACTCTCACTGTTGCCCTCCTTTTTGATGAGTTGACGCTTATTGGGTGCATATCTCTCCGATGGAGTCCCCCTGAAAATATAATTTTCTCTTTAAAAAAATCTATTTTAATTAAATTTTTAGAAACCTCACCTGTCATTTCCCATTTCCATTTTAATTCTTGAATTGTCTCTCTTGATGAGTTTTGAAGTGTCTATATTCTGTTTTGAGCACGACTTGCATCTGGGGAAGAGGAAAGATTAGTTTGGATCACAAATCCATATCATAAAAACATACCTATATGGATGCTTGGGCTTCTTGTCCGGTATGGTATCGAGACACGTCAAGTGAAAGTGATCCTTGCACACGAAACACTGCAGCAGGCAGGGTCCGCGGTTGCGCATCTTGCAGACCACACAGTCGGCGCAGTTCTGGCACTCCCAGATGGTGCCTTTGGTGACGAGCATGTAAAGCAGCACATAGGACTGTGACTTGCATTTGCCGGCTATGTTGGCGCATGTTGTGTGCAGGGATATTCCGCACTGCTTGCAGGAGCTCAGCGGCTCCGGAATGCCGTTCAGGTTCTTCTGAGCGTTTCCCGAACAATGGGTGCAGGAGTCTTCGCCCTTAATGACCACATCAGCGGCCGGGGCACATTTTCGAGGAGATGTCAGGGATTTACCCTTCTTGTAGAGCTTTCCTTCTTGAATCAGAAACCCAGCGTCCACTGCCTTTTTGATGGAGGCCTTTATTACGGCTTTGAAGTCGACATTGGGCGACAGATCGATGCAGTTGAACTTCTGAATATAGTTCTCAATGCTCTTGATGGTGGAGCCCTCGCACTCGCCCAAATCATGGACCGCCTTGGCCACCATTTTGTACAGGTTGGTGTTCTTGTCCACTTTTATGCGCCGCTTGGCCATTGGCGCCTTGTAGGAGTGCAATCCCTTGTTGTACACCTTGATCACAGCCCCCGACTCAACGGCCTTCTCCAGCTTCTCGGCGACGATGTCCTCGTGGAACTTGTGGTGGGTGCCGATGGCCTGGCAGATCCTCTGAACGGAGGGCCTCTGCTTCTGGGATCGGATTTTGGATATGGCCTCGAGAATCCACTGTTTCCACGTGTCCATGCTTATATCGTGGGCCGACTCCCTCATCATGGTTTACTGAAACAAATAAGAAACTTTAATTTCCAAAAGTTCTATAAAAGGATATCATATTTTCTTATATTCCACGAATACACATTGTTCTATGCGGACCGTGTCCAATTTTTTAAGATACACGTTGCCCAAATAGTTCTAATCTCAATTTTTGTGCTTTGGCCGCAGACGAAAGTATCTGAGAAGTTCGTATCTTATATCTAGGCGTGGTGTTTATGGACTTTCGAAATAATTCTTCATACGCTTGAGTTGCAGCCTAGAATTTATAGTAGGCTGTGAGAATTTGATTCCACTTTGCCAATATTAGACGGGAGCCTTCCTCAGTAGACGTTCGGGTCTGAGGTGGGACGGTTTCCACTTTCAAGAATCACATTTCTTAAACAAACAAACAAATCGAACTTTTTCTTGCTTCAACACGCAAAGTAGTTGCATATTTTTTATATACACATATCCGCTTGGCAAAACTATTCACTACCACAGCATACACATTATTTAGATACATATGCAGGCGAGTATGCTAATATGTACATACATTTGTATTCGGAACTGGCGTGAGAGTAATGGCGGATGTATTCCAAGTGAATGTATCTCAAGTCCGCATCAGCAGATCGGCTCTAAACGCATCTGGGTGCATTTATTGGTTGCGAACAATAACAAATATTAATTTTGCAATAAAGTTTGATCTACCGAGTATTAGAAGGCTTTATTATGGCTCTATCTACACGACGCCACAACAAAACGCGCGATATTTCTGCAATGGTTGGTGGTTGGGAACGAGCGGAATGGCACAAGAAGCACGGTTTTCAGGACGATATTTTAAATTAAATAACTGATATTAATATTAGTAATAAGTAGTACTATCTATATAAAACAAATATATATTTTCATCTTTTTTATCTAACAATGTAAGTTATTATATCTGTGAAATATAGTCGTGCGATCCGTAAGATAAAATATATCGAAACTAATTGAACACAGGGTGACTAGAGCACATTAATAAACACAGGGCGACTTGTACATATTTGGAAAGGGGGGTCTCACACATTATTGGGGAAAAATATTTGCTGCACCATTTGTGAATAAATATGATTTAGTCCTAAAATTAAGCACTCACAATGGATTACGAATCTTCCGAATTCAGTGGTAATGTTTACAAAACGCCGCCTCCCCATAGTGATAACCGAAGTGTTGAATTAATGAGTTTATTGACGCATTTGTTTTTTGCACAGACCAAGATATGTACATACATATCCATATAAACAATTATTTATTTATAAATATGCGGAAGAACAAACAAATATACTATACATATATACTATGTGCCTACGCTTAGATCCGTATGTGTGTGTGTGTGGCTATATATTTAATATTCTCCTGGACGGGGGGTCGGCGCCGCTCGTATGTAATATGCCGCATACATATTTGAAAAATCGAAATGTCTCGGACTGAATTGGCCCAAACCGAGTTGAATTAAACAATGGTAATGGTGTCCAAAAAGAAACTGGAAACGAGTGGCCTTCCCGGGCGGAAAGTTGAAGTGAATCGGCAAAAAAAAAAAAGACTATTTTCTATTTTGGGTCATCGAGTTTTTAGCCATTTTAACAAAGCATATAACCTCCCCGTTTGAGCTGAATTTCTGCGCCCGCCCCCCCGAGCCACATTTTTGCGTTGGAAGGAGCCAGGTGATTGCGATTCGGCCGTGGGTGCGGCATTGTTATGGGGCTCAAACACGGTGTCGGTTAGTGTGTGTTTCGTGTTAAAACAACAATTTGCTTCTTAGTTAAAGGAGGCCAATCCGTCTTGGAGAGTCTTATCTTTTTATCGAGACTGATTTCTAAACACCGCTCCAAACTGTCTTTGCAGATGTTACGACTGGCAGCTGCAAAAAAAGGCTCACATTTCTGAAATATATTTTAAGCGACATATCGAGCGATCAAAAATGGGCAGCCGAGTTCGGGGAGGACACGGAAGGACATCAGTTCTCCCTCGACTATCTGTTGGACACTTTCGTAGTCCTATATGATGAATGCAGTAACTCATCCCTGCGAAGGGAGAAAGGAGTCTCAGATTTTCTTAAACTATGTAAATAATTATGAATTATATCCCCTGTTATGCAACGTATTTGAAACCCCAATCTTCCAGCCAAGCCTTTCGTGCAAATTGTACGAAAACTCCGTCTAAGCCGAGATGATTTTGATATACTCAAAATTATCGGGCGAGGTGCCTTCGGAGAAGTCTGCGTCGTCCAGATGATATCCACCGAAAAGGTCTACGCCATGAAGATCCTGAACAAGTGGGAGATGTTGAAGCGGGCCGAGACAGCCTGTTTTCGGGAGGAGCGGGATGTGCTGGTCTTTGGCGACCGGCAGTGGATAACCAATTTACACTACGCCTTTCAAGACAATATTAATCTGGTGAGTAGAATGCTTCTCACTTCAGTTTTCCATTTAATTAAATACTTTTCCTTCAATCCAGTACCTTGTCATGGACTACTACTGCGGCGGGGATCTCCTTACCTTGTTGAGTAAATTCGAAGACAAGCTACCGGAGGATATGGCCAAGTTTTACATCACCGAGATGATTCTGGCCATCAACAGTATTCACCAGATCAAGTACGTTCACAGGGACATCAAGCCGGACAACGTCCTGCTCGATAAGCGCGGCCATGTGCGGCTAGCGGACTTTGGTTCCTGCCTCCGACTGGAAAAGGATGGCACTGTCCAGTCAAACGTGGCTGTCGGCACACCAGACTACATTTCCCCGGAAATATTGCGGGCCATGGAGGACGGGAAGGGGCGGTATGGAACGGAGTGCGATTGGTGGTCCCTGGGAGTGTGCATGTACGAGATGCTGTACGGAGAGACTCCGTTTTACGCGGAGAGCTTGGTGGAGACCTATGGCAAGATCATGAATCATCAGAACTGCTTCAATCTGCCGACGCAGGAGACCATTAACTACAAGGTATCGGAGACATCTCAGGACTTGCTGTGCAAGCTGATTTGTATACCTGAGAACCGCCTTGGCCAGAACGGAATCCAGGACTTTATGGATCACCCCTGGTTTGTGGGCATCGACTGGAAAAATATTAGGCTGGGGCCTGCGCCATATGTGCCGGAAGTGTCCAGTCCCACTGACACTTCCAACTTTGACGTCGACGACAACGATGTCCGGTTAACGGACTCTATTCCTCCCTCTGCCAATCCCGCCTTCTCGGGATTCCACTTGCCCTTCATTGGCTTCACCTTCTCCCTCAGCAGCAGCTCTCCCTCGGACTCGAAAAAGAACAGTTCCGGATTCGGCGATACTCTGGACACTGTGAGCAGTCCACAGCAGGCCAACATACCGAGTAACAACTCGGAGGCTTCCGTCGACTCCGCTCAGGAGAAGCAGCTCAAGTCGCTATCTGAACAAATAGCTGCCTTCAAGCAGGAAAAACTAGAACTAACCAAGCAGCACAACGAGATCTTCGAGAGACTTAAAACGCAGGACGCGGAGCTGCAAGACGCCATTTCCCAGCGCAACATAGCCATGATGGAGTACTCTGAGGTCACCGAGAAGCTGTCGGAACTGCGCAACCAAAAGCAGAAGCTCTCTCGCCAGGTCCGCGACAAGGAAGAGGAGCTGGACGGAGCTATGCAGAAGAACGACAGCCTGCGGAACGAGCTGAGAAAATCGGACAAAACCCGACGGGAGCTGGAGCTGCACATAGAGGACGCCGTGATCGAGGCATCCAAGGAGAAAAAGCTGCGGGAACACGCCGAAGAGTGCTGCCGACAACTGCAGCTGGAGCTGAGGAAAGGCTCCTCCAGCCTGGAGACCACCATGCCGCTAAGCATTTCCTCGGACATGTCGTCGTACGAGATCGAGCGAATGGAACTGCAGTTCACGGAAAAGCTGAGCCACCAGCAGACGCGCCACAACATGGAATTGGATACTCTGCGCGCACAACTCGGTGACTTGGAGAGCTCGAACGTGGAACTGTCCAAGGAGCTGCAGCAGACACAGGAAAGGCTCAAGTTCACACAGCTGGAATCCATTACGGACTCGGCAGAAACCCTCTTGGAATTGAAGAAGCAGCACGACCTGGAGAAGTCGTCTTGGTTTGAGGAGAAGCAGCGACTAAGTTCGGAGGTGAATCTCAAGTCGAAGAGCCTTAAAGAACTGCAGGCGGAGGACGATGAAATCTTCAAGGAGTTGAGGATGAAGCGCGAAGCCATCAACCAGTGGGAGCGGCAGATGGCGGAGATCATCCAATGGGTGTCCGATGAGAAGGACGCCCGCGGCTACTTGCAGGCTCTGGCCACCAAAATGACCGAGGAGCTGGAGTATCTGAAGCACGTTGGCACCTTCAATAACAACGGAGTAGACAATAAAAACTGGCGAAATCGACGATCGCAGAAACTGGACAAGATGGAGCTGCTGAACCTGCAGAGCGCTCTGCAAAGGGAGATCCAAGCCAAAGCGATGATATCCGATGAACTGAGCCAAACCCGGTCGGACCTCATTTCCACTCAGAAGGAGGTGCGGGACTACAAGAAGCGCTACGACTCCATTCTCCACGACTTCCAGAAGAAGGAGACCGAGCTGCGGGATCTGCAAAAGGGAGGCCTCGAGTATTCCGAGTCGTTCCTGAACAAGTCCACGCATCACGGCCTCAGCAGTGCCTTCTTCCGGGACATGTCAAAAACGTCTGAGGTCATAGATTCTGGCGAGAGCTTCGGCAACGAATCGGGCGACAACTACACCCCAAACTTCTTCCAGTCCGGAAACTCTGGTATGCTCTTCAACTACGAGCCGAAGTTTTCCGGCAAAAACAGCAAGGAAAACGCCTCCATGAAAGAGGTCTCCGTCAGCGACTTATCTCGAGCGGATGATAGCGACATTATGTCCCTGAAGGAATCTCAGAAGAAAGTGAGCACCGGGCATACATCGATCCATCAGTTTCTGGTGCGGACTTTCAGCAGCCCGACTAAGTGCAACCACTGCACCTCCCTGATGGTGGGACTGACGCGACAGGGAGTGGTGTGCGAGATCTGTGGCTTTGCCTGCCACACCATCTGCTGTCAGAAGGTACCGACAACCTGCCCCGTGCCCATGGACCAGACCAAGCGACCACTGGGCATCGATCCTACCCGGGGTATTGGCACTGCTTACGAGGGCTATGTGAAGGTGCCCAAGTCTGGGGTCATAAAACGGGGCTGGATACGCCAGTTTGTGGTGGTGTGCGATTTCAAGCTGTTCCTCTACGACATCTCGCCCGACCGCTGCGCCCTGCCCAGTGTGAGTGTGTCCCAGGTGCTGGACATGAGGGATCCCGAATTCTCGGTGGGCAGTGTGCGGGAGAGTGATGTCATTCATGCCGCCAAGAAAGATGTGCCATGTATTTTCAAGGTAAGTTTATGAAGGTTTTTAAATAAATGTTTTTCCCTAAATATCCTCATGTTTTTCAGATAAAAACTGCGCTAATTGACGGAGGTCTGTCGTTGAATACTCTGATGCTGGCCGACAACGAATCGGAAAAGTCGAAATGGGTCATTGCCCTGGGGGAGTTACATCGAATATTGAAACGAAACAGCTTACCAAATACTGCTATTTTTAAAGTCAATGAGATTCTGGACAATACGTTGTCCTTGATACGAAACGCTTTGTGTTCTGTCATCATCTATCCAAATCAGATTCTTCTGGGCACCGAAGACGGCTTGTACTACATTAATTTAGATCAATACGGTAAGGACAATAATTCCCAGACTTGTAAACCACATAACTAAGATATGTTCCTCCACAGAAATCGCTCGTATTGGGGAGAGCAAGAAGATCCTTCAGTTGTGGTATATTGAAGAGGAACAAATTCTCGTTATCTTGTGCGGCAAGCAGCGAAACTTGCGCCTGCTGCCCATAAGAGCATTAGAGGCTAGTGACGTCGAGTGGATCAAGGTGGTCGACTCGAAGAACTGCATATCGGCTTGCACTGGAATAATCCGCCGGTTCCCCAACATTGTCTACTCCTTCATTATCGCGTTGAAGCGGCCCAATAACCACACACAAATCGTAGTCTACGAGATCAACAGAACGCGCACAAGGCACCAGAAGACTTGCGAATTCACCATCGGCTACATGGCCCAGCATCTGCAGATTCTATCCGATATGCGACTGGTTGTGGCCCATCAAAGTGGCTTCACTGCCTACTTTTTGCGAGGCGAAGCGACTGCTATGTGTAAGTAGTATTACTCTTCAAATTATAAAGCTTTCAGACTAACATGGTTGCCTTCTTTCGGAACAGCTTTGGTTCATCCTGAAAACCAGCTATGTGCATTTTTGAATTACTCCGGAGTGGATGCTGTTCGGGTTATTGAAATTCTTTGTCCCAGCGGTGGTAACTTTGGGGAGTATTTGCTGGTATTCCAAACACTGGCCATATACGTGGACTTGCAGGGACGCAAGTCCCGGGACAGGGAAATAATGTATCCCGCCTTTCCCACATATATAAGTGAGTTTATATCATTAAATTATATTGCCGGCTGGTGTTTATTAACACTCTTTGTTTATCCATTAGCCTTTTGTGATGGCCATTTGCTGGTGTTCTCGGACACACACTTGGATATATTCAATACCCAGACCGCTGAGTGGGTGCAGTCCATCGGTCTGAAGCAATCACTTCCACTGAATAATCTGGGCAATGTGGTGTTGTCTTCCGTCAATGACACCCCCTTGATTGTTTACCTGTCCAATATTCACACAAGTACGTGAAGATCTTTGGCCGAATTGGAAATTCTTGGCAACTAATTCTTTGTTTTTCTTGCAGAGGGCCTTCTGCAATGTCGAGACGGAACTCGAAAGGGTCTTCCAAATATTAAGAGGAGATTTTCTATAAGAGAGATTAATAAAACAATCAAAAGGTAGGTCAGCCATCAAACTAAAAGCTAATAGATAGTCTAATCATCCATTGCAGCGATCGTAGATCAAAGATGATATCGGCACCGACTAACTTCAACCACATCTCGCATATGGGCCCCGGCGATGGCATTCAAAATCAACGACTCCTAGACCTACCAACCACTCTCGAAACAGCCGACCAAGCCTGCAGTCCAATAATACATTCTCTGAGTTCCATACCCCAGACTAGAAAATCAAATTTTCTAGAACAAGGCAAGTACCATTGGCATTTTATTCAATCCCATCCAGATATTGATAAGATCTTGATCTGTTGGATTTTTTTCAGTGGATGGAAACTCTGATGATTATGGAAACGATAATATAATCTCTCGAACGCCCAGTCCAATGGCATCGTCCTTCATGGACGGCTTAAGCAATAACGAATAATTTCAGTCAGAAAATCTCTACACATGTGTAATTTACTCGATTTTTTAAGATAACTGTTTGTAATAAACATATTTAATTTCTCGAATATCAATTTAAATGCGTCTCTTTATTTAATACATTTCAAAAATCTATATCCAAGTACTACTAGCAATCATCATGTTTCCTTGAGTAGATCTGTTTTTATTTGTTTACTTATCTGCATGATTAATACATACATTAAAAATCTTTGATTTGTACACAGAAATCTTCAATATTTATATATTTTTTTTTCTTAATCTCTAGCCTATCCAAATCCGCATATATTCTACTTCTTTGATTTCTTCTTCTTTTTCAAAATCTTGCTCTTCTTTTTGCTTTTCAGATCCTTGCGCTTCTCGCTCCTCACCGACTCGGTGGACGAGTATTTTCCATGCTTCTTCAGTTTCTTGTCCTTTTGCTTCCTCTGATCACTGTTGTCGGAGGACATTGCATCGTTATGCATTGGGTTATCATACTTTAAAATTAGACCACTCGTTCCACTAGTTTCCCCAAACTTTCTAAATGGATTATCCGGCCGGCACGGCTTCGCTACCTCCTGCCGGCTCGGCTTGGATGCCACCGAGGAAATTGTTCGATTATCTCCAGACTTGGCGTTGCGCTGGCCCCTCCGGTCCATGTCGTCGCTATTGATTTGATCAAGCTTGGCGATTTTGCTGTCGGAACGCTCTTTATAGTTGCGCCGATTCCTGTCACCTTCCGGCGACGAGCCCCGTTTGTAGGAATGCCCCTGCCGCTTCTCGGATGTGGCGTTTCTGTCCCGGGATCTATTATCCCTGTTATCTCTGTTGTCTCGGTTATCCCTATTATCCCTTTTATCTCTATTATCTCTTTTATCTCTATTATCTCTATTATCTCTATCTCTGTTATCTCGATTATCTCTATTATCGCGGGTATCTCTAGTATCTCTGTTATCCCTGTTCCTGCTGGCTTGTCGGTCCGATCGTCCTCGGTGTGATGCATCATCGTCGGATCCTTTCCGTACAGCTTCCCGGCGATCCTCTCGCCTGTCTTTCGGCTTCTCCGGCGAACGGCTTCTGTCGCGGACAACTTTGATTCCCAGCCTTTCCTTCACCGACTTGTTGCCGGTTCGTCTCGGCGAGACGGAGCGTTCCTTGTCATTTCGTATGGATATGGAACGGTCCCGGCTGCTGCCCTTTGAGTTGATAATAACCTGGAATTCCACAGGACGAATGGCGTTGATAGCCTTGGCAAATATGGCGTTCTCCGCCTTGCGAATAACCTCTGAAGTAATTTCGGACGGATCGTCTGAGTTGCCGCCAAACTTCTTGGAGTCATCCAAGTTGAAGCTCAAACTGTTTTCCTCCAACTCCCACTTTGAAAGGCTGCCATCGTTGCGCTTGTTTCTAGTGGCGGACTTATCCTCAGTAGTGGCTTCTACGTGAGCATGATTCTTCTTAGCCTGAGGAGCTTCTGCAGTGTCCACAGTACGTACTGGAGAAGCGTAAGCCGGTTCCAGTTCGAAGCTCGCCTCGGGAGATCTGTTGGACTTCACCTGCGGCTCGTTTAGCTGGGGACTGCCATCGGAGTCAGATCTATTCACTGAAGCACTCTTCTTCTGCCGATCACCCTTTTCCTTCTTGGACCGCTTATCCTTCTTGCTTTTCTTGCGTTCGGTCTTGTCCTTTTTCTTCTTCTTTCGTTCCTTGGATGCCGTAGGACTTTTGGCCTTGTTCTCCTTGCCCACATTCGACCCGGATTCAGGCTCATTAGTTTCTGTCGGATCTGACGACTTGCTTTGAGGCTTCGACTCCAAGTAGTCGTCGTACATAGCCTCCGGAGTTTTAGGCGTGGACTCGCGTTCACGCATATGGGACGCCGACATTTTGGGAGTGGTGATCTTGGCCGGCGGTGTCAGACTTCTGTAGCTGCTATCAAGCGGCGGCTTGGGCTCCTTGCTTTTGCTGCGGGTTCTTTGCCTTTTGCGGGGCACTTCCTCGCTCCTGCCCTCGTCGTGCCTCTTACCGCTCTTGCTGCCGCTACTATGAGACACTTCCATGTTAGTGGGGTGTTTGCCTCTGTACCCATCTTCCTCGGTAAGCTGCAGCGGCTCGAATCCAGGCGGCGGAGGCTCAAGGACATCCGGTTTAGGTGCGAAGGGCTTACTGCTGTATAGTTTGTCTCTGTAGTCTGTTTTGTAGGCAGGTTTCGGAGAAGTCGACCGACGATGCGCAGATCTAAAAAACAGGGATTAGTTCAATTGAAAAATAAAATCAAAAAAGGTTACCTTTTCATGCGGCTACCAGGAGACTTGGAGCCATCATTTAGTGGCCGACTCGAACGAGGATGACGACTGGGCCTCTCATAGCTATATTCCCGCTTTCTCTCCCGAGAACGGGGCCTCTTGTCTTTTGAATTCTCCCTCATAGAGTCCTTTTCGTATAACGGCGACTTGAACCGATGACGCTGCCTATCCGGTGACCTCGACCGGTGATGATCGGAGCTACGGAAACGTTCCACCTTCTTCCTCTCCTTCTCCTTCATGATGCGATTAAAGGCCTCCAAGGGATCATCGATTAGCCTGTAAAACCATAAAAGTTATAGTGTTTTCTCTATACACGGTAGTAAGGTCCTCACTTACCCAGAACCGACTTTGGCGGCTACACCTTGATATATAGATGCTAAATTTGGGGACTGAAATGGTTGTGACATATTCATATTCATACTTCCTCCCGACGATCCGTACGGTGCACGCATTGGGTGTACGGATTGGTTCTGATACGGCACATAGCTGCAATTTCAGAAGTTTATTACAATTCAAAAAGCATAAAAGTGGATACTTTTTTTTTTTAAAAAACATTGCTGTTTTAATAAAACACTAAATTGGTAACGAAACAACAAAGCCCGAGGGCTCCACAGCCTACAACTTAGGGTAATCTTAACTAATCATTTAATGTCTCTAGGTGGCTTAAAAATAGGAGATCAGTCAGGACGATAACCAGCTGCCAGCTCAGAAATCCATTTGTCTGAAATCTCGATCCACTTGGCGCAGGATCCGTGTAGGGTGGGGAATAGTAACCTACCTTAGAGGAGGCCTCTGACCCATGCTGTTGTACCCGTTGTTGTAGGATGGAATATGATGTCCCATCATGTGCATCGGCGGCGGGCCCCTCTGCATTGGCATATACGACTGCTTATATGCACTCGAGCGACGCGCCTCCTCAGCCCGCCGTTCCTCCTCGCCCATCATGTGACCCTGGTAGTTTGGAAGCGTTCCAATGGGCGTCGGCAGAAGGCTTCGTTCACTCTTGCCAGCCTCGGACTTTGATGGACGGTGCTGGTCGTGTTCGGCATAGTCCGACTTTGTTTCTCGCCGGTGAGAGCTTTCACTAGGCTTCTGGGAGTAACTTGGAGATGCCTTTAAAAATAAAAAAAATACAAAACTTTAGAAAAGGATTTGGATTTAAACGGAAAATTGCATCGCACCTTTCTTGAGATTGGAGCAGAATCAGTCGCTGACTGGGGCATTTTTATTGTTATATTATCTTCATAATCAGAATCGTATTTGTCCTTTTCCTTCTCCTTTGGCGGCTCTTCAGGAGCCGGAGTCGGTTCTGGTGACTCCGACTTGGGCTGCTCCTTTTTGCCATTGGTTTCTGTTTCCTCCGGCTTTTCTGCCTTCTCTGGTTTCTCTGGCTCCTCCGGCTGTGGTTCCTCGACTGGAGGTTCCTCTTCTTTTTCTTTTTCTTTTTCCACGGGCGGCTTCTCTTCATGCTTAACAGCTGCAATACAATATTTTTAAATCAAATGTCCTAAAATCTATTAATTTTGGTAAGCTTACCCGATTTAACATTACTGATTTTGTAGCCAGTTTCGTTTTTGAAGGCATTAACCGAGTTTCTTAAAAATCGGTTTGGAATCAACGAGCCTGGCGAGCAATTTTTCTCCTTGCAATCTGGACATTCACTGTCCTCCGATTCAAGTAATGAAGTGCGCACACCTGAGTATAATTAGACATTAACCAAGTTCTTAAACTATAAAAGATCTTATAATCTTACAATCGTCGCAAAAGGAACTACCACAGCAGGGTATCATGACTGCATCCACGAACAAATCCCGGCATATTCCGCATATCAAGTCCTCAGGTATCTCTTGGTTCTGTTCGGCTGGCAATACAAATTGCGCTTCCTGATCCGCTCTATAATTGTATTTTTGTATAAATTTTAGTTAGAAATAAACTTATCCTAGAGTACGTACTCTGGCTTGTCCCTAAAAGACCGTGGAATGCCCGTATTTCGTTTGACTTCCTGCTGGTCTTTTCCCAAAATATAGGGACAGTTTTTAATCCAGTGACCGCTCTTCTTGCACTTGTTACACCGGTAGGAAGCTGGAACTTCGCCGACTTGGGACTGACCCTTAATCCGATGGTATCTACAATATTTTTGAAATTTAATTAAAAAAGAGTCCTTTCTACCGAGTTCAGCACATACGTCTTGGGATCATAATCAACAGTACTTTGCATCATCATGGCTTGGATTTTGTCCTCCTCGCTGCCTTGCATTTTGGACAAGTCCATATTGAAGTTGTCCTGCGCCTTGTTCGTCGGCGCCGCGGTAAAGGCATTTTCCGCCGATGGTGGCTCCCAGCCCTTTTTTGGCGGATGGGCTATTGGTATTCGGGATATAATCAGTGTGGTGTTTTTGGGAATCAGGGTTCCATCTTCCTTGTACTCTGAAGGACAAAAAAAGACTGTATCTTGTGAACTTTACGAGGATCGGCGTACACAAACCTTCTTTGCTCTGGGCATTTGTGATTTGCAGATCAAAGTCGATGACCTTGCCCAGTCGCTTCTGCTGTACAATTTCCCTTTTCAAGTCTCCGACGGAAATGTGAAGACCATCGAACGTAATCGTATCGAAATTGAGAGTACTTTTGAATTTATAGTGCACCGACATATTTAAATGGTATTGCGGATCTGCGGCAAAAGATATTTTTTATTATCAGCGGTGGGTTACAAGATTACAATGTAGGTCTTAATGGATAAATAATACTGATTTATGTATATAAGACCGGACGTACAGATGCCATCTCACGAATGAGATTGGCTTGCCGCAGAGATAAGGTTTTCTCTGGAATTATCTAAGGTTTGTTAGCACAAGTACGCAATCCGATGCGAGATCAAACACATTACCAAAATAACCTTTCTAAACAGTCCGCAGAGCAAAAGTGGGCCACAAACTTATCCAAATCCACTAATATATATAATCACCACGGCTTCCGATGTTTTATTTAATCACAAGACACGTTAATGCCAACATAGGTGTGTGTGCAAGGTGAAATCTCACAATTGACGGAATAGGCAAAGGGCCGCAAACATGCAAGGGTCAATAATCAAATATATTAAAGCGCCGCACTCTTAAACCGGAACTAAATAAATTACGCGAATCGAATTTTTCAGTTATGCTAACAACAAAAACTGCATGTGCATAAAAATATACACGCGAAAACACACATTTATACAAGCGCTTTGCATCCACGAAATACGGCGTATTCAAAGTCCACGATAAACGCCTTCAACGCCGGGCGGTATGGAGCACAAGCCAATTGTCAAAAGCCGGCAAACAATTGTGGAAAACCATCAATTACTTACACTATTTTTAAGCATATTCCGACGACTTTTTTTTTTGTAGGGTTGTTGATAATATATCAAAACTAGAGGCGGAAAACATCGATATAACTATCGATTAATCTCTACTTTTGACATACTGAATTTTACATACTGTATTTTACATACTCTTCATTCAATGACTCAGTACATTCCTACTAGCATCATGAGATAATTGATGCCAGGTAAGGATAGGTAATAAATATTTATTTAAATTAAATAATAAATAAAAATTTCGATTTTCATAATATTAACTCAAATTTTAAAAAACAACAAACAGCTCCCCGACAAATAAATTATTGGTAAAATATAGTAAATATCTTTAAATAGAAACGATGGAAATGAAACAGAAACCAAGGAGTGCAAGCTCTGATTGAAAATTTCATAAGCGTATAAGTTTTTTGTTTTTTAAATATTTTTACGATTTTTTAATAAAAGAAAAACAAATCTCGGATTAGGAAATAAAGGGTTCAAAAAATTTATTAACTGAGCAGTTTAACCAAACAACAACCATTTTTTTGCTTATCTAATTATCCAAAAAATTCGTTTAATTCTTAAATTTAGACTTATTTAAATTATTTATATTTACAACTTTTGCGACAAAGTTCACGTAAAATCTAATAAAATCTATTGCTTTTGTATCACCGCCTTTTGATATTTGCACATGAACTTAATTATAATACAGGATTTCTAATTTCAATTGAATTTATGGTTTCAGGCGCTCCCTCCTTGCATCGATGTATTTATGAATTAACCAACGTAAGCAAAGGGAGGATACGGAGGAGGATAGTAGTTCGGGAAGGATCCAGAGTGCTGAACGGGAATAGTGGCTGTAATTAGTTTCGTAACAGCTGTTGGGACAACGGATGTGGAGAAGATGGTGGTGTAAGCAGTTCTCGCTCCAAAAGTAAGCTTCAAAACCTTTGAGCTGGTTTTTGTAACCATGGATTGCTGGATTTCAGTGGAAGTAATTAGCTGCTGTGGAGGAATGGGCAGTAGCGGGTTAAAGTACGGATTGATCGAGAATGGGTACTGCGATGAGGGTGGTGGCATAGAAATAGTGGCAACATCCGTGACATATTCCGTCTTCTCAACAACGCCAACCGACTTTGAGAGCGTTCTCAAAATCGTCTCGGTGCCCCTAACCAGTGGAACGACATGTGATTCCCAAAGAGTTTCCATTTTAATCACCGGACGTGTCGAAGTTACCAAATTATTCTGCACAGTTTCCGGCAAGCTAATTGTTTCCGGAATCAACGGGTTAGTCACATTGCTCTTCACCTCCACCTTGTTCTTGGGCTTGATTTTAGCATCGAATTTTCCCAAATTATCCTCATCGCCAAACTCAAGGTCCAAGTTTATTTCCGACCCGGCCTCATCCAGGTTTCCTTCAAAGTCCTTAAAGTTATTTGAGGGATTGACGTCCTCGCTCAATGGGGAAATGGTCTGAGTCACTGTTATCAGGCTGGTATAGTCGTATGTCTGGACCAGAGTTATTTGGATGGTTTCATTTCGTTTTTCAAAGATAACAGGAAGGATTTGTGTTTTTAGTTTAGTTTGGGTGATTGAAAAGGATTCGGTGATCGTTTCCAAGCTAGGAGTCTCTGTCTCCTCTCCCAAAATAATGGGTTTCAATGTAGTGATGCTACCAGCCAGGGTTTTTTCGTCCATGCTGGAAGTAGCTTCTAGGATATTCTCTGTAAGAGGACCATCCTCTTCGGTATACTCCTTGGTGTGCTCCTCTTGGATAACTTTTTCTATTGTTGAAGTTACGGTCAGAAAACGCGTTTTCTTAACAACGCCAGCCTGAAAAAAGTATTATATTATGGTTTCATTTAGAAAACTAAGTTACAATACATTATAAGAGGAGAGGAAATAGGAACTTGTCTAACCTGAAATATAAATGGAGTCTTGATGGTGGCAATTTCGTAGTAGGTGTCTATGAAAGGCTGAGGAGTGGATATTTCCACGTTCAATGTTTGCACAAAGTACTTGGAGTTGGCTTCTTCGTTATTGTTGGCAACAGGTCCATTTTGGGATCCGGATGCTTCCAAATCCCTTCCATTGTTGATGGCCTGGTTGGTGATTATCTCTGGCAGGATGTCTTCCGTTAGCAAAGTATCATTTTGGATGGTAGTGGGAACATTGGGATTGGCGTTCTTCCTAATGTTAACCTTGGGCTTCGGCGATGACTTGTACTGCCACCGTCCAGGACGTCTATTAAGCTTGAAGGTGTTGGCGCTAACGACGCTGACAGGTTCTTCCTGGACCGTATTTGCTTTGGTGCGATATGAATGGCGTACGGAGGTTTCTGTCGATGATGGAGTCACCACGACTTTGGAGCTTTGGGTATGCTTATTCCTCCTGAAAGTAGGTTTTTATATGCGTATGGAATTGTGGCAAGCTTATTAAGTTGGCGAGCAAAAAGTCAATGATTCGAAAAAGATCTCACACTTAAACAATGGCCTTACCTTTTTCCCTTGGGCCGCGATGATTTTCTTGTGCTGGAGCCTCGGTTATCGCGACCATTTTGCTGGTTTTTGCGTGACGACGACGACGACGACTTACTGGACACCAAAGTCGACGGGGCAGACTCTCTCACAGTCTTGCTCGGCTGGATGGTAGACGCCGTCACTGGTTTGTTTGTTCGCGTCTGACGTGGCTTACTCTTTTTTTCCGTACTTGAATTCGGGTACTGAGAAACTTTTGAAAATTTCGCAAAATCTTTTGTGGTAGCCAGCACGGTTTTAACCTCACTCGATCTTGTCTGGTATCCGTGATTTGGTTCTTTCTTGGATGGATACACTCTTTGGCGATCGGCATCGTTCCTCGACTTGAAGTTAACCAGACGATAGGTTTCTTCGGCATATTGCTCGGGTTGGCGCGAAAGTAGATCGTATTCAGGGGTATTCAATAGGGTTTCGATGGGGGAGTTGTTGGAAATATTATTATAGGAATCTACATAGGAAGTTTCGGTTTCTACGTGAACATTCGATTGTGTCACAATTGAAGGAGTTGGCTTGATTTCTTCTTCTTTTTTAGAATCTTCCGGCTTTGTTTCTATAATATTTATAATTTCGTGGGTACTATTCGACTTAATTTCTATAAAAAAATGAAGTTTGAAGTTCATCTATATGTTATTTATTAATTAGGGGGAAGGAAAGAAAAGGAACTCACCGAATGCAGGAGAGCTTTGTGGGGAGAATACCATAACAGTATTACCAATTGTGGTTGTAAAGTCCAAAAACCCATAAACTGTTTGAGTTAGTAACTCGGTGTCACCGCAATAAGCTGCAGATGGATAATTAATTCAATATCGTGGCTAAGACAATATATTATCATACTAAAGAGCTCGATTATGCGATATTAAATCGCACACATCCAATTAACTAATATTTATAAACGTTTCAAGGAAACTTTGAAAATGCAAACTTACCGCTTCTGAGGGCGCAAAGAATTAGCAGGTATCGTAACATCTTTACAAAGGTATACAGATCAAAAGCTTAGAAAAATTGTATAAAGTCTGAAAAGGAAAATAGTTGATATTCACAAAGATTCGATAAGTTAGTATGGAAAGAAAGCTTTCACCAAATTCGATTAACACATTTTTAAATAAATACTCCGCTGGCTGAATAATTAAGTCTTTGAATTTGGGGCAAACAAAAGACGTTGAATTTAGGATTATATTACAAGTTTTTCAAACACATCTCTTTAGTGGATGATCTCGCAAATTTGAATTGTATATCATTGGGTATATCATTGAGTTTTTATCGCAAATATATGCAATAATATACACTTTTTATGGTTTTTACAACTCTTAAAAATATTTTAGGGTTGAGGCTATATAAATTATCATTAAATCAGATTTATCATTGTATGTATCACTTGTTTCCATGCGTAATTGCTGTGGGCCTGGCCAGCATGTGGGTCGTAAAAGTGAGTGTGTACATTCAGCGATTAATTCCGTGAATTATTCATGTAAGTAGGTCTCTTATGTAAAGCTCTATATACTCGCACGATACAGTTAACTTTGTTTTGATTTCCTATGATCCGATTGTGATCGATTCGAACGTTCGATCGTTACACCATTCCGAATGCTGACTACCAGTAGTAGTGGTTTACTATCATACGAGTGGTGTACCAGTTGTTTTCAGTATATTCATTAGTCGCCGCCGTCTTGTGGCATTGAATCGCGTAAAGCAATTTTAGTAGGGTGACTTTGGTGGCACAAAAACAAAATGAAACAGAAATATGGAATACCAGAGCCTTTCGCTCTTTGACTCGCAAAAGCTGTTTGTCGGATTGTTAGATCACTTTGGCAAGTAATTTTAAAGGTACTGCCTCAACACCAAGAACTGGTCAGATCACTTTTTTCATTGTACAATGTACATCGCGTACAGCAGTTGATCAGCTTGAGTTGAATAAAACACCTTACTTGAAGCCAGTACGAATTATTTTCTCACCCACTGTATGTAACCACTCGCCTAATGCAAACGCACACAAACAGACACAGGCCAGGCTTGAAGACAATGAAACATTAGGTCATTGAGAAATATTAAATAGAGAAAGGCTTAAATCCACATCGCAAACGGCCACAGATCTTTAATAAATTCAGTTTTTTTGTCGGGACATATCACTTCAAGACCTCCACTGTATTTGGGTGTGGGTTTTTATTAAAAACTAATTCACAATATTTTCTTTATATTTTTACGATCGCCACAAATCTGCATATACATACATTTTATTGATGCATTTGTGAAAACATATTAATTCAGGCTGAAACTCAATCTCACAATGCACTGATCTGGTTAAAACATATTTCGAACGAGATCATTAAAGCACTCCACTAGACGATTTAATTATGAAACCGAAAGCGAACAAAACTGAAAAAAATATGTTTTTGGTTCCAAATTCGAAGTTGCCGCTGCCGTTGCCGCTGGTGAGCCAAAGACGAAGCATAAAGTGACTCTGAACGGAGTTACCATGGCTTGCACACATGCGCGGCACGAAGAGAACGTCAACATCATTAATTGTGTTGGCCAAAAGTAGGGGTACCCACTATGCGCCAAAACAGGTTTGCCACTGCTTTTGTTTTTCCGTTTCGTTACGTTGACGGAATTTGTAAGTGTCCGAAAGAGCTCTCAGCCATTTCTCGTCCAACACGGCGTATGAGAAAGCGGGCGGCTTTCGTTACTAACTTTTAAGCCACAAATTTTGATAGCACTACAATAAATCTGCATCAAAACCGGTTTTTGTGGTGGAATTCCTTGCAAAGTTCGCCATATTCACATACCTTTTGGGATACTCACAACCATGTCCATATCTTGCACGATTTTCATCCAATCCCCGAAAGGAATACCTTTAACCATCTGGGGTTCGATTTCCAATTAAAAATCATCAAAATTTTTGACCGACATTTTTCACTTTTTTCTGATGGCTCCCCTTCTAAAATCCAGGATTTTCAGAATTACCATAAATGGCCTCTTGCGATGCCCATATCTTGGTCAATTTTCAGCCGATCCTTAAAAGGAATACCTTGAAAGATTTCTAGTTCGATTTGCAATAAAACTGCATCAAAATCCTGGAACGAAATTTTTGATCTACATTTTTCACTTTTTTCTGATGCTCCCCTTCTAAAATCCAGGATTTTCAGAATTACCATAAATGGCCTCTTGCGATGCCCATATCTTGGTCAATTTTCAGCCGATCCTTAAAAGGAATACCTTGAAAGATTTGTAGTTCGATTTCCAATAAAACTGCATCAAAATCCTGGGACGAATTTTTTGACCGACATTTTTCACTTTTTTCTGATGGCTCCCCTTCTAAAATCCAGGATTTTCAGAATTACCATATATTGCCTCTTGCGATGCCCATATCTTGGCCAATTTTCAGCCGATCCTTAAAAGGAATACCTTGCAAGATTTGTAGTTCGATTGACCGACATTTTTCACTTTTTTCTGATGGGACCCCTTCTAAAATCCAGGATTTTCAGAAATACCATATATAGCCTCTTGCGAAGCACATATCTTGGTCAATTTTCAGCCGATCCTTAAAAGGAATACCTTGAAAGATTTGTAGTTCGATTTCCAATAAAACTGCATCAAAATCCTGGTACGAAATTTTTGACCGACATTTTTCACTTTTTTCTGATGGGACCCCTTCTAAAATCCAGGATTTCCGGAATGACCATATAGGGCCTCTTGCGATGCCCATATCTTCGACAATTTTCAGCCGATCCTTAAAAGGAATACCTTGAAAGATTTGTTGTTCGATTTCCAATAAAACTGCATCAAAATCCTAGAGCGAAATTTTTGATCGACATTTTTCACTTTTTTCTGATGGCTCCCCTTCTTGGATCCGGGATTTTCAGAATTACCATATATGGCCTCTTGCGATGCCCATATCTTGGCCAATTTCCAGCCGATCCTTAAAAGGAATACCTTGAAAGATTTGTAGTTCGATTTCCAATAAAACTGCATCAAAATCCTGGTACGAAATTTTTGACCGACATTTTTCACTTTTTTCTAATGCTACCCCTTCTATATCCAGGATTTTCAGAAATACCATATATAGCCTCTTGCGAAGCACATAGCTTGGTCAATTTTCAGCCGATCCTTAAAAGGAATACCTTGAAAGATTTGTAGTTCGATTTCCAATAAAACTGCATCAAAATCCTGGTACGAAATTTTTGACCGACATTTTTCACTTTTTTCTGATGGCTCCCCTTCTAAAATCCAGGATTTTCAGAATTACCATATATAGCCTCTTGCAATGCCCATATCTTGGCCAATTTTCAGCCGATCCTTAAAAGGAATACCTTGAAAGATTTGTAGTTCTATTTCCAATAAAACTGCATCAAAATACTGGGACGAAATTTTTGATCGACATTTTTCACTTTTTTCTGATGGCTCCCCTTCTAAAATCCAGGATTTTCAGAATTACCATATATAGCCTCTTGCGATGCCCATATCTTGGCCAATTTTCAGCCGATCCTTAAAAGGAATACCTTGAAAGATTTGTAGTTCGATTTCCAATAAAACTGCATCAAAATCCTGGGACGAAATTTTTGACCGACATTTTTCACTTTTTTCTGATGGGACTAAAATCCAGGGTTTTCAGAATTACCATATATGGCCTCTCGCGATGCCCTTCAAGGGGCCCAAAGGAGTCCTTGAAAGATTTGAATTGAACCTACTTGATTCTTCTTCTATTGCCTACCCTCTGAAGAGCGAAAAATAATTTGTAGAGCCCCATATTTAAATCAAGGTACATTTATGAAATAAATTTAATTCTCGTCTAAAATAATATTTTTGGATAAGCTAGTTGAGGTCTAGCGGTGGTATGCATCGTAGGCTCTCCAACGGGCATTACAACAGTCGTAGGCCACTCCCATGCCGACTCCTAGGCCAAGCCACATCGGGTACGTATGGGGACGTGTGAAGAAGAGAGTGACCACGCCGCCGATTAGGAGACCACTTCCCCCCTTGAGGCAAAAGTCCGTGATGCACTTGTCGTGGGTAATGCTCTCCTCAGACCGAACAACAGGCTCCTGGACTTTCTTTTCGGGTTTGGGTGGCTCCTTTTTGGGGTTCTTTTCCGGTTTCTCCGGTTCCTTGGCCATTACTTAATATTATTACGATTTTGAGCAGTTTTCCAGATGTGTAACAACAAATGTGTACCTTGACATTTAATGGAAATAAGTCTAGACCCTAGACTTTTTTGGGCATTTCGAATTTCGGGGGTGACTTTTGGGGCATTATGGGGTTAACAGCATTCCGATGGGTGACGTAGTCGCGAGAAATAAAAACAGTACCCCACCAAAATGGAGATGGATGGACTGCCATAGTTACAAAATCCTAGCAACAATATTTTTGTGTATTTTTGCCATGGTAACCGGAAACCTCGCGTGCCTTGAAAGATTGCGAACAGTGTCGCCTAAGTTCAAAACACGGAAAGATGTGAAGGAATCGGACGAATCATGAAGTGCAAAAGGAACTTCCTAGCTGGTTTAGCTTTGTTTTATCACATAGTCAGTAACTATAGTTTTAAATACGCGCAATGTGTGGACGCACCGTTTATCCATATTCCGGGCAATGGAGTTATATCCGGGACATATTTGAAAATGTTTCGAACCCTGAATGTTAAAGCTTATCTGGGCATTCGTTACGCACATGCCAGGAGATTTTCACCTCCGGATATCGAACTAACACCATGGAAGGGGATATTCAACGCAACCTCATTCGCTCCGGACTGTTGGCAAAATCCAATGCCTTCCGTGGCCAAAGAAACCGAACAAATCCGTAAAATAATAGCTTCCGAAACGAGTTCCGATGATGGTGGCAGAAAATACGAAGAGAACTGCTTGTATCTTAATGTTTTTGTACCTGATGGTAAGTAAAAGATTGTTTTCCATCCTTAAGATGCAAAAATAAAATACAAAGTGAAACGATAGATACATTTTTGAAAACCCACTTCCTTTTCTTTTAGGCCTGCCTGGACCGAACGGATATGCTGTGGTTGTGTGGATCCATTCCGGAGACTTCTCCACTGGTAGTCCCACGGACGTGGTGCCCTTCCAGTTGGTGTTTAAGCAGAAAGTTATAGTCGTTACCTTCTCGTATCGCCTGAATATATTCGGTTTCTTTACAACCGACGATGGCGAGGCCCAGGGCAACTACGGTCTAATGGATCAATCCGCCGCCCTGTATTACGTGAAGAAAAACATTAATTATTTTGGCGGGGACGCGAATCGGATTACCCTTATGGGTCACGATGCCGGAGCGATAAGTGTGGCCCTCCACATGACGTCGGGCGAGTGGTCGAAGGGCGGCTTCCACAAGGCCATCATTATGTCCGGCAATCCCCTGACCACCGTTAAAATGCCGTACGAATACGAGGGCTCCCTGGATCAGGTTTCGAGCACTTTCGGTTGCCCCCGGAGACCAACTTCGCTGTTCATGCAATGCCTGAAGCGAGTGGATGGAAAGCGACTCTCGGAGAACCTTCCCTCGGTCAGCTGGGGACCTGTTGTCGACTTCGGATTGAGCAACTCCTCCTATCCGTTCATCGAAAACCAGCCCGAGACGCTCTTCAAGAGGGGAAGCTTTCACAAGGTGCCCGTCATCATCGGAGTCACGGACATGGAGGAAGTGCTGACCCTCTTCAAGGACAATCTGGACACGGAACTTAGCTCTTCCGATCTGGAGGAGTTCTTCGGAGATATCGCTGTGACCGACATGCACAAGCTGGTCCGGAATAGCGAATGGTGTTCCAACTACGAACTCATTTCGGACGCCATCAACTTCATGTACGCCAATGACTCGGATACGGACGTGAAAAAGGCCAACAAGCAAATCATGAGCGCCCATACGGAGAAGTTCTACATCACCCCCATGCAGATGTTCACCGACATGATCAGCAAGGACAATACGGTGTACAGTTACCTCTTCAAGACACGACCAAAGTCCGCGTTCCAGGATCTTCCCAGCTGGGTGAGTGTGCCCAAGTACTTCGACCAGGTCTTCGTCTGGGGCAATCCGTACATGACAAATGCCATCGATTGGAAGTCGAACGATAAGATGATTGCGGATATAGTCATGACTTTGTGGGCGAACTTTGCGAAAACCTCGAATCCCACAAATGCGAATATTTACATAAAGTGGAACCCCATAACCCCGAATAATAACTCCGTGCTTCTAATAGACGAGAGCTTCAATACGGACAACTTGCTGAACAACCCACGGGTTAACTTTTGGAAGTCGTTGTACCCGAAGATTCTGTACTTCTCCGCCGATTGTTGCAACTCCACCAACTCCGGCGGCTCCCTGACCATGATCGTAAAGTCCCTTCCAATACTATGTACTCTTCCCATAATCGTTAATATATTTTAAATACAAAATACAATCCCTGCAAATATACCGCTTAGATCCTCTGTCAATAATCTGTCCTACCGTTGAATATATATAAATAAATAAATAGAGACAAGAGAACCATCGATCCTGGTGTTTCAAATATTTCGTTTATTGGTCGTTTTGGTTCGAAACATATAGATAGAGTGTTCGGTGCCATATATATCCTTAAATGATAGTTCGAATGGGTTGTGGGGTTTCGTTTTTCGCCATTCAAAGCATATAGTTTCAGTCGCAGCTTAGAATGCTATTTCGATTCTTACTTTCGAAAACACATACAACTATTATACCAGTCACCACTAACTGCATTTCCAATCTAATCTTCGTGTTTGGAGCTAAAATTTAGATTTGAATTTCCGGGAGAAGTGCAATACTACCCTTTATCGTAAGCCTCAAAAATGTGGGCGCTTAAGGACTGAGGAACCCAATCAACAATTTGGAGCTTTTGGAAATCGGGATCAGTCCTTAAGCACGCTTTTTTGGTCGCAGATTTAAGCCATTGTCAAGGTGCCAGCTCCGATGCCATAGCCCACGCCCTTTGGCCCGTAGAACTTGCCGTAGCAGGATCTGCAGTAGATGTTGCCGTCGGGTCCGTCGTTCAGGTTGGTCGAGTCCAGGTACTTTCGGCACTCCGAGCAGTAGAAGCACAGCTTGTGCCAGACGTGACTCTTGCTCTTCATCTGCTCGGCGGCGTAAACCATGAAGCCACATCTGGGGCATCCGTTCTCCGACTTGGGGCCGTTCCGGTCGATAGCTCCCCAACTGGAAGTCAACATTTTACACTAAACTCTATACTAACTTGAGAGATGCACTCACCAGTTGGGAGTATACTCGTAACTAGTGGACACCAGGGTTGGTGTGTGTCCGTATCCGACTCCTTTTGGTCCGTAGAGCTTCGCGTAGCAGAGCTTGCAGTAGATATTGTCATCCGGACCGTCACAGGCCAGGACAGAGTCCAGGGGTCGGTGGCACCTGGCACAGTTGAAGCACTTCCTGTGCCACATCTTCCCCTTGGACAGCTGCAATTCGGCAGCAAAGACTGCACCACCGCATCGAGGACATCCCTCCCCATCCGGAGCCTTGATCGAGGTGGTATCCGGACAGACGAACGGCCGCTGGGACGCGATGTCCTCCAATCTGTAGAGTATTATTTCATTGACTATCCGGCCCCTGAAGAGAAACTACCTACGATACGCCATCGGTTTGCAGGAAACTGGACCCGCAGGCGAAGCCGTAACCGTGAGGACCCCACTTCTTGCCGTAGCACGTTTTGCAGTGGACCTCATTGTCCGGGCCATCGCACGCGATGATGGAGTCGAGGGTCTTGGTACAGTCCCGGCACTTGAAGCACTTTCTGTGCCAGGGTCTGCCCTTGGAGAGAACCTGTTCCGCGGCGAAAACCACGCCACCGCAACGCGGACATCCTTCGCCCAGAGGGGCCTGGATTTGTTCCACATTAATGGCGGCTGTTTTTGGTGCCATTTCGCTAATAAAGATAAAGGGTTCTTATTTTTTTTAGGGCCTTGTGTTAAGCATTATGGCACTACCTTTGCCATTCGGAATCCTTGATGTCGGACATCAGTCCCAAGGACGAAATACCAATGTGCCCATAGCCCCTGGCGCCAAACTTTTGCGCATAACAACCTATATTATTTAATAGTTATTCTTAAGAAATAAAAAATCAATATCATAGTAGATGTGTAAGGATACCTCTACAGTAAATGTCCTTATCGGGACCATCACAGTGCAGAGTTGAGTCGAGAGTCTTGTTACATTGTATGCACTTGAAGCACCTCCGATGATATCCCTAATTTAGAAAATAATTAATAGAAAGTGTGCCCCCGAATATGAAAAGATGTGTCGCGAATCGCGATTGGTTGGGGCTCCCGGGCCTTTCTCACCTTTCCTCTGGCCAGCATCTGTTCGGCGGCATAAACATAGATACCACACCGGGGACAGCCTTTCCCATCAGGTGCCTTGGGTGGAATTTTTGGCTGAACAAATCTGAAAAAGATTCAGATGCTTCCCTCAATTATATGTAGTTCTTTAAACGGACATTCATTTGGGGGGATCATTACCCGCAACGAAAGCCACCACATCCACTATTTCCTCTATTCGTCTTAGTCACCGAAAACGAACCAAGAGAAATACGGAAAGGTCAGTCCGACTACGACGGACTACGCTTTGGGGGAATACACAATTCGATAGAGGGGGCTTCCATATAGACACACACAGCGACAGACAGAGAAAACAAATAGTCTCTTTAAATAGAACGTGAATAATCTTAAAAATAAATTCTTTTATTGTACCCACAATATATTTTATCAGTTTACAGTAAACAAAATACAACAATTTATTAATACCATAGAACCATATAGGTCTATATATATATATATTATATGTACAAGTGGAATATTTCCAGTTGGGGAAATGAATACCCCCCGGGTGGTGTTCTTTTTTGGCCCCAAATACAAATAAGGAAAATCCGACAAGTGGGTACGAGTACAACTGGGGGAGTGATATATAGGTAATATGTAGGATGCACCCACTTGAATGCAATGAAAAACATTAAACACATACAGATTCTAATAGAAAGCAAAACTACACATTTAATTCAAGGAATTTTACACTTTTCATACAAAACATATACTTTTAATTTAGTCCTTACTCTCTGTTTAAGTGGGCGCCAGTGTCCATGGACAGGCAGCCGGCACCACCACCGAAACCGTATCCCTTAGGACCGTATTTGCGTCCGTGGCAGTTTTTGCAGAAAAGCTCCTTCTCGTGCTCCGTGCAGTTTGTCGAGTCCAGGGCCTTGTTGCACATGCCTGAAAAAGGGGAAATTTTTCAATTTTTATCCAAATTGGAGGAGGAGCTCGTAGCTTCTTGATATCCGAAATCCATTGTCCTGGATACTTACTGCACTTGAAGCAGGTCTTGTGGAATTTGTAGCCTCCGGCAACGCGCTCCTCGGCGGCGTAGACCGACTTTCCGCACGCAGGGCACTTGGGGGTTTCCACGGGAACAAAAGGCATTTTGAGGTGTGTGAGAGTGCGTGTGTCTACGAAACAAAATTAAACTCTAATTAGTCCAATTGCAATTGGCATGGGTTGGGTGGCGGGTGGTCGGTCAGTAATCAGTAATCAGTAATTTCGCGCGATATTCAAGAAATAATGTATATAATGTATAAAATACCTTCGGAGGTACTCTTGTGAAGTAGTTCCTATTCGTCGGAAATGCCGCGGACTAGACTGGAAAGATTCTGCACACAGGTAGTCTATATTTGGGGATGCACACGGCACAACTAAGAAAATACAGTTTGCGTAATAAAAACAGCACTTTCTGAATATATCATTATTTATCATGCAATACACACAGCTGGCTGTGTGTGTGGGGGGGACTGTGTTGTACTCTCTCGGGCTATATCCGCGCCGATGTCTCATTCCTGTTAACCCGGCTGGTAACAGCTCAGTTACTTGAATTTTTCCTTTGCCCCAAACACTCCGGTGTCCGGGGGCACTTTGATTTTCGAAAAAAAAATACCGGTTTTTTTTAACACTCACTGCACCATAGAGTGGGCGTGGGTTTCGTTTTTTTTTATGTTTTCTTTATTTTTGTTTAGAAAAATCCGAGGGATATATAAAGTTTTTGAGTTGGCTTACATAGCCCAGGTATATATGTAGGTACATACATATATGTAATTACATATATATCAAGCCGATTTTACGCAACAATTAATTTATTAGCTTTCGGCACGCACACCACCGCCACCGTGCATGTAAAGATGTATGTATGTATGTATATAGGTTTATAGTCTAAAAATATATGAACACACCATACACGATATATATCAAAGTACATTCATGGCCTTATTTTAGTCTTAGGAATACGAAAATAACTCATAACTGGCCAACCCAGATCCATAAATAAATGACTTGCGCATACATTTATTCATATGAACCCCACGATGTTATGATATTTGTAAAATAAAATAAATACGCGATGCTGTGTACATGCAATCTTCGATCTTCAGATTCAAATCGGTCAGATTGCCATTTGAATAAACATTGAGAAGTGCTCCAGTTTAGAAAACATCACGGCATCTGCGATATCTACGAGTGTGTGTTTGGAAATCGGGGATCGAATAGCCACAAGTGTTTCATTCGATGAATCCATCCTATCCATCCATATGCATATGAATATGAATATTTTTCATCATCATCATCAACAGCATCAGATGCGATGCCCATGTATAAACATATCTATTAATAAAACCTGTATCTAGGTATTTGTTAATTGTAAATCGCTCACTTGCGATTGGCAATGAGCCTAACAGATTTATGAAGGCCAGACCTATTGACTCGTGATTTTTAACAATATGGATTGCCCGCACATTTCCAACATTATATCCATATAGATATATTTGTATAGATGGCTAAGATACCATTATTATCGGTAATAGCGGTTCTTCAACACCCATTTGGTCTGGCGACAGTTCAGGGTTAGCTGCAGACATGTCGGGAATTATCCACTGCCAACACGGAAGCCTTTTTTAATTACCACTATGGTTTGGCAATTAATCTCAAATAAATACTGTAGGCGACACTGAATCATTCCTAATTAATGAACCCTCCAATAGAATAAGTAATTGGCAAAAGAATTTCTCTTCACCATTTGCCGTTTTTCTGTTGGTCTTTACAAATTTTGAAACAAGGTCGCTGACCTGGTAGCCTTTTGTTTAGTAACTAATGCCTCACCTTCAACTTCTTCGCTAGCCTCTATATATATTTTTTTTTGCATATGTAAGTGTCTTGGTCGGATTTAGCATAACAAAGACTACCATTTACAACTCATTTGCAGATGCTGGGGATTTCAGCGTCATTTATCAGTTTATCAGATATCTTTTATTGTTTGTTATTATTTAAATAGTTAAATTATTTTAATTACATTTGACTTCATCATTTATTAAACCATCCAATATTAATCGTAATTTATACAAATTACAGTCGCTGCAATACAAATTATAAAAAAAAATCATGTATATCGCTTACAGTCACTGTAGTGTTTTGTTGCTTCATTTAAATTATGTGGAATCCGACTTTAATCGATTTGCAAACTCAACTTGCTGAATCTCCTTCCACTCTTTTTTTGGTTTCATTCGCTTCAACTGTCCGTCCCAGACCAGATCAATTAAGCCTCCCTGCTTGGCAATCACACTCTTGACGCGATTCGCAAAATCTATCGCGGACTCGCCCTCCTGTCGGTACATTGGCGGCAGATACCACACATCGCACACGATGGCCCACGAGGTCATCATCATGTACAGATACTGCATCATTGAGTACTTGGCACTGTTCCAGAACGCATCACCGAATCTCGGATCATACCTGGGGGGAACACCATATTTTAAGATACAATATTAAATAAACTCTGCGTAGAGACTCACTTGATGGCGACCGGATAGATGACGCCGCCTACTTCGAAGCTGCCCTTTTTAAACTGCATCACGGAAGTGTTGTTGATGCAGGTTCCCTCCGGGAAGATGAGAATCGGTGGATTGTTGGGATCCGATACGTGCTGCTTCAGCCTCTCGGCAACCAAATGGCGATCCTTCGCCTCGCCTCGCTCGAACCAAATGTGCGGCGAAGCTCTGGCCAGGGCTCGTTGGAGGACGCCCAAGAAGCCACCATGGCGTTGGCCAATCTACAAAACGACGCGGGTCCAAGTTAGCTTACTTCGTAAAGTCTCTTTGCAACACCAAACATAGAAAGCACATTTAAAAATAAGCAGACATGCAAATCATAAAACCATCACCAAGGCAAAATAAAATTCGGGTTAGTACCTGCATGTGCATGGAGGGGAAAGCCAATTTTCTAATCATGTATGATTAAGGGTTTAAACTGCCATCTACCCAGGCAGAAATGATTATAAAATTATCATTTTATTAATAATATTGGTGAGAATACAAATAATTTTCAGGATAAAATCGTAAAAAATGAGAAGAGAACGAAGTTCGCTACAAATTACTTTATAATTTTGGATTCTAGTTCCAATTTAGGAAACTAAAGAAACAAATTCAAATAAAAAAAACAATCAAAATTATCTATAAGTATTTCGAAACAGTGTTAGGTATCTGGATAGTGACTAAATGAAATGCCTTACCAGGGAGTAAGTGGAATCGCACATCAAAACCAGCACATCGATTGGGCTGGTATGATTGGCAACACAAATACCGGATGACGGGCGATTCTCCTCATTGTGGTAAGTGATTACCGCCGATATCGCGCTGGATAAGACGCCGAAGCACATGCTAAGCACTTTATTGACCACCTGGCGCTTATAGGGCCCATCCTTCAGATAGCCCACGGCTGCCGTGCAGACCGTTAACCACACTACCTAAGATGGCACAAAATGAAAATGGGAACATTGAGGGAATTCAGTTTATAATGAGCTTGAACTTCTGGTGCAGATTGACTTGATTGGGGTTGGATTTTTGGGGGGTTGGATTTGGGGTCACTGAAAATCGTTTGAAAAGGATTTTATTGCTGGTGTTAACTTTACATAATTGGCTTATTGACTCACATTTTAGACTCATGTTCTTAATGTGTGTGCGTCAAGTCAGTCAATTATAGACCCGACCTATGTGCATTCATAGATTATTCTGTAAATAGAGTGACGTGAATATTCTGATATCTTAACCCTTTAAGATTGTTTTCTTAGATTGCGCAATACGTCAATTTTTGATCACGCGTTATCGTTCAATTGGAATCTAAAGGTCAGCTTTTAATTCTCTCGTACTGAAAATTGATTGGGGGCCAAGCCCTCCCCACACTGCCCCATAAAACCGCTGAAAGTAATCGCTGGCAGCAAATCATAATGGAAAATAATCCAAAGAAAACCATAAACGCAATAAGCAAAATAATAAATTAATAGTAATCCAATGCTTACCTTTCCGGATTACCTTTTAGCATACGGATACTGCAAGCGGAGTAATAAACGAACAATTTTAGAGACACACAATTAAGCGGGACGGAGACAAAAGCGATTGCTACTTAGACAACATTTATAATTGCACCCGTTTAATGGTTAAATTCATGCATACACTGTCAACATTTCTGCTGATTTCTGAGCCCAATTATCGGATAAGTTATCAAGTTGTTATAAAAACAAAATTTATGCCAACAAGGCTGGCCGAAAGTTATCGATGCTTGTACGTATAGGTATGTTAATATATGTCGGGTCTAAACTCCATGTCCAAAAAGATAATGGCTATCGGCCATGGCAAGCGCACACGGTAAACCGTGTGATAACAAGAATCGGAAGAAAACAAATAGAACCGTTGAGTAGTATATCTTCAGTTACTAGGTTGTCGGCCAATAAACAATTGTATTTATGGCTGAATATATATGGATATTCCGAAGAAGGGTACAACGATTCTTATTTAACTTTGAAGTTAGTTCTACTTTAAAACAAACACTTGGGGATGCAATTCTCAGTGTTACATGCATGAATTTTTAAATTCTATATGAAGCCATTTTGAAATGAAGAAATTAAGATAAAACTTCTTTCTCACCAAAGAATAGGTACAATCTGTCGAGAGTATCGCCACATCCAAGGGAGAGGTATGGTTTGCTACACAGAACCCAGAAATCGTGGGCTTATATTGCTTATTGTGGAACTTTATAAGGGATGACAAAGAACTTGCTATAAGGCGGAACGTGATTTTGAATGACAAGCTGGCTAAAGAGTTCCGTAAATATCGGAAAGGTATTAAAGCCACAATAAAGTTAGCAAATACTGTAAATAAAACCTAGGAATCAAATGGTATTATATTAGAAAATGATTAAATAAATATTAAATTGGGCAAACAAGTAACATAAACTGGCTTTAAAAACGCGAAAACTTCTACAAAATATACAAAAATATAATAAATAAATTAGAAAATAGATTAAACTATTACACCACATTATCTAACTTCGATTAGCAAAGGAAAAACATTTAAGCTGCGCTGAACGATTCAAGATCTTTTTCGCTTTGGTTTCTTCGCCTAACTATTCCCCTTTTAAATCTTCCTTGTCTTGTCTGTTCAGTCCCCCACCCCTCATCGAACAGTTGAAAGTTTTCCGGAGTCAAGTCTTGGTGTAACAAAACCACTGAATCAAACAATTACACTTACACCAACGAAGCAAACCAATACTCGGAGCGGCATCAAAAATACATATCGTATAAAGAAGCCGACCATCCATATTAGAGTTATTTTCCAGGAAATGAATTCGTAATGTCTGTTGGTGCGTGTCAGCATATTCCAGTTCTTCAACTCCTCAGCCTCGAAACGGGATGTAACATCGTCTTCGATAATGGCTTCAACGCCAGATTTCACATAGTCCAAACATTTTTCAAAATCAAAGTTAATTTCATCCTGGATAGTAGAAGGTGACACCGATTAGATTAGAATTAATGCGAGATAAGTACTGGGGTACCTTTGTGGACGAAACGGGTTTCTCTGGCGCTGGTTCTTGAGCTTGGGGAAGGAGGACTGCATCTCTGGTAATCAATGGAGCCACTCCATTTGTAGCCTCTTTGGAATCCGCATCGTCAACTAGTTGCACTCCCTGTTTGTCGTCAGTCTTTGGATTGCGGGAAAATATCTGGTTTTCTTTGGATGCTGTCTCTATACTGACACGGCCGTACTAGAAATGGAAATACATTTAGTTATAATCAAGTTGTCGCCGGATTATCTACTGATAAGAATATTATATGTCTAATCGAGTGAGGTAATGATTGGCAGAACATTCTTTTCTCCACATGGCAATTTAAGGAATATTAAAGGATTTTCACATCCATAAACTAAACGATTCCATACAATTTTTGAAAACGCTTAGAGAACCCTTTTTTTGTTGCCTCTGAAGGTTGTGTACATATGTACGTAGGGTAGACATATCAGTTTTACGCTGACTATATTTATGGACTTTGGAGTGTGACACAGTCTGAATTAGCTTTACTTAATGGAGTAGGAAATCATTCACAAATCACATCATTAACTCACTTTTCTCGAAATAAAAGGATTAACGGTTCGCGACTTACCTCAAATATCCTTAGGAGAAGGTTCACATAGGCCTTCCGCACTCCGATGGATTTGTTGATTGCGGAAATGAAAACCAAAAATGACAGAAACCCCCCGAGAGGAATCCAGAATATGCTGAGTAGCGCACTGATCATTTTACATTTGATTCATGAGACATTAATTATTGTGGAGTAAAATGCGTCTGAATTTGGTTTATTGTGAACTTGTGTTCTTTAGGGCTGTTGATAATATATCAAATCATCAACATATCGATATATCGATATTATTCTTATCGATTCTTCGCTTGTTGCATCCTTCACGTTCCTTTTTCACTTGTTCCTAAAAAAGTTAATTTCTTAATTCTTTACAATTTTTATATATTCGAATTCGAAAAAATCAATATTTTTACTTTAAATAATAAATATTATAAAATACAAATTATTTTTAACTGTTAATTGGGCCCTTTATTCAAATAACTTCAAAAAATAAAGTCTACGCATGGCCAATTGGCTTTTACTTATGAGGTAAGTATTTTTTTAAAACTATTCTGTATTTCATGTTGACCATGGCTCTATTTTTGTAAGAATCTATTTAGTTACTTGAGTTAAACAAAGAAAACGCATAGGTGTATACAGCACATTCCAACGCAACAGGTCGATAAATAGGGAATGGAGATTTTTTATCGAAAGTGTGGACAAAGCGTGCTGGATGGTGTTCCTCAATAGTGTTTGTTTTATGTTGGCAGTTCCGTTGAATTATTATTATTACTATTATTTATTGCAACGAAGTTTAATTTTAACACCTTTATGTTATAGTTTCGTTTAAGAATATGGAGTGATATGTATATGGCCGGACATATATATACACTACATGCTTGATAAGATAATTTTATGTAGTAACTTTTTGTATACAATAAGTGCCTTTTTATATGTTAACGACCATGTCTTCAAGCAATACAAACAGCCTGATTGAGAAGGAGATCGCTGATGAGGACATGTTGCCGCCGATTAAGTCGCCCAACAACCTGGTTTTGCGCGTAAACCAGGACACGGACGACAATTTGCGACTCCTGTTCGACAGCGTGTTGAATCCGGGTGACGCCAAGCGTCCCCTGCAGCTCCCCTTCCGCATGCGGAAGTTGCCCAACTCTTTTTTCACGCCCCCGGCCCCCTCACACTCGCGGGCCAACAGCGCCGACTCCACCTATGACGCTGGCTCCCAATCGAACATCAGCAGTCTCAACAGCATCAGCAGCCTCGCCAACGCGGCCCAGCCCGTGGACGGGCAGCCGGCCATATCCGCCATCCCACAGATCCAGCCGTCGCCGCAGCAGAGAAACCTGGCGATACATCACTTTCGCGCTCGCAGCAGCCCCGCCTCGCTGCAGCAAAACTACAATGTCCGTCAACGTAGCGATCCGACCAAGCCATCCAACCAGCCACCCACTGCTGGGCCCACTTTCCCCGAGAATAGTGCTGCCGAGTTCCCAAGCGGTGGGGCTGGTGCTGGTGCCGTAGCCGGAGCTGGAGCTCCGGCAAGTAGCATTGAGCTGGACGGCATGTCCATGGTTGAGGACATGCCGATGTCCACGCAGACAGTGCACAAGAAGCAGCGCTCCTATGACGTGGTAAGCCCCATTCAGTTGCAGTTGCTACGGGGTGCCTTGCCGCCAGGATGGGAGCAGGCCAAGACCAACGACGGTCAGATTTATTACTTGAAGTGAGTACAAAGAAACCAAAACCAAGAAATATATTATTTTTATCATCCAAATTATATTTTCCAGCCACACTACAAAAACGACGCAGTGGGAGGATCCAAGAATTCAATTTCAACGCCAACAGCAAAACATAATGGCCGAGCGAATAACGCAAAATGGTAAGTTGATATTTAATTACAAATAATTTATAAAATTAGAACTTAAAGAACTTAAATGGTAATGCTCTTCGAAGATGAAAATGAATATAGGATTCGAAATGGTTGAGGATTCGAAATGTTAGGAATCCCCAAGGAGTGGGAATGGCCCGTTTTGGATAATTTTCTATGATTTTGTTTAATTTTTCAAATACTCTGATAGTTTTTTTTTCAAAATCTCCTTATTTTTGATTCTTCAATACATTGTTTAACGCCCGTTTACAAATTTTTTATTTATTTTCGGTTTGTAAATCATCGCTTTTGTTTGATAGAAGTTTTGCAAACTCCGAAACCAACTACCACATCGGCCATTGCTAACAACTTGGATCCACTGCCGGATGGTTGGGAGCAGGCACTTACTGAGAACGGAGACATTTACTTTATAAATCACATTGCTCGAACGACTTCATGGAATGATCCCAGAATGCGTAAGTCTCGTTCCCACTCACACACCAAACCACCAACTAGCGTAAGCAGTTAGACAAGTGACTTGTTGGCCCTCGGTCTATGTCTATAGAGATATTGCTAGATAACGCTCGAATACGCATACACACACTCACACTTGTATATATATCCACTAGTTATAGAGAGGGCGGGTGGGGGTAGATCACGTTACTCCCATGACACCCCTTACTGTCTATATACTGCGCCGGATCTTAAGATAGACATTATACAAAGTTTATTCTTGTCGCCTAGGTTTATTAATATTATCCATTACCATATTTCTTTGCAGAACCTGTCCCTGGGCTTAGCGTGCTTGACTGTCCAGATAACTTAGTGTCTTCCCTTCAGGTGGGTGCCTCATGACCGAATTCCAATTGGAGCATGTAACTGATAACCTTTGTCCTTTCAGATTGAGGATAATATTTGCAGTAATATGTTCAACGACGCACAGACCATTGTAAATCCACCGTCTTCCCACAAACCTGACGATTTGGAATGGTATAAAATCAATTAATTGAAATGTATACATACATCTGTATTAGACCTAAAAGTTTTATATTTTGTATTATTCTAAATTAAATATTTTTCAAATTTTATAGTATTTCTTTATGTACAACTTATTGAAGTTTGTGTGTTCATTAAAAACAAAAAACGTTTCTGTGGCTTTAATTCATCATCAAAATTTCTATGATTAATTATATTAATACAACTACAATATACATAAAAATGCTAATAAAAAAAAACAAAGATAAACCTCCTGGTTAATCAATTCAAAAACACTGGCCTTCTGATTTTCAATCTCCGAAGAGAGAGTTACGGAGAAACCATCTGTAGGTGTGGTCAGCGGCGATGACTCATCTAAAAATAACGCATCACCTCTCCACATTTTTGAGAAGTGCAAGTTAAGCGAAACTGATTTCCACTGCAAACAATTGGGGTTTGTATTACGATGCGGTACTGCCAGGTACCGCCATGAGGTTTCTCCAAAGAAGTACATACATATTCTAATAAATCCGAAGCAAAGTCACCATGGAAAGTATCATCTGGTCCATGAATCACTCCAAAAACGTTCTAAACTTTCTGTTTAAATAAAATGACTCACTTCTGCAGTTTCCATAGCAATTAATTGAGAACACATTCGTTAGATATTCGTTATCTATTAAATATTAGTAATTTTATTTTTTAACTATAATAATCTTACAATTTTACAAAATTTCTATAAAAGCGTACAACAACAGTAATTTTTTTTTTGCCGATTTTCTTGCGTCAAATTCATCTCTCGAACAATTGTGGCGAATACTTCGTTTACGTTTATCCGATCCTTAGCTGATGCTTCAATAAATGGACAGTCCCACAGTTGTGCCAAGGCATTACCTTCAAATATTTAAAAAATTAATAGCTTGAATATAAATATCAATGAATTAAATGCGTACCTTCAGCGGTGGATACCTCTCTTTGGCAATCTAAATCAAATTTGTTCGCGACTAGTAGGATGGGTGCTGGCTGACTTCCTTTAACTCGAGTGATCACATTTTTCATACTAGATATATCCTGTAGAGAAATGAGATTAGTTTAGGTTTCATAAAGAGAAAATAATAAAGATAAGAGGACTTTCATTACCTGAAATGTCTGATGATTGGTTAGTGAATACATTACAATAAAACCATGACCGTTTTTGATGTAGAGATCTCGCATGGATGCAAATTGCTCTGTGCCCGCTGTATCGAGGATTTCCAAAACGCATGGCGAGCTGTCAACCTGTTTACAAAAAAAGATAACATTAATGTTTACTCAATAAAAATAGAACAAAGGACTTGGCGCCCCACTCCAGAGAGCGGCGCGGCAGCCCGCCCACTCGATTGAATGAATACATGTTACGAAGCTCAATGGATATCTACTCATAAACATTCAGTTTGTTTTGGTTTGACCAGTTCCAGTAATTATTTACTTATTGATATTAAGTTTTCTCGGGGGGGTTGTGCAAGTGTTTTTACATACATAGGAGTATTGGGCGTGGGAGTACGCGGAAGAAATATGCACTTTCTTTGTCCTCCAATGAATTAGTTGAGCATTTGATTAACCCCCCGGGTTTTTCACAATGATAAAGATTTAAGACGTATTTTTAGAATAAATACTCAGTTTCATTAAATCGCGAAATATTACTTGATTCTTTGCATGTAAATGTGTGCATGCATGTGTCATTTATATCTTACGAACGAGTTTAGGAGGCAGAATAAAACGAGAGTTGCATTGTGGGCTGGGCGAATGTACTACATACATAAGGGTAAAAATGCAGTTTGCCGACGCAGTCTTGGGCGCTAAAGATATCAATTTTAAAGATACATATACACACAATGGTATATGTACAAGTTAGACCCCAATTTCCTAAGAGTTTTAAGAGTTGACATAAATGATTCATTTTAAAACTAGCTTTGCTATTAATCCTTGCACCAACACCCACGCCTAGCCACACTTATGTACATACATATGTATGTCGGATGCACAGACATATGAAATACATATGTATATACATACATACGTACATCCCGTATGCCCCATTAATCGGGAATAAAGTAATGCGTGTGGGTTTATAACTTCCCGTATAGACATAATTACGTAGACTTGGCCACATTTCGCACCTAGAAGAGCAAACTATATGTGGATATACAATTAATCGCCCATTATATGTATCTGCATACATATATATACATTTATAAATACATACATACATATGTACATATAGTATATGTATGGATGTATGTATGTATGTTCATGTAAGCACAGACGTTTGTATGTATGTCGCGATTACGCTTAGTATATATACGTACATATACATAAGTTAATGCGTGTGTCTGCGGTTCGTTTGTAAATTGATTATGCCTGCATGATGATATCCATATGAACGTTTACGTACCTCTATTTCCTTGCGGTAAAAATCTTCAATTGTGGGATCATACTTTTCAATAAAGCATCCCGAAACGAATTGCACTGTGAGGGCTGATTTACCAACACCCCCCGACCCAAGCACAACAACCTTAAATTCGCGCATTGTAAATCAGTTTTTGTGGTTCTAGACGCGTATCGTATAGATGCAAATGTATGTTTTGTAGGTGTTTGTTTTTACACTGTTTATGGATATGGATTTTAACTTAAAAACAGTTTACAAAGCAAATACTATGTATGGATTGACATTGCGTTTCAATGCATGTAATGCACAAGTATGAAGAAAACTGCAGTCTACTGTTTCATTGCCCTTAGGAGGAGATGTTTCGGACTTTTGTTAAACACATATTATATTGTAAAATATAATAATCAAACGATAATTGATAAATGATGACACTGACACTTATTGAAAATGGAACGATGCATAGTGTAGAGGAAATGAAATAATGGTTTTAGAACAAAAAAGTTAAGGGATGTTTCACACGATAGTGCATAATGTGCAAAAAACCGGCGATAAATATCAAATCGGGCAAATCAATCGGGTAAATACGAATTACCATAGATATTTTTATTTATACTCTTTTAAAGTATTAACGTAATAATAACACCAAATTAACTTAATTGTTTATTTATCATAAGAATGATGATAATTTTATTTATTGAAAATAACTTTGAATACCAAAAGGCTCGATTAAAACATTAAAGATTCACCCTAAATATGTAGATGTAATTTGTATCAAATTGTATTAATTAATTGTTCTCGAAATTCTATTTTATATTATATTAAATACTTTATATGAATAATCCCTTAGTCATTTTTTTTTATGTTACACATCAAGAGTTTCACTCTTTTACTTTTTCTAAACATTGCCAATAATAAATTAAAGAATATGATTATAAATTGATAATAAATATTTAATCTGAATTAGATCCTTAATATTAAAAATAAAACAATATGAAACGGACTTTGTTTCTGAACATTGCAGCATCGGAAAAAATTAAATTCTAAGGGTTTGTTTAACCATTAAATTGTTGATAGTCTTTTTTTTTAAATAAGCTACAAATATTCTAGCTATATATATTATTAAGGTAATGATATTCTAGCTATTATATTAATAATAATTTTTATTTGGCAACATGAACCCGTTTCCACTATCCCCACTTTTACCACCGTTCCTAATAACTTTAAATCTTGGAAAAAAATATATCGATTACGGCCCACCACTAATACTTCTTTCTTTCCGGTGTAGCCCCTTGAAACGCACGCACGAAATGGTAAGAAATCCATATAATTCTATGTAATCATTTAATATTATAGTAATTTCAAAATGGGAAATCTTACACATTTTCTGTCTTTAACAGGCTGCACACAAATCGTTCAGGATAAAGCAGAAGCTTGCTAAGAAGCTGAAGCAGAACAGGTCCGTTCCTCAATGGGTTCGCCTACGTACTGGAAACACAATTCGGTAAGTTATAAACCTTAAATCCAGTGAGAAATGTATTTAAAGCTAATTATATGGCTCTAAAGTGCATTAAATAGCAAATTTAACCAAAAACATGGATATGCCCTTGAAATTTGCGCCAAAATATAATATTTTGGTATTGCATATCGAACCGGCTAATTAGTCAAAACAAATATGCTTGCGAAAGCTATAAATACATTTCAAAGCACTAGCAATTAGTTCTAGTGTAACTATAAGTGAAACCCATTATATGTTTTGATCTAAATCTAACTAATTCAATTTCTTTCATTAAAGGTACAACGCTAAGCGCCGTCACTGGAGGCGTACCAAGTTGAAGCTGTAAGCTGGCGATTACAGAAGCTCCACACTGCGTTGGATTGCTGAATATCTTTTCAAGAATATAAAATAAATTCGTTTACAAAAGTTCGAATTGAAACAGTTGTTTTGTTTGAATTGGGTTCTGACCAGAATTGGTCTATATTACAGCTGCTTTAATAAATTGGGGATTGAGGAAATGAAAAGAAAATCTGGAAAACTATGTCCTGGAAACTAAACATTTGAAGTTAGAATCAACACCGTTCTACATATGAATGAGAACGGAGAAGCCATAATATCTGAATGATCTGAATCTTTTTAAATGAACAGCTGATTGATATCCATGGGTTTTTTTAATGGGTTTGCCAGTCACCCAAGATGTTCCATTATTCCCATTTAAATCTGCAGGTGTCCAATCCAGCTTCAAAGTTGGTACTACTTCCGTTATCGGATTTACGGGAGTTAAGTTCTGTCATAAACTTTCATAATCATGTTTCTTCCATTATTCCCATTTAAATCTGGAAGTGTCCAATCCAGCTCTAAAGTTGGTATCTCTCACTACTTCCGTTATCGGATTTAAGGATAACGGAAGTTATATTCTAAACTTTCATAATCACCTTTAAATTGGCGATTCTAAGACAAAAATATATTCCATTTGGTCAATTATTACATATTGTAACGCGTACAATTTATTAATTCTGTATTAAAAAACTGTTTATTCAGCGGGTACTTCAATGGAGCCCTCGTTCAGCTCGTCAATAACATCGTGCGGGTGCTTTCCGTCCACAGTGCAGCCAACGCTCTGCGCGGTTCCCAGGACTTCCTTGCAGGTACCCTTCAGTTCACGGGCCATGGACCTGGGCCTCATTACTCGGGCAATGGCCAGGATGTCATCGAAGGCGATGTTGCCACTGTGCTTGACTGAAAAATTACACAAAATGCGGTTGTTAATTAAGCTTGTTAAGTAAGTGCACTTGCATTTAAAATAACTATATTATTTATCCGACTTTTTGGGAACACTTTCATTTGTTTACTTTTGAATAAACACAAATGCACTTTTTTTTCATCCGGGTGGTGGGCAATACTTACTGTTCTTCTGCTTCTTGCGGTCACGTGGGGGTTCCTTCAGAGCCTTGATGATCAAGGAAGCAGCAGAGGGAACCACTGAGATGGCAGCCTGTCGGTTCTGGATGGTCAGGCAGACGGTGATCTTCAGACCCTTCCAGTCGGAGGTAGCCTTGGCGATGTCATCACCAATTTTTTTGGGAGACTACAAAATCGAAAGTTAGCACAAAATCGAGAGGTAAACAAAACGAATATTTGCTTACCAGACCGAGGGGACCGATCTTGGGAGCCAGGGAAGAGGTGGCACCAACTTCGCCGCCAACGCAACGCAGGTAGACTGCAATGTAACATCAATAAATTAGTATAGGTAATATTTATATTTGACATTAATTGATGTTGTGAAAGAAACACACCGGTTGAAAAAACTTACCCAATTTAACTTCCGTGGGATCGAACTTGGGAGGCATTGTGCTATCTCGGCTTCGACAGTAGCTGAAATATAAGGATTACATTAAAATCAACGGATTTTTTTAAAGACATTTTTAGCTCCTTACTGTACCGCAAAAAGACACACAGAAAAAGAAAGAAGAAGCTTATCGATTTCCGGTACGAATGTATAAAAATTGTTATCGACAACACATATCGAAGGGAATAGTTCCCGAATGGAACACGGAATTGAAACAAAGACCCAGAATAGATGATAGTACGATGTTTTTAACTATTTTTATTTTTTATTTTTAAATTTTTTTTTGTTTAAAGTTTGTTTTTACATCACAAAACAATTGCAGATTTTATGTTTAAAATGATTTATGGGATTTCCATTTAAATAACTCAAAAAAACAGTTTTAAAAAATATATATTTATATCTTTATCTGGTAATTTAAAAAATACACCCAAAATATAGTTAAAATTTATTTTTAAATTTTTTGGTAGTTTCGCTACTAATGGTTGTTAACGATATTTTTTTTTAAATGTATCGTCCAGTCGATAGGCGAGCTTGAATGATCTGTCACATACTGATACTGATATATGCTAAAAAAAATTAACACAATCATAAAAAACTTCATGTATTGTTTATACTTTTCTTCACTTCATCATTTGTACATTTGGATATAAAATATTTGAGAAATGTACTTCATTTTATCGAAGCGTTTAATTTCCCGCCAGAAGAATCAATAAAACAATGGTTGTCGAGTTGGCGTGTTAGTCTAGGTGACGCCACACAAGCGTTGTTTATTTTCCCATATTACAGAATATAATTTTTCCCCATTATGAAGCTTAAGACATTTGTATTTAGATTGAGGATTTAGCGATTGATGGTTGATGTTTAGGTAAAAAATTTTATTGGCAAACGTGTATCTTGTTACTTGTTATTCAAACATGGATGTTGAGTTTCTGTTATATTTATTACAATTGTTAGAACCAGATTTAAGATGTTGAGCCAACTAGCCTATAACAGCATCTTTGAATAAATTTGCTTCAGATGTAAATGCAACAGAAATTTACAGCAACACATTTTGCTTATTTGTCCAGAGCAGTATTGGTCTTAATAGCGATAACACACTCTTCTCCGCACGCCTTCAGAACGGTGCACTGCAAATGATACAAAAACAATATTCATTTGTTAAATCCTATGACGCTTTATTTACAAGAAACTGTAAAGTTTTATAAAACTTTTAAATCGGACTTACCAGTAGGTCCTTGCCATTATCAAAGTCAGCACGCAGAGTATCGCCCAGTTCACCTTCTGGAACCTTCAAGTCTTCACGCAAATCGCCGCCTTCGGACATCAAGGTAAGGAAGCCATCATCACTTATAGCTATCAACTGAAGGTCTTCCCTTTTAACATGGGGAACATCCATGTTATGAGTAGAGGGGCAAATATCCTCATATCTGAAATTCAGAGTTTAAATCCAATGAAAATTTTGAAGAATTCAGTTAATCTAGATTATTTTCTTTAAAAACGCTTTGATAATTATTAAGATAAGATTAGAGGCCCGTTTATATACATATACTTTTATTAATTAAGGTTACTTTTTTTCTTTGTCCCTGGCTTTATAGTAGATACTCACTTCTTGTTGGAGAAAATATCAATTCCAACCATATGAACCTTGGCGTGTCCGTGCTTGCCAGTCTTGGAAGTTGACATCTCGACAATCTTGCATGGCCGGGACTTCAACATGACGAATCCGTTTTTGCGCAATGCCGAACATTGCATGGGATAAGTGGTCGATGCGCCGGAATCGGCAACATCGAAATGATCATCTAAATCTGCCATATCTGCCACGACACAATAAAATTTGAATTAAATATTTGTTGATTATAGGTGTTAATTACTATTTAATTATAGATGACACTTTTTAAATTGCAAATTCACTTTTAATACTGAAGCGTTTCGAAAGTACATATGTATGCATGTATGTATGTATGTACATGTACATGTATGTATGTATTTTTTGCACATATATTTACGAGTGTATGCAAGCCGAAAAAATGCATAGATATGTATGCGACGGAGAATACACATGTACATATACGTTCGTATGCATATATTTGAAATGTTTTATGCCGAAGAAGAGTCAAACACTTAAAATTCAAATAAATAAATTGGCAAAGTCATCCAGACATGGTACTTGAAAGTTTTGTGTACTGCAGATTAGTGTATCTGTATGTGTGTACACACTTTCACACATAATTGAATGTCAATGCGGCCGGATAGAAATTTTCAGCGTCCATTCAGCTCCCAACGCACTTAAAGTATATTTACACTCTTTCCACGACTCCCCAGTGAATTTGTAAAATTTTAATCCGCAAAAATTAAAAAATTACCAACCTACGAAATCCCAGCAACTGTTCCAACCGAAGATGTAAAATGAAAGAACCCTGCTATCGAATCAAGCCCACGTTTTGTTTCCGGTTAATAATCAAAAAACCAGGAATGCATCTTGGCGATTGATATTTTTCGATGGTGCTTATCCCGTGTTTTGGAACAGTGGAATTGAAACAACGATAATATCCATTTTCATATTAAAATAATAAATAAAATAAAACAATTTTATATTATTGTGCTTTAAAATGTCTTTGTAATTTGAATATTTTTTATACATTTATTATTTACCATACATATTTTATGTGTCCTAATTTTCAGACGGCTAAACTTTATTGCTGATTAACTTTTTTAAAATAAACTTCTATGGGAAGGGATGGGATAAAATTATCATTTTCTACATGGTTTATTTTTCTGGAGCTGTGCTGTTTAGGCTTTATTTTTAATATTGGCTGCCTTACTTTTATATTACCACTGGATATAGTCATAATTGCCGATTCCGTCACCAAAGGATTCTTATCTTCAAGAATTCTGTCCGAGCGAGATTTTACAATATTATTGCTGATTACCTTTGTTGAGTTTCGTAATCGAGAGTTTTCTTCAGATATTTGCGTTTTTCGAGCTGTATTTCTGCGTTTATGCTTGTTGGTTAGATCAACATTTTCGGTTGTCGTACTCTTTGAAATATCTGGTGCAACAGTCGAGTTATAACTTTTGCGTCTTTCATAAATTCTTTTTGGTTTTTTATTCTCTAATTTGACTTTCATATCAGTTGTGTTGTGCGGTTTTTGCGTTGGTATCTTTCTCGTTGAAGCCAAAACTCGGAATTTTCTCAATTTTCTATTCGTATTAATTCTCCTCGGGGCAGCTGTTGTAGTTGGTTCGATTGTGTTATTTTGGGTAGTGGTATTTCCATCGGCAACATCTGTCTTTGTATAGTTTTGAATATACTTTGGAGTTTCTGTTGTTGTAACAAGATTTTTTAAGTGAAGCTTTAATAATTTTAGTTTAGTTTCGATATTGGATGAATAGTTTTTGGTCGCTTTAAGAGATTTTAATCTATTTTTGTACGAAATATTGGTTATATTTGGAGTTATAATGGTACTTCTTATTGTCGGCTCTGGAGTTGTTGGGCTAATGGTGTTCTTAAAGAATGTGGACTCAGTTGAACTAGAAGTATAGGGAAAGCTACGAAAATCCATATCTATTAGTGTAGTTTTTTGTGATGTTGGAGCTTCTGATGTTGTTGTGGGTGTAACCTGAGTGGTATGGTAATATCGCTCGGTGAAAGCCTCTGTCGGCATTAGTGTAGTTAAAACAGGACTCGGCCGAAATTCTTGTTCATAATCAGTCGATGTGCCTCCAAATTTAGTAGATGAGCGTGGTAAAATGACATCGTCTAGCGTAAAATAGGTATGAGCAACATAGTTATGGTACGGCAAGTTGGTTGTCGTCACTGGCGTTTCGCTAGGCATACTCTGCGAACTGTATTGATCCTTGGGATAGTCCTGTAACGTGTTTCTATAACAATCCGCTAAAGTTTGTCCTGCCAGATTCATTATTCTTTCAGGACACTTCGTCCAACTATGGTTGGAATAATCCGGACTGCTCCATTTTTTATGATCGCCCACTAAGCGTTCTGCATTCGATATAGTGTTTTCCGTTAATGGTACGAATGCGTTGATGGGTTCTATTTTAAAATCCAGGGGACGGGTTACAGGGCCAGTTTCCAATATATTCACTGGAGCTGAAACCCCCATTGTATTTAATGTTTTATATTTGTTTAAATCCATCGTTTTTAATGGAGCTGAAACATAATCCGCTGTGGTTGCAGGCTTTAATGTTGTTGTAAAACCTTTTATATGATTGAAATTCCTGTAGACGCTCCTGAAAAATAGTCTGTATAGTATACAAAAGCGTTTAGTGTCTAAATTAAAAAGATTCACCTTTTTGAACTTGCAAATGCATCCTGATATTGAGCGGATGTGGGTATATATCTGGGTAGCATATTCATATTACGCATGTAGTTTTTTAGACGCATTTTTCCAACCATAATTGGAGCTCTTGTATTGTACCAATAAAATTTTCGCAGAGCGTTAGGATGGTGTCTGTATAAAACAATTGCCGGATGATCTACAGGCCACATCTGAAAATGTATCTGAGTTGCACAGACTTTCGCTTTTCTTTGGGATGCGGAGCTAATCATTTTAGATACTTACCTGCCTCTTGGGTCCCATATAGGTCGATGAAACGTTTATATTAACTAATATGTAAAATATTCCTGCAGAAAAAATACATATTGACATCGAGGACCTCATTTTATTGAAACTATTTTTACCTATTGCCATGTAGATGGCAACTATGCTGTTTTTCACTTTCCCCAACATATTGTACAATAACTTTTTACCACAGACAGCCAACGACTACTTCAGATAGTTTTCTATCTTGGATAGTAGCTACTGGGTTTAAAATACGTATTGATGTGTAAGATATCTTTCGACTGAGTGCCTAACTTCATAAATCATTCACTCCAAACCAATGTGCTTAATATTTTTTTTCACAAAATTGTAAAAATAGATATTTTAGCTATCTGAGGACCTATTTATATAAGGGTTATCCAGAAGAAATTTTATAAAATTCTTGTTATATTTATCTTGTGTAAATGATACTTTTAAGTTATTTTTCTGATACTGCATCCAAACAGTAGCGTGTGGGCTATGGAGCATAAAAATCAACGCTTGAACAAGCTCATCTTCTCAGTTATAATTGTTGCATCTCCGAAAACATTTAATTGCACACTCTTTAGAGAGGTAGATTAGCTACTTAGCTAGCTAGGTTTAAACCTGAAAAATACCCATTAATTTGAAAAAGAGTTAAACTAAGTTTTGCTTGAATCTGATGGCCAGATAAGGTTAAAAAACATAAAAATCGCGTGTATAAAATAAACATGCATACTAAATAACACTCCCATGCTTCCTGGTTGCGACTGCAATATTGATTTGGACTTTGGTCGGTGACAACATGGCTCGAAATATATATAAGCTTTTGGTGGATTTTACAAAATATATATTCAATAAAAGAAGGTATTACTTTGTAAAATTTATTTGTAGTCTTTTCGTAATTATCGAGTTTCTTTACAGAATTTTTTGGATGTTTGTTATTTTAATTTCTGGATGGAACATGGTTAGAATCTTCATTCTTATGAAACATAGATATGAAACGGACTCAACCAGCATTGGGGTGTCTACCTCATATAGTCGTTGGATAAATACCTTTCCATCGATAGGAGTCTGTTTATCTAAGAATCGAATTACTGATGTCTTTACAAACGCCGTAAAGAAACGATTTCCTGGCGATAATCCGCCGTACAGTCATATTCGAACTCTCTACGACTACCTTTTTATTAATCCAAATAATCTATACTTGAAGGCGGATTATTGTAATAAATATAATTCCACATGTGGAGTTAATATTTTGGATATGAGAAAGGAGGTATTTTTGAATCTTATTAATTTTCATACAGGATTTCAATATACATTTATATTTTTAGTTATTTGCTCGGACGTGTTCGGATTTTATGGAAGAAATTACCTTTGCTGAGAAGGTTCTACCCGATTGCGAGAAAATATTCAAGTTTCATGAATTAGAAATGGGGTACTGCTTTCTTGCAAACAATTTATATGACTAGTAAGTAAAAATCATTAAAAAATAATTTTACATTTTTAAGTTTGTAGTCCGAGTATTGAGGAAATGCCTTTGCGATATACTTCCTTGGATAAACACCGAAATTTAAGATTGGTTCTTAAAAGTGGTTTACTTTATCGATACGATGTAAGAACACCAAATCTCCAACTAAATTGTGTTTGCATTTAAAATGGTTTATATTTTAGTTGTACATCAATAGCCCTGAAGATCTACCATACTTTAATGCTGTCTTTTATGCGATTACTTCGGAACATTCGATACATAGTTTTAATGTTGAAGAGATCCACAACAACAAAGATGTTATAGACGAGCCGATTTCCCAAAGGATGTGCAAGTTTCCAAGCGAGAGCAATGAGGAAGGATCCTTATACAGGTTAATCCCAAGGCTTAAAACTTGACGGGTTGTTTACATTATTTAATTGGCTATAGTTTTTCGATCTGCATGTCTAATATTCGGAGTGAGATGGAAATGCAACTGTGCAATTGCACTATATTCAGTAATAAATATCAAAGTAGGTATATGTTTCTAAAAATCAAAGTCTTAAAAAAAACTTAGTAACTACATAGGTACCCGAAACTATTGCGGAATATATGGAGTATCTTGTTTGGAAGAGGGTATACTTACATTCAAAAGATTACTTGTGAAAGCTTATTAAAATATTCAAAATTTTAGGAAACCTAGTCACGAAAGTAAAAGATCATGTTGGATACAACACTGCGTGCTTACCATCGTGTATGGAACAGCAGATTAGTTATGTTGGGTAAAAAGCTAAAAAGATATACTGTCAATAACTAGTAAAAAATATAAAATATTTTTTAAGGTCCCGTGAAAAGGAGCTCTCGAAATATCAAGGAAAAAACGTTGTTGAAATAGAAATTGCCTCGCCACCAACGGTTCGATACCTTCGAACAGTGACTCAAACTAAATTGGATTTAATAGGTTCCTTTTCTATAATATTTCTTAAAAACTGTAACTAGTTTTATTTATTCTTTTAGTTGCTATTGGCAGTGTCATTGGCCTGTTTTTTGGAGCATCGTTACTCAACTTGATGGAGATTATTTCGATGGTTATTAGTCAGATACGCAAAATACTTAAGATATAAAAAATTAAAATACTCTTCACCTTTTAAATGAATTATCTGTAACCAAATAACGTAAATAAACTCTTACTGCACATATTTGAATATAAATTTATTAAAAATTGTGCTAAATATGGTTAGTTGTTGTTATCAAACAAATCTAAATGATAGTTTGCTATTTCATTTTCTATGAAAATATTCAAGTCGCGAGAATTATCATTTTTAACTTTATGCACAGATGTGTTAACATTATGTTTCTTATAACGGAGTCCAACTCTAAAAATATTAAAGGGCGTTAGTTTTTAATCCTGTTTATCCGAAACCTGGTGAAAGCTTACATCCTTATCGAAGGTATATCGGCCGAGCTCCGCATTTTATCGGATGACTTTGCCCGCAAGTAGCGATGCTTAATATCAACACCGCTGTGTTCATCCTAAAAATATTTTTGCTAATTAATTTGTTCGAATTTATGGTAGTTTTTTAATTACTCACATCTCTCATATTGTAGGTAATGACCAAGTTATTTACGAAGCTTTCGAGAAACTCTGGATATGCGTCTAGAACATCCAGCAAGTCATCTCTGTGTAATTTGTGGATATCGCAGTAAGTTAGGGCTCTAACAACACCATTTGACTTTCCAAGGGTGGGATATATACAAGGGTTCTCCCCGAATATATCATTCTTCCCTAGAATGAATGAAAATTTAATAAAAATTTCAAAGGCAGAGGGGAAAATCTACCTAATACAACAATCATATTGCTGTCTCGTTGAATTTCAATAGACCCTCTTGCAATAAAAAACAAAGAGGTAAGTACATCCCCTCTATGGACCAGAATGTCCCCAGGTGGCGCATGAGTTGTTTTAAATTTGAGGGAGAAAGCTCTAAGATATAATACAAAATCATCGTTAATTTGAAGTATATTTATTTTGGTGAATGGAAAACTCACCTTAAGCAACCAGGACTGGCATCTGAAAAGGCTGCGCAGGTTGTTAGCAGCTTTCTGTTTAAATGCAAGCAAATATCTGCTTGAAGGCACTCAGGAAATCCTTTCAATAACGATGACATATCTATTCCATTCGTATAAGTCCATGCATGTTGGAAGTATTCCTCTAGTCTTTGTCTTAATGGGTTGGGGATCTAAAAAGAGATAATAGAGTACTAGTGCGTATTTACCAATTCCTTTGTTCCCGTTTGGAAATCGATGGGTTTAGAAATATTTCCAAGTTTTAAAGCTAGGAGTTCTATCGGTTTCGAAAACGGGAACAAAGGCTTCTACATTTTCAACTACAACGTGCGTGCAATATACCTGATGGAATCGTATAAATTCCCGAACGCGTAACATTTGTGTATGATATCTTGCAGTTCCCGAGTAAAGTCTTTGTATTATTGCCGACACATTTCCGAAAATGGATGCATACATAAGAGCTTAAATGGGAAATTAAAAGTATCATAAATCAAAATGCATTCATGTTTTAATTAAAGTGAGAATTTGCGTACATCCAACGAGCATGACACATATGGTAAAAGCTTTTTCAGCATCAGTATTGGGGGCTACATTTCCGAAGCCAACGGATGTGAGTGATGTGAATGTGAAATACAATGCTGTGATGTATCGAGACTGCAATAAAAATGTCTTTAATAAAAATCCATTAGTTTTAATGGAAAAATGACTGTCTACCTTTATGGAGGGCCCACCAGTTTTGTTTTCGAAATAGGGCTCTTGAATGTCATATGACAGGGAATGCAGCCAACCGATGTTCTTCGATGCAATCGATCTTTCTGCATTACCGATGGCATACCTACAAAATATCATATAATTAGATAACTAATAACTTAAATTAACTGAAATATATACCAAATACAAGCCAACCAATGGGCAATTAATATAAAAGTGGCCATCAGTAAAATAAGAACGGCAGCACCGTACTCCGAATAACGATCTATTTTACGGGCTACCCGAACCAATCGCAAAAGTCGAGCTGTTTTGAGCAGTCCTATTAACGTAGTAGTCTGAAATTTAATTAAATAAGGATATTTGATAATTATGGTTAAAATAAAACTTACCTCATCGGTATCACTTCCCACTAAAAGTAAATCAAAAGGCACAGCTGCTACCAGATCGATCAAAAACCAACCACTTAAGTAATGGACTGCTATTCTTCCTGGATGGGATACCACTTCGTCTTGTCCATTCACAAAAGTGGTTCTAAAGTTTATTATAATATCTACGATGAACGTAACGTCCACTGGGAGATATAGAAAAAGATATGATTAGCAGTTCTAAGTGGCAGTGGAAAACTTACCTATTAAATCAATTATGACAATGGGGTCCGAGTTTATGTATTTATTGTTTCTTCTTTGGTAATCCTGTTCTCCAAGAAGGAAGGCTGCTACATAAGGAGTGAAAATCGCCGTGTACATGACCAGAATTAGAATAACCCAATCCCAGACAGCTTTAAAAGGTGAATAGTGCAGGAGGGTCCACTTGTGGTAGTAATTGTTTTGCAACTTCTGGTCGAGAATGTTTCCCCCCAGGGACAGGATCTGCTAAAGATTAAGTTAGTACGAAATGATAATTGAAATGTATTCCAGAAGATGTACCGTTTCAGTAGCTTCTTGCATTTTTGGCTCGCTCTTGGATCCCAAAAGTGCCTCCTTGTCCAACATGTCATCGTAGTGATCCCCCAGAGCATTCTCGGCTGATTTATCATTTGGAACGTACTTATTGTTTTTAAACATACACTCATAGGAGTTACTATTCCCTTTGTGGCTTTGAAAAATATCGTTGTTTTTGCGCAATGGATCATAAGAACAAAGCAAATCGCACTCCCTTCTGGACGAGCTCTGATAGTTTTTGATATACAATTTTTTCTTATCACATTTTATGCATTTCTTGGGTAGTTTTGAACCCAAGTGCTTTTTTGATTGAATCGAGATGTTATTTGGCTCAAAATGTATCTCGCTCTTATTTCCTTTGACCTTCTTAAAGCCATCCTTTTTATTATTAGTTTTGATTAGCAACGGCGAGAAGAAGCAATCTGCCGTACTCTTGGAAACCTGTTCGCCCTTAGGGATACCCCTTGTTTTCAGTTCTATCGAGTCATCATCATTGGTCGGGCTAGCTCTCATGAACTTGTGATACACAAGATTGCTATGGTCAGCCACATTTTTCGGAAATCTCGTCAAGCTTTCCTTCTTGTCGTCAAACATGCTGGCATTTATGAGGATATCCGAAACGAAGACTTGTTTCTTTTCAATTTTATTCAGATTGCACATAAGGGAGAAGAGTTCCCTCTCCACGAATTTATTGGATTTTGCCAGGCAGTTCCTTTTGAATTCCTTCAACGGCGGCTTCTTAACAGGATCGTCTATATTGTTGTTAGACATATAGAGCTCACATTGCTGAACTATTTTATCCAGTTTTCGGATTTCACTTAGTTCCACACAGGATTTGTGCGACATCTTATATCCTGAAAAAATGGTGGCGGAAAAGTGAAAATTAGGTCAGTAAAGGATTTTCGCATATCTGAATTAGCTATCCTTTTGTAGATGTTTTATCAAAGAGTTAATTTAGGTTAGTACGGTATACTATTAGTTTTTATAATTTATATTATTAAAAAAAATTATTGAAAAACCGTTTGATTTGTTACCTAATGCACTTTCTTATTTACTTTGCAAATCAAAACAGCACAGGTATGAGATACACAAGTGAAAATATTGGAAACATTATTTATAACTTAAAATTTGTATTTAGAGTTAGGTAGTAGGTATTTATTTAAGATTTAATACATAAAAACTTATGAATTTAAGGCTTATGCTTTTTGTTTTATTTATTTCATTATGGTTTCTAGTTTTTTTAAGCTATTATTTTAATTAATAATATAATTATTTTTCTTTCTGTGTAATCCAATTCCCTCATCTTAGCTTTTCTTAAATATACAGACATGCGCACCTGCATAAAGTTTTTGAATTCCCCGTGATTTCTTAAAATCATTGTTATTTTATTCGTCGCATTCGGGCACACTAAAATTAAATGTAAACAATTGATTTTTCCTACAAAACAAAGATACAATTAAAAGATGAATGCGCCTAAAAAGATAGCCGAGGCGGAGGAACTAGTGCGGCAGGCCGAGAAGAGGTAACATCGAAGAAGATAAAACATTAACCAAAATAAAGTATCTGTATCTTTGTATCTTTGAAGTTTAAAGACATCTCTATTGAAATGGGTACCTGATTACGATAGTGCTGCGGATGAATACTCCAAAGCTGGTATGTTTATTATATTTCTTATGTTATTTGAACACGATTATATAGTTAATACAAATAGAAAATCGTGTTTTTCGTACTAAATAAACAATTCAAAAAAGGGGACACGTTTTATAAAAATTAGTGTGTATGTATACGAGCACATAAATGATATATGTACATATACAGAGAATACAATTAGTCATTGATGGATGAGCTATTTTAATAAATATTTGTTTGCTCTTTTTTAGCAACTGCATATCGAATAGCCAAGAGCTATGATAAGAGCAAGGACTGTCTGTTGAAGGCCATTGAATGCTACAAGAACAACAAGTCCTGGTTCCATGCTGCCAAATGTTACGAGCAGGTCTGAGCAGTCAATATTCTTTAATCCATTTAAACTAGAACTGACAATTTGCTTTATTGCAGATTATTTTACTGGCCAAAGATGCTGACAAGCTAGCCGAGGTCGAGGAGTACGCCAACAAGGCCTGCAGCCTTTATCAGCAGCATGGTTCGCCGGAAGCAGCAGCCACTGCTCTGGACAAAGCTGCCAAACTAGCCGAGAACAAGCATCCTGACATGGCACTGCGATTCTATCAACATGCTCTAGAAGTTATTATGGTTGGTATCTACTTCCATACCTTAAATAATTGAATTTATAGCTTACCATTCATCAGATTGAGGATTCCGTCCGTCAAGCAGCTGAATATGCATCGAAAGTCTCAAGAATATTGGTGAAATTGCAAAGGTAAGACATTTTAAGGAGACAGTTTTATCCCATTTGCAATCACGATTAAAACAATCCATTTTAGATACGATGAAGCCACAAATGCGCTCAAGAAGGAGATTGGGTTAAATCAACAAACCGAATCCTACGGCCAGATTGGTCGGTTGGTCGTGGCCCTGGTGATGGTACAACTGGCACGTGGTGACTCTGTGGAAGCGGAAAAAACTTTCAGAGAATGGGGAAGCTGCTGCGAACCCGAAGAAGTCGCAACACTCCAAACTCTTTTGCAAGCCTTTGATGACGAAGATCCCGAGTTGGCTGCAAGAATGCTGGCATCTCCGTTTATAAGGCACATGGACGTAGAGTATGCAATTCTTTCAAAGAACATTCCATTACCGAAAGGTCTACAGGTAGAGAAGAAACCCGGAGAAAGTGCTGGAAATGTAAGTATTCAAAGTAACTTGTCGTAAAAGTTTGTTTTAATTTAAAATACATAGGTTATACAGGACGCTGAGGAAGAGGATGAGGGAGGATTGTGCTAAGTCAATGCAAGTTTTATGGTCTCCACACTAGCAAAAATATTTATCGTTAATTCTCAAAAAAAATATCGCTTTTAATATATAAATTGTTAAATAAAAATTCAATCGCAGATGTTGTACTTATTGTAAGAAATAAAAAGACAATTATTAACATATTAGGTAATAAAGTTTGTTGGGAGCTCATAAATAGATTTTAAAATAAACCTCGCTTTACCCATTTAATCACATAAAACTGTTACTGCAAAAATATTTACAAATAAAATAAGCTCAAATCAATCAGATGTACATTTTTAATTCCCTGGTAAAATTAAAAATAAACGCTTTTAGGATTTTTAAACAAATAATAATAGCTGATATGTTTATAGCTTTTTAAAAATAAGATTGTTCCAATTCCACCGTTCCAAAAATAACAATTATTAACCATTTATCGAAATAAATGTGAAGTTATCGAATACGGAGGGGAACTATCGAGACATTTTTGTTTTAACAAGTATAGTACTTATAGTATTGCAAAGCTCAAAAACAGTGCTGCAAAGAACTGTTTGGCGTTAGAGTGACCAACCAGAAGATACTAGAAAAATACCAATTTTTTTGGCGGAAAAAGTATTACCACTATATATTTCCGACATCCCTGGCGCAAATAGCAAATTGATTCGTGAACCTTTGTGAATTGTTCGTGAAAGAAGGCGGAAGGTTAAACAGTATTTGTAATATATACTTGGCAATTAATTCGAAAATTGTGAAAGTAATAAACTACAGGAAAAATGGTACGTATATTTAAAATTCATAAAAGAGCTTGTTGCGGAAATTGTTATCGTGGAGAGTGGATGACTGGCCAATTTGCAGGAAAACGAGTAGGAGTACGAATTGTCTTGGATTCGATGAATCATATAAGCATCTCCTTTGAAATCTGTACATACATACATTTAGATAAGTGTGTATATATATATCAATCATACATATATTTCAACTTTTTTTTTTTGCGTATATGTACGTTGGCCATATTCGGGCATATACATAGCCATGGATGTGTGCGTATACATATAAACCAAATTAGTCATTGGTAGCAACGGATATTACTCATTTACTGAAGTGTTTCCATACTTTTCGCGAATCACTCACACTCATTAATGGTTAAAACCAATCGGAGAAGAAAGAGTGCGAATTTATTGTAACATCTGGAAAAATGGATCGCTGGCGCGATTAAAAAATTAAAAGTTGGAAAGAGAAATGCGCATACATATGCATTTTGATGGGTATATATTTTTACACACATGAGTGTGTGTGGGTATACCGCTTTTTTATTCCGATGGCTATAAATATGTACATATGTATGTATCTGCGGGGAAATGCTTATGTTCTCGCAGACGCAAAATGTGTGTATGTAAAAATATATTACCATCAGAAATATGTATAAATATATATCCATATATGTATCTGCAGTCGTACATATTTAAGGTGTGGAGTGTGATCGTTTCCTTTCCTATGCATGTATGTATGTATGCATGGACTCGCGTCTGGCGTTGTGTGCGTGGGTCCAAGAGACACACAGACGTCTGTATGTATGGTTTTGATTTTGTCGGCATTTTCCGAATAATATTGAAAATTCGTGCATTTTCTTCTGCCTCATGTGCGCTCTTCCCCCCACACGAAGACTCGTCTTCATGTGGTGCGCATCCATAGGAAAAAAAGTGCATATCGGTCTACAAACCTATCGGTTTCTATTTTTTTTTTTTTTTTCTTCTTTCGGCTTGTTCTCACCCTTAAACTTGCCGGCACTTGTAAACTTACCCTTGAACTCTTTGGGTGCCGGGTGGAATGAACGAGCTGTAAATGGTGCCACGCCCACTGCTCCCGTCTCCACCCAACTCAATACATGCGCTTTGGGCCACAGGCGGGCCACAGTAGTTGGAATATGGCCATAATAAAGAATAAAAAAACAACAAAAGAAAAAAAAAAAACTTACTTTTTGTTTGTTATTGCCGGCAATCAGAGAAATAATTTTGCAGGGCGGCTAAAAAGGGACGGCTATAGTGTCGGCTCAGCTGAAAGTAGAGTGGGCAGTTATGTCGGCGGTTATACACCCACACATGCATGTGTACATTAGCCGGCGAACAGTTTTCGCGCCTTTGCATATTTTAATTAAATGACAAAAAATGTGTGCTTTATGTTTCTGTGAGTGGTCATGTCTGGTCATGCCCTTAGCATCCATTTGAGATTCATTTCTAAACTCTATTCACTTTTTTTCAGGCTTCTGGAGTTACTGTGTCTGATGTCTGCAAGACCACATACGAGGAAATCAAGAAGGACAAAAAACATCGCTATGTCATCTTCTATATTCGCGATGAAAAGCAAATTGATGTAGAGACTGTGGCAGACCGCAACGCCGAATACGACCAGTTTCTGGAAGATATCCAGAAGTGCGGTCCCGGCGAGTGCCGGTAAGAGTCTTCAACCCTAATGGTGGGGGATATGTTCCAAAATTTAACTAATTTCTGATTCTTTTTATTAATTCAGATATGGATTGTTCGATTTTGAATACATGCACCAATGTCAAGGCACCTCTGAGAGTTCAAAGAAGCAAAAGCTGTTCCTTATGTCGTGGTGTCCCGATACCGCCAAGGTAATGATACTTTCTCCATTACTCCCACCAATGGCCAACTATAATGACGTTCTCTCCGATTGTATTTTAGGTCAAGAAGAAGATGTTGTACTCCAGCTCGTTCGATGCTCTTAAGAAGTCGCTGGTGGGCGTGCAAAAGTACATACAAGCAACCGATCTGTCCGAAGCCTCCCGTGAAGCTGTCGAGGAGAAGCTCCGCGCCACTGACCGCCAATAAACTGTACGAGCACTATGCATCGCATTTAACAAACAACAACAACAACAGCAACAGCAACAACATCAAGGCATGCATGAAACAGCGATGAAAACACACAAGTATCCTGTTGAGATCGCCAATTTGTATGAGAATTTTCTACATAATTTGTATTTTCAGTAGAAATAAAGAAAATGAATTAAATATTTAACTGGATTTAATCGCATTTCAACATTTGTCACTGTCTTTACAAATTAGTTACCATCTTTTGAATTTAATTATTTTTAATTTGTCAATAAAATAACTCATTTTCATGTAGTAAAAATGTTGGTATCCCTCAGATACGAGTTTATATATTTACGTTAATATTACACAATACAATTATTTGGGAGAGCTTAATTATAATGAACATTTAGTAGCCATGCTGGATCACTAGCGTCTGGAGAACCTTTCGAATTTGGTGGCCAGTATTCAGACACGACTTCAGTCCCAGCGAGAACGCCACCGACAGGATGTCTATTGCGTGCTCCTGCAGCAACACCGACATCTCCGGCAGGTTGTCAATGGCTGTCGCCGCCACCGAGGAGTTCTCGTCCCTCAGGCACTGGATGTAGGCATTCAGCGTACACAGATTGATGTCCGAGTTGCCGGGATTGTGCTTCAAATGCCGGATCAGGATAATGAACGCGATGGACCGAATCTGGGCACTTGGCGAAAAGATCAGAGTGAGCAGTCGCTCAAACAGCTCATTGATGAAAACGAAGCGCTTCGACGTGAGGCACTCCAGCTCCTGCATGGGCCCCAAAACCACATCCTCCGTGTTAGCCTGCTTTATGATCTTGATTAGCTCCATAAAGTGTGGCGATATGTCGGTGTAGTTGGATCGACTGTAGGAGCTGAGGCTGAGAACCGAGGAAGAACTGCGACTGCCGGCCGCATCCGGTCCCGCGGGAGGAGCACTCTCCATGGGCTCTTCGAACACCACCGGCTTGCTGGCCGAAGGCTGTTCATCCAGCTCGTACTCGTATTTCACCTCCTCGTCGTCCAGTTCCGTGGCAGTGGAAGATTTGTGCTGCAGAAGAGCCACAGCCTGCACCAGAACCTGCAGTTTGGCCATCATCGTGTACTTGGCAGCCAGTTCCATGAGGATGCCCACATACTGCTCGATGAAAAGCAGGGCACTGGTTGGATTGTAGTTGATGTAGGCCTGCAGCATCTGAACGAACTTGTTGAGCATCTGGGAGGCCTCTTTCACCGAGCTGTGGTGCTTGAAGAAGTTAAAATAGCACGACAGGGTGTTCTGGATCTCATTCTTGTAGGCATCCTCGAATATAGTCGGCTGCAGGAGCTCCAGCGTCCTCAGGATTTGCACGAAGCGATGGAAGTGATGCTCCTCCCTTAAAGCCTTCATGCTGTTTTGGGCACGACCCTGCATCACCGACGAGAGAACACTCAACTGGCGCAGGAAGAGCAGGGGATGAGATGCGGCCAGCTTACGGAGGAGCAGCTCAGTGTCCGTGGACAGGGTTTCGAAATCCTTCTTGCCCACCAAGCTACCCAGGCAGGTGATCAGGTTGTTGGACACCTTATCGGCATGGCAGCCCTTCAGGCTCTGCAGCTTGTAGGCCTGCTCACCGGTTTTGCTCGGTTTCAGGAATTTGACGCACGGATACATGATGTACATCTGCTGGAGGACCTGTAGCTTGAGATAGTCCGACATCGAGCTGCGCTCCACGTGCTCCATTACCTTTACCATGAGGTCACGACGCTTCTCGGTCAGCTTGAACAACAGATTCATGCGGGAGCAGAGTTTAAAGTCGTAGTTCCTGCTGTCCGACTTGATCTCGGACACTCCTTCGTGCAAGATGAAGTGGGTGAAGGGTTCCAGCTCCGAGGTCTTCAGCAAGAAGAACGCATCCGTTCGCACGTTCTTGGACATGTACTTATCGCGACCCTTCCAGAGCTTGGGATTCGTGGTGAGGGCTTCAAAGTAATTCAGAACGGTGACAAAGTCGTAGTCTTCATGGGTGTTCTGGAACAAGTACTCGGCTATCCGCTCAATGGTGTCCCAGTTGGTCTGATGGTTTATCAGCGAGAGCAGATAGAACCGGAACTCGCTGCACGACTTCGAGAACAGGAAGCGTTCCTTCATCAGCTGGGTGGATACGATTTCCGGATCCACTTCCGACAGCCAGTCGATGAAGAGGCCATTGTGGAAGAGCTGATCGCTCTTGCTCTTCGCGATCGGCTTACAGTCTTTGGTCTGATCGAAGCTGTCGATGATCCCCCGTACGATTTGCTTCCTGGCCAACAAGGCATTCGTTTCCTTGAATTGCTGGACATAAATCTCGCGCGAGTTCCGCAGCATGAACACCAAGCTCTCGTGATACAGTTCCGTCTTTCGCAGCAGGCAGGAGTCGGTGAAGTTGTGCTTGAAGATGCTGAAGTTCTTCTGCAGCGAGTTCTCCAATATGTGGTAGTTATCGCTGTGAAGCATGCAGCTGAAGAACGTCCTCAGCATGGTGCAGGCATGGCGACTCATGATGATGGGCCTGTCGCAGCCCCGGGCCATTACTTCTGTTATGGAAGCCAGAAGGTCGGTTCGGTTGGCATGCGGCGGATTCACCAGCACATCCAACAGTTTCTGTATCAAGCTGCGACAGTCGCTCCGGGCCGCGGTATATTGATCTGGTTGTGTTAGGATGGTTTGGACAACCTCCTTGGTGTTGGAGAGGCGGTCGGTGGCTGGCTCCGGGTAATCGTATTCGCCGATCTCAACGGTTTCCTGGATCACGACGTTGATCTTGGGCAGATCGGGCACCGTTTGCGAATGCGAGTGCAGGTCGAGGGCCTGGACGGTGTAGTGTCCGTTCTTGGCACCGCGCGCCTGTTGGATCTCAATCAGCTGGGCCAGATAGGCCTTGTTGAGAATGGCGTCCTTGACCAGGTCGAACTGCTCCAGCACCGCCGTGTCCAGCATGGCCAGCAGCTTGGACATCGAGTTAACCGGCGTGCCAAAGTTCTGGACAAACAGCACTATCTGGTCGGGCGTCAGGTCATTAAGAGCGGCTTCAATCAGCCTGTCCACCGAGGAGCGGATCATCTTGAGCTTCAGCCAGTCGGGCAGCAGCTGCACCTGCTCGTGCGTGGTGGGCAGGAAGGCTAGAGGCGCCGGTCTTCCGGGCGGAAACCAATAGTCCAATATCGGAATAGACTCCGGCATGTTGATGTTGGAGTACGTGAGCAGTATAATGAAGGCGTGAATGATGATTATGTGGAGGGGTAGCTGCACTCCGTCATCGAACTGGACCATTAACAGGTCCGGGTACTCCGTCCACTCGTACGGCTCACGGTACTCCCTCAACTTTATTATATAATTATTAAACATGACAAACAGGCACTTGAGGGTCTGAATGCGATTCTCGTCCGGTGCTATGTCGTAGTCCTCCTGGGAGATTATGATGTGCTGGAACATGGTGCTGCGCTCTACGATTAACTGCGCCATGTCCATCACGTGGTCGAGCATCTCGGTCACAGGATCGTTGAGTGTGTGAGCCGTAATGAACTGGATATACGCCATTATCAGCTCTGGGCAATTCTCAACTTGGCAAGCGGACCGCAGCTGTGCAATCACGTATGTTTTTGTCTCAAAAAAGTGTGGAATCTGTGGAATGGACTTTGAAAGCCAATCGTGCTCACACTCTCCAGAATTCTTAAAGATTATTTTGAGCCCGGCCAAGGCAGCCACTCGTGATTGCTTCACTGTGGATGAGAGGCGTCGAAAAATGTAATCCAGTAGCTCGGTCACGATTCCATGGCTGAGACTCACGTCGAAAATCAGATTTCGCAAAAAGTTTACCAGCTCCGCGTCCCGACTGTTTTCCTCATTGATATTATGAGCATTGAAGAGCAGAAACTCGCAGAGGCATTGCACCGGCAAGTGGCCAAAGTCCCCCTCGCTGTTCTGCACCAAGTCTGACAGCCACGGCATAGACTGTGTGGTGCCCTGCCGCTGTATAATGTCGAGCAGGAGATCTGGTTTACGGCACCGACAAAACAAATGGCCCAGCTTGTAGGTCTGGTTGAGGAACTTCAACTGGTCCAGAACCATTGTGGGAATTTTACGTGGTGTACCCATGGGATTCATTAGCATAAGCTGGGTGATCAATATGGCTGTCTCCTCCGTGATCACAGCATGGGGCGTGGTTTGGGCAGCCAAGTATGTTTCAAACTGCAGGATGTGATCTCTTTCCACTGTCATTATCTGAAAGGGATAGGCATTTATTTAGAATAGGTATTGGAGTCGAAGCTATTGGAGTCAATCCTACCTGTAACTCATCTTTGTTGGTTGAGGAATTGTTAAACTGATTGGTGATACAGATTTCAATCAGCATCCTCATTGTGGGATAGTGGTCCCAGCAGAAGGCCCCGAAGGTTGACGGATTGTGGGCGGATATCATAACCAAGATCAGCCAGGCCTTCCAATAAAACGCTATGATAGCCAGCTTCGGCGGCTCATAGTCTGAGGGCAGCTGAATGTTCTCCGGATGGTGGTACTCCGACATGCTGAAGAGAAAGTCTATTATGTCGAACTTGTTGGCTTGGACCGCCGGAATGTTGGTGGCTTTCATCCCAGAGACTCTCTTGATGACCAACAGCAGCACGTCGAATGTGTTGGCAATGGAAAACGGAATGTCCTTGGTGATGCCTATTAAAATGATGCGCAGCAGCGTCTCCTCGTGGATCGGGGTCTCTGAGATAATCCGCAGGATGGCTCCCCGCTCTGGCTCCGATGGCCACTGATCACAGCGGGAATACTGCTCGGGACTGTCCAGCAGGAGTAGCTTATGCAGCGCCTGGTGATATTCAGCCGCTGGAATCTTGAAGACAGTTGGCACAGTCTCGTACATCCAGGAAACGGTGTCCAGCTGGATTTGCGACATTTGGTTGTAGAGCTTAAGCAGAGCCTGATTGTTCTTTGTATCCCGATTGGTTTTTAGGGAAAGACTTGCTTCTCGGGCCTGGGGTGTGGCAGAAAGAAACATGCAGAGGCACACAATATCCACCATGGATTGAAAGATGCGTTCCTTGAACTCGAACTGCTCAATTTGCGGGGTGAGATCCTCGCGTTCGCTAAGAAACGTTTTGCAGAACTTCACCAGGTTGACATCAAAACGCAGCATCCGTACAAGCTCCCTCAGAAACACCCGCAACGT